TTCCACTATACCATATATATTGGATTGTATCGGTTGGGGCAACTCGATCCGATTCCGATTTCTCGGTCGGCAGCAACGGGTCTTCTGTGATTTTGGGACAGGCAATAAATCTTGGCCGAGAAGCCGTTTAACATTTTTGTAGTAGTCGGCATCGCGGCAGCGGCATCGAAGCATCTCTTCGCCGAACAATAGGCGTAGTTTAGAGCTCGTTTGATGGCCAGGACTGAATCTTAATCAGGTGCAGCGTCATAAGTCTCGGTTAATTGTGGCATCCCCTCTTTTTTTTTTTGGAGTCCGGTCCCATTAGATTGCCGAGATTTATGCGCGGACTAAGTGGTTCGACCCGGGGCGATTACCGCCTCTAATTAGACATTGTTTAGCTGGGCAGTTACCGAAGAAGTGTGCTTTTTTTATGGGGAATACCGCACTCACCACTCAAAACAAAGAAAAATAGAATATTTAGAACTTGTACTTAAGAACATAACTGATAAAAGTGTCTTATAAAAATACTTAAATATTTCAGTAAGTGCCTTTTGTTACTTAATTCCTTCAATTTGAGCCACAATAGCAACCTTTCTAAAGACAATAGTTATTAACTATAAATAAATAAAATATTAAAAAAATATAACCCGTATTTTAAATACATGTATGAATTTTGTGGAATTTTCCCCATTTTTGTTTTAATAATTGTATAGGATATTGTACTTAACGAGTTAAAAATTTTTAAAGTCTTAGTTTTCATAAAAAATCAAGTAGTAATTTAATTAAATTTTTTTGTTGTTTATTCTATATTTTTCCTGTCAATCAATTTTACTCTAACCCCAAAGAACTCTCTGGTTAAGGGGATCTTAACCTTTTGACTACTTTGTTCTTAAACTTTCTGGCTTGACCGACAAACTTTCACAACAATGCGAAACGCGCAACTGTTTTGGAACCGAATTCCGCAGCAACGGGAGTTGCAGAGCTGAAGCCACTGATTATAGCCCACAATCAATCAATAGTTATAATTGGTCATAATTCGGTAGCCGGCCACTAATTAGATGCTTTACAATACAACCAATTTACCACGCGCCAATGGTTTCGGTTTTGGCCAGGCCAATGAGAGAAAACCCGCACAGCAATTTAACAAAATATGGAAGCAGATTTATCATATGCAAATTACTGAGCCATAACAAAGGCCCCAGCTGCGTTCAATACGGGTTCGAGCACGAACAAGAATCGGAATCAGAGCCAGACTTCGACGATCACAAACGGAATCGGAATCCAAAAAAAAAGAAAAGATTTCAAAAAGATCTATACAAAAAAAAAAAGAATGCTAACAACTAACAACTAACAACTGGAATTGATCGGAGAACACAAGAGGGTCACAATTACCAAGTGGGCACATACTAGAACAGACTTCTTCAAAACACCGACGGCATTGTTCCTAATTAATCCACCCGGGGAATGCATAAAGCCCCTTCGCTTTCGGCCACTATCAACACCTCATTACTCTTTTGATCACACTCCTCGTTAATGAAGATGTCACCGGCAGCTGCCGTCCGAAGCCAAAATGAAATAAAACCACGCTGAAGACGGGGAGACATTTGAATTCAAAATTTAAATCAATGTTCAGAATTCCACTTTTGTTGTTGCGACTTGGACGACTCTGAGACTGGGACTTGCGACGAGGCGACAAAGATTAAATATACCTTACTTTATGGGAATGCCAACGAAGTTCGAATGCTCTATCCGAATATTTAAACTGAGGATTGGAAAAAAGTCAGAGTTGATCGTTGGAAGCAACGCAACCGAAACCGAAACCTGTATCTGCATAAAGTTATAAACAAAGAAAACAAATTTGTCTTATCGCCCAATTCCAAATGAGATGACAACGAGACAAAATCACTCCGTTCCCGCCTCCGAATCCCCAAATCCCCACCTTTCCCTTCCCCTTCTAAAATATATCTCCGGATTCGAATACCTAGGGCTGCGCGTTAAAAGCTCGAGCTCATTTAAGGAGCGGACAAACACAAATGCACATTTTTTAATCGCTCGGCTCATTAACGTCGAACCCTTTGGAATTGGTGGGAGATTGGAGAAGGGGTTTGTTGGAAGGGGGAAAGGGGGAGGGGGAGGGGGATTGCCTGGGTCGGGTCATCCGAATCGCCATTGTGGCCATTTAAGTTCGGGCATAAATCAGTCGACTGGATGGCGACACTCTCACGCATTTCAATATCCCAACGAGTTTCACAGGCATACCTTCGGATACTTATGCATAAAAAACTTAGAGGCAATTTGTTGAGCAAGGAGTTTGGAGAGCAAAGCCACTTTATATAATATTTATTAAACAAATGATTTGTTTGATGTTACCAGATATAAATCTACGGATGAGAAATAGATTAAAATCTTAATATAATACCAAATTCGTTTCTATATATCTGCAAACGCAATTGCAAAAATAGCCTTTTAATTTTAATATTTGCATTCATTTATATAATAAAATAAAAATGCATTTTAGGTCATATTCAAAGATTGAAAACCCTAAAAAATTTAAAACCACTTATCACTAACCAATTTCTAAGTCATTCGCCATATCTTTGTCACTCATTACCTCATTGAATACATTTGTTTCAATTAAATCGTCATCATGTTAAATTATACATTTGTAAAATATAGATTAATTTACACCTCTTTGTATACGAATGTTTTCTCTTTTACTTTATCATAAAAAAACAACTTCAAGTGACTTTACCAATCCTTCACAGAGCTCCTCTAGTATTTGGCTTAGGTTCGTGACTATATGGAACCATTAGGATATGTAATTGCAGATCCTTTAACCCGTGGGCCCGTGCGACTTAATTGCTTTTGCGTGTTTGATTGCCGGGGAGGGGACTTTGCTGCCCAGGCGACCCTTGTATTTGACGTATTTGTTTTTGTAAGCCGTAAACGTAATGGCGGCATAACGACACCCATTCCCATTCACAATCGGGGAATAAATTCGCCAGCGTCTGGCTCTGGTTAACTCGCATTTGCATCGGCCGACTCACAAAAAAAAGGGGGAAGGGCCTCGGACAACATTGTTGTCATATTAGTAAACGTAACTAACTTTAGTTATTGCTGGTGTTGCGACTTCGCACGTTTATGGTCCATTTAGAAGTATGCGATGGCGATGTTGCGCCGGCTCGCCAACCGATTTATCACCGACTCCTTGCCTGAGAAGTCTTGAAGATACAGATACACAGAAAAATAAACGGTAAATTCATCAAAATAAATGTATAATGTATCATGTAAAAATTTAACACTTTTAAATGTAAATAAATGTAAAATAAATAAATAATGTAAGTGTAAATAAATAAAAAAGTTATTAAAGATCTCTTCAAGAACATTGAATTATATAAACGTAAATAAATTATATGATGTATATATTATATATTTTTTCTGGTAATTAATTATTAATTAAAAATAATTCTTCTTCATTATATTTTATAATTAGATATTTAATAATTCAACTATAATTGCTATGATTTTTCTGTGTGACTTAAAGCTGGCGTTGGATCCTTGGTAAAGTTCATCGATTTCCGCCAACCCAAACAATAAAAACTGCTCATAGCCAACAGCGGGCCACAAACATTTGGCAACAAAGTTGCAGGACAATCTGCAGGATGAGGGACTCATCAAGTGGCCAACTGATCAGCTCGCCGAGGATGGTGGATGCTGGATGGAAACGAGCTGGAGATGCTGGATCGTAAAAATGTTTGACTGCGATTATATGGCGCTCATGAGAGCGCCACTTTGCCCTGGTCCATCAAACCGATGGATGCATCCTCCTCTAAAACCCTTTAAACAAAAAAGAAGTGAAAAACATTGATGGAATCCCCAGGGCTTGAAATCAAATTTTACTACACTAAACGAATCCAGTGAATAAGCGTGAACTCCGGTTGAACAAACACCCAAAAAAAAAGATGTTTTTTTTTTTTTTTTTTGGCTGACCCACCGACTGTATAAATATCGTATAATGTATAATTTATGGGCGCGAGGTGAAAATATTTTCAATAGAAGGTGATTTAAATTTATTAAAGGAATGCTCACGAGCAGCTCCGCACTAAATTAGAATAAGTCGACGATGTTGAGGGGTTGGGGGCCAGCCATTTGCTCATAAAGAGCCAAGCAAATTGAATTTGTGGACACCGTCACCCGATGCCCGATGCTGGGATCCCGATCCCCAAACACCCAAACCCAAACCCAAGTCGAATCCCAAACCAAATCCCGATTGGAGCTGTAAGTATCGACACGAAAGAGCTCCACGCTCGGCTTATCAGATGCGAAGGCACCGAAGAGACTCATTTAAATCTCGACCAGGCCGAAGAAATAAAGACGCACATCCACATCCACATCGCACTTCCATCCACCCGGTTTCCAACCTAAAAAAGTCAACGATCCGATCCGATCCGATTCGATTCCGATCCGAATCCAAGCCTGCAAGCTCGCCTTTTGTTAACACCATAATTTACATTGATTTATGTGCTTAGTTGGCTCGGCATTTTTAATCGGTCAGCGGAGTAGTATAGTACCCCTTCCCAAATACAATCCAATACTATACCATCTTCTCTCATACCATCTCTTATAGTTTGTCCCCACTGTTTTGTGTGTGTGCGAGCGACGCGGCTTCATTTGGTTATAATTAAAATGTCGATGTTATCTACCAGATTTGGACATATTGGCCATTACGTTCGAAATTTAAGCGATTTCTATGCGCGTATTTTGGTCTTTGATTTCGTTTTCGATTTGCCTGCGTTCGCTCACACAATGAATATTGATTGTATTAATATTTAATAACGTTTTAAGAAGCTTTCGAGTGTTAAATGCTTATTTATGTGTTTTGTGTGTGCGTCTCTCTGTGTTTCTTCTATATTCGAATGGATAATTATGCGTGAAATCGAACGTATAAATTGTATTTGTTGTCAAATCAAAGCAGCAGAAACAATTTCCTTCTTTATTTCTTCGTAAAAGTCAAACAATTTAGGATTATTTCTTGCACTTTTTTATTGGTTTCTCACTCACTGGGAGGTTGGTTGCCTTTCGATTTGAGCCAAAAACACTTAGCCTACGAAATATCAGTTCAAATGCAACCAAAAGACTCTTCATAAATAAATTGGCTTAATGGCTAGGATAAAACTATATCATTTAGATTTATATTTATATTTATATTGCATATGCTATAGCCTTAAATGGTGATGAGGTAAGTCGGCAGCCGGCGAATGAACAAGTACTATATAGTAATTATGCATAACTTGGGGGTATACTCGTACAATAGGTAGGTGCATTAAAAAAAAATGGGACAAGCGTGTTCGTACATATAGTATTAGTTACAATTTCAGCTAATCTTAGGCTGCTGCTGCTGTTGCTGCTATAGTTTGTTGTTGTTTTTAGTTGTTGTTATTATAGTTTTTCTTTTTTTTTTCAACGACCCCGAACCGCAGCCAAGTAGGTGAGCAGCATTTTAACTTTGGTTTTTCGATTTGTTTGCCCACGATGTAGTCAGCTTCTCGTGTTTCAGTCCAGACCAATCTCCACCTGGTTGTAGTTGCCGCTGCAGTTGCAATTTCATCAGTAGTAGTTGTTATTACTACTACTAGTTGTTGTTGTTGTTAGTGGCTGTCAATCACAGAGGCGCGCACAACTCAAGTTTTCAATTAGAGATCCGCCGCCTTAGCGGTGGTCATGCTTTAGGAACTGCAAGCTGCCCGGCGCATCGGAGGATGACAGTCGGGCCAACTTTGCCGGCGACTCGATTTCACCATCGGAATCGTCGTGCACGTTGATCTCCTCATCCGAGTCGGATGACGAGTTGTCCACCGTTGTCACGGTTGAGCCGCCCGCAAGTCCTGTTCCCTCGCCACTCGATGAGGTTAATCCACCGCCGCCGCCGGAGGAGGAGGAGTAATGCAACCTGGAACGCTGCTCCTCGGCCACCGTTAACGAAGCAGCCACTGCATATTGTCGAGCCAATCCCAGAAAGGCAGCCGCCGATGGAGAGCTCACCAGACTCCTGAAGGCACTCCTTTCTCCACCCATTGAAAGATGACTTGCCGCAGGATTGCATCCTGTGGGAGAAAGTTGCTGCTGCTGATGTTGCTGCTGCTGCTGTTGTTGCTGCTGCTGCTGCTGTTGCTGCTGGTGGTAGTGACTCAGGAGTTGCAGGGCCGCCGGGTGAGTGGGCAGGTGCAGGGGATGGTGGTGATGGTGGCCACCGGGGGGTCCGTGCAGTGGATGCAGCATCACCGAAGGCGGCGGAGCCTGTGGCGAGTGATCCCCGCAGAGGGGCAGCGGTTGCTGTGGAGGCGGCACCGCAGCCACTGGAGCGGAGGTGGAGGCACTACTGTGGTTACTGGGCGTGGGCGAACTGGCCGGTGCATCATTGGACTGCTGGGAGTGCAGGGGATTGGCGGGACTCGAGCGCTGGCGCTTCAGGAGATTCATGCGCTGGTGGCGACGCCATTTCGCCCGCCGATTCGAAAACCAAACCTGAGGGAAAATAACGAAAAAGAATTTATAAGAAAATGTATTACAATACAGTGGCATTCCAAAATGTTATAAAACATTTGTTTTAGTAAAATAACATTAAAAAAAATGTTTTTACTATCGAAAGAAATATGTAAACCTTTAAAGTGTCGAATAAACAGAAGAATCCACTGTCACATTAATACAAATTATCAATAAGTGGTGAAAACCTTAAAATGTTTCAAAATCAAGCACTCTTTCTGGATTCTAATTTTTTGGTAAGGATAAATGTGTTAATTATGATAAATTAATATATTTAGCTTGAAAATGTTTTTTTAAAATTTATATTTTATAGGTTACAACATTTTATTATTTTCATTATTATACAAAATAAACCACTGTTTTCAAAGCAAAATAATCTTCAAAACCCTCTACTTTTCTTTTTAGATATTTATCTATTTAGCTTAACAATTTGTTAACAGCTTTGCAAAACATTCTCGTGGTATTATTTTTTAAATACTAATGGAAATGGCTAAAATTAAATCTTAAGGATGTTATAGAACCCCTTTCTATAATACTGTTTAAAGATAATTGTCCACCCAACTCACCTGCACTCTCGCCTCGCTCAAACTGGTGCGACTGGAGAGCCTCTCCCTGGTGCTGACACACGGATAGTGGCTCTTGTCGAACTCCTTCTCCAGCTCCTCCAGCTGCTCCGGACTGAAGGTGGTCCTGTTCCGCCTGAACTTTGGCTCATCGTCGTCATCCAGATAGTCGGAATCGATGTGCCTGTTCTCATCCGCAGATTCCAAGGTGTCATGGCTGCCAGAACCTGGAGAGATCGCCCGATTGGTGGATCCACCACCAGCTGCACCACCGCCCATCAAGTGCGCCGAGCTTAATGAACCACAATTGGCAGGTGGAACCGCACTGGCGGCACTGGGCGGCAGATTGGCGAGCGTGGGAGCGGCCACGGACCACAGGGCGGATGGAGGCGGCGGCGGAGGAACCCCCTGGCCACCAGGGACATTCCCGGCCGGATGCCAGGTGAAGCTGCCATAAGGATGAGGAGGGGGCGGGTAGAGCCCGTAGGCGGCGGTGCGGGCAAACTCGGTGGCCACCCGCTCGGCGGCGCGGTTGCGCAGGATGCGATTGATGCTGCTCACCGACGGAGCGGTGGCATTCGTGCAGACACCTGCAAGGCGGGATTACGCAATTACCAACCAGATTCGCAGTACGAGATTAAAGCTAAAAAGGCGCACCGCCAATCAATCTGGCTGCGATTTCCCCTCCCCCCACTCCGGATTTCCCTCCCCACGGATTAGCTGCAATTATCTGGAGCATCAGTCACTCACCTTCGGAGATGAGGCGTTCGCGTATCTCCCAGGCGAAGATCGTCGGATTCTCGCGCTTGTACTGCTCGATCTTGGATACGACTGTCGGCGTGGCCACCTTCGGCTTTGAGCCACCAATTAAGCCCGGTGGTCGCAGCGAGCCTGCAAAAATCAGTGCAAAAGCGGGGGAAAATTATGAGACAATCGATTTATGACTGTGCGATCGCGATTTTGGCAATCCATCTGTTCTGTGGGCTGGCAGCCTGGATTATCCCTTGTCTTTAATATCTTTATCTGGTGGCCTCATCAACATGAAGTGTTGCGAAAAAAATGAGTAAGGGAAGCAATGCCTCACTGGGTACATGCACTGAGAAAAAAGCAACTATGTTTGATAGAAATTATCATAATTCCTTAAAAGAAATTGTCTTTTCAACTATTGCATATGGTAAGTACTATTTTAATACATAAATGAATTTTTAGATATTTTCAGGAATTAAAACAAATGAAATTAAATCATTTAAAAAAGATTGCAAACCTATATAACTTCTTATAGTCAAAACATTTCCTAATTTGTTCAAGCTTTTAATTTTATAACCGTTTGTTTATTTTTTTAATTCTAAACGAGAATAAACTGGTTCAAAAGAATTAATTAAAAGCATTTAAAGACTATAAAAAAGTGTTTTATATTATCATTATTTAAAAGTGCATTGTAGCTATGTTAACCTGCTATAAAAAATCACTTATGAAAATGTATTTACACGTTAAACAACTTTTTAAATTCATCTTACATTTGTATAATGATTTGGTAATATTTTTTTCCAGTGCAAGGATAGCACGCACCAACCACCACTAATACAAGCCAGCCCATGAATAAGCCGCATTTTGATTAATGAGCCAGCCGCGTTTTGGCCACCGCCAGCCAGCCAGGAGTTTATGCAATTTTAAGTGGCCAAATTACACGGCTGCGCACACCAGTGAGGGACACGAGTGAGTAAGGAGGGTAGGCTCGCCAGGATAATAACATGTTTATCATAAAAATTAGCAAACAAATCGAGAACAAAGTGCCTATTAGTTATCTGATGGCGGAACGAAACGAAACCCTCCCCTCTCTCTTCCATATCTTTTCATCTTTCTGTTTGTATATAGAGTCGTATTTGGGGTTCCTAACTCACCTAGCAACTTAGAGACAGCTCCCTGCTGGGTGAGCATGTGTTGGGCGATGTCGTAGCCACGCAGTCCTCCAAACCGCGAGAATTCCAGGAGGCGATGCTGCGACATCAGACTGTTGAGGGTGCTCCCCGTGGCTCCCGCGGCTCCCGTTGGAATGCCAGAGGCGCCGCCGCCGCCAAAGCCGGATGCTATTTGCACAGATGTGGGCGATGTGGATACCGCTCCCGTTCCCGCTCCCGCTCCCGCTCCACCGCCGCCGGATCCCGCTCCCGCCGCCGCTGCCGCTGCTGCTGCTGCTGCTGCCGCTGCTGCCACGGATGCCGCCGCAACTGCAATTGAAACGAAACGAAACGAATTGAATGATAATTGGCCATTGTCATTATATTGTGGCTTTAGCTGTATCGGCCACAATGGTTAATTATGATAAATTAACCGTTAATTGTGTTGACTGAACCGAAATGACTGATGGGTTTTACGAGCCGTATTATTCCTCTCTATTCCCCTAACAAACACCAATGACACGATCCAATACGATCTGAACCGATCACAATCGTTTCGATTCGACAAAATGGTGGCGACACGCAAACCGGCAGATTTATCAAGCTAATTGAAACGACGGGGCATCAGTACAAAAGGCGAAAATTAAAATATGTACTCAACTGGCTAAAAAACGACTGTGTATTACGTTAATTCGACAGAATATTGTATTTGCTTTCGCTTAAAAAACCTACATATATCATTCGGCTTGGGCAACTCGTCGCTCAAATTGTCAATTAGCGTTTTAAATGCGCGTTTCACTTTTGTTGTTTGTCAAGTAAATATTTTTTAAAAAATACGCTCACCTCCCAGTCCTCCCTAACTGAATATACTTATATATATATATGTATATATATGTGGCTCATAATCAATTGTGCCGCTCATCAAATGAGAACCAGTTTTGTTTGCTTTCGTCTATGGGCTTGAAAGGTGAAAAGCAAGGAAATGGGATTGCCAGTTGAGCCACGCACTTGTTATTACGACATGCGTAACGGTTTTTGTTTAATTTAATTATGTATTTAAACCCGCAGAATAAATATCGATTGCTCTTCAGATGTGTCACTTCGAGAACAAGCCATATTGTTTAACAATGACTAAATGCAATTGGCAGAAATATAACTTTATCCTTAATAAAGGAAATTTAAAAAGCATGTTCCTAAATATCCAAACCATTTTTCAACATATTAAAAACATTGCTGATCGGGTTTGAGCTGTTAATTTTCACACTCGTTATAAATTTTTGACATTTATATTTGCAACAAAAATCAGTTACAGAATATTGCTTCACGGCTTAAAGGTTATAATTATAAACATCTGTAAATTATATACATGTGTAAGTACAAATCGGAGGACTTTTCATAGTATATTTTCTTGTACAATGTCTGATAAATTCTTTACAATTTTTTTCTATTATTCATTAAAATTTCACCATACTCAATCAATTAAATAAAATTAGTTACATTGTTAAAAAAAAATAGCTTTATTCAATTTAGTTTTTTTTTTTGATTATAACTTGATTTCCCTTTTAGTTTTTCAAAACAGATTATAAAAAGATATAGATTTTGGTAATGGCTTAAAAATTTTATGTCGTTTAACACAAATTATTAAATTTCCAACACAGAAATTCTTTTTCATGTTTTAATAGAGTTTACCCTAATTTTGAAGGATTAAACCAAAACTTAAAGCGGAAGGTTCGAACTTGATGGCTGTCGAGATTGTGTTAGACATGAAATATTACACCTTTGACCTCTTTTTCTGTATACTTTCTTTCGGTTGCCCAACATATTTGGTGACATTCAAGCCAAGCTTTGCCGTCGGCTAATTACGACCACTTACCACTGGAAGCGTGCGGGGCCAGCGATGTGATGCGTTGGGGATGGGGCTCCATTTTCCAGTGCGCGGCCGAGAGGCCAGAATTAGCGACAGTTAGCGAGCCAAGGTCACGGTTTAAAGTCGGCTCAATCAACATGTCTAAGAATCGCTCTAATCAATTTCTCCTTATTTATTGTTATTTTATTTTTTTTTTAGTGGGTATTATTTTTCCAGCAAGTGGAGCACAAAACAGTCACAATCACAGTCACAGATGTCGTACATCCAAGGCAGAAGTATCGATTATAGAGAACGCGAGCTCAAGCGGAAACGGAAATGGAAACGCAATGCGGTCAATTGGATTCATAGCGTGCTGCTCACTCACACAAATACACACACGAAAGCCAATCCCGGCAGAAACAGTTAGAAAACGTTCCTGGTGTTTTTTTTTTTTGGTTACTTTTTCAGAATTTCTTCCGAACACTGCGCTCCGTTGAAACGTTGTTCACGCGAAAGCTGCTCTCAGCACAATGAGCGCTTGAATTTCACCTGGCTGCCGGGTCAATCCACTCCACTCGAACCGTTTCACTCGGCGGTTGAGTGATTTTGAAAATGGCAACCGGTTTTCGAGTATCGCACGTTCATAATGGCGGCCATTGAGGAAGCTCGCTCTCTCTCGCTCTTGCATGCGAGAGCGGGACAACTATATTGACACGCTGCGCGCACACAAATCAAACAATTATAAACTCGTTGTATAAACACTGGCAAGAAGAAGAGGAGGTGTGAAAGAGAGGGAGAGAGTTGGGGAAGAAGCAACAACAAGAAGAAGAGCTAAAAGAAAAAGTGCAAGAGTTGGGGAACCCTCGATTTTTCATTACAACAAATCAACTTTGAACAACGGGCGTTAGAAGTCAAGCTATGGGTGCATTTAACTCCTAATGCACCATTGTAATTAATGGAATTTGCTTTGCAGTTTAAATTGTAACATTTGAGATCATTTAATTTCTTACATTTTGTGCTGATTGATGAATCTAATTTTTTGGTTCATTAGTTCTAGACCATGGCCCCGATAAGTAGGCACTTTCAAATTCCATTTTCTGATAACGATTTCCTTCCTTAAAAAAGAAATTAAATTTTTGGAATCTGCATACTAACAAAAAGTTCTCAAAAATGCACTTATTTTATTAAAAAAAAAACTTTAAATGGAATGTCAGTTCGTCGAATTTATAATCTCCCAATTTATTTATATTGAAAAAGAATTATTCTTTTCTTAATATTTTTAATTAAAGAAGACTACAATAATAGAATTCTATCTGAACTCACCTAGCATTCCTTTAAAATTGTAATTTTTTATATTTAATTTTATGATGTAACATTATACTTTTTTTTTAATTTACACAAGTTTAAATTTGTACTAGTTTTAGATAAATTTATTTTATTGTTTCTTACTCAAACATTTACATTAATTCATTAGTGAATTACTGCTTCTTAAAAATTATGCATTTAGTTTGAACTAGTATAGTTTTGAAGAACCAAAAAGGAATGAGCTATCCAATTATTTATTAGTTTTTCAATTGAATTGGATGCTCTATGGTATTACTGAATCTTACGACAAACTGAAAGTAAAGTTCAGCGAGGAGGCCAAATTGCATCCAAGCATCGAAATCCGCAACCAGACCGAGCGAACTTGAATCAGAACATTGGATGCAATCGCATGCGTGGCCGGAGCGTTTGCCATTCAGGTTTGTTCTGCCAGGTTAGGTCGTTGTCTCTCGTGCGTGATGGATGATTGATGCGCTGCCTGGGCAAGGCAATCCGATGTGAATCGAAACTGCAACTAAACTACACATGGCGTGATCGGCGAGCCACACAGAACAGGGTCCAAATGGCAGAGTGGCCTGCACAGAAGCCAAATTGCATCAAAGCCCACGAATTGAGTGGCTCCCGGCGCTGCAGGATCGAGAAGCTGAAAGCTGAAAGCCGAGTTAAAAAGCAATTACCTGAATTGATTCCCCAGTCCGGAAATCTGGATGTGAAACGTTATGCCTGGCAAAAAAAAAAAACTCACCTGGCGATAATGAGATGTCTCACTAAGCTGATCAGAGGCTGCCTTTGTATTTATTTGTCTGTTCGAATGCAAAGTGCACAATGCGCCAGAGACTCGTACATATAATATCTGTTTCTCCGATTTGTGAAAGGCAAATCATGAATGAACGCTGCTGACGATGACGTTCGAGTGCCCTCATGCCAGAGATCCAGAGCAAACGCAAACAATCGAACAGGAATAATTTACTAAGTAAATAATATCTGGATACTGATCGCTGCACGTTGGAAAAATCATTAAATTCATTGCCATAAAGAAAATAAAAGCAGCAAAAACACTAAACTTTTTCAATAAGATTATACATGACTGAAATTTAACAACAGAGATTAATTACAGAAAAAGTCTAACACCAAAAAAATTAATACTAAATAAATAAATATAGGGGAGACCGGGGGGTCGTGAGACACGGGGGGTCGTGAGACGCGCTTACAGCCCTGAACTAAAAAGCGCGACATCTACCAGCTGACTGTGAAACTTCTTGCTTGTTTCCAATCTTCATTTCCACATCACAAATATTCCGCTCATGCCGATTCTTTATGTCTTCCCAAATGGCAACTCCAATTTTGTGATCGAAAGTTTTGTAGACCATTCGTTTTTGCTGTCTTTTCGCTTTGTTTTACAAGCTATTTGCGAGAGTGCATACATCCGAAACATTCCTTGGTGAGTAGCCTTTTGAAACACGGAACAAATTTTGCATAAACATTTAATGCGTCCGTAAAGCAGAAGCCATATTTAAAATATAGCTATTGGGGGGTCGTGAGACAACGTTCTCGGGGGGTTATGAGACATTCTATTACCGCGTCATCTAGGAACATAAAATTGTAATTTATAGCCTGATATAGTGTTTCTGTACACAAGTAAAACGTTTAATGATAATTTTGATATTTTTGATGGATTCAGTGTTTTTGATGATCGTTTTTTCTTTCTTTAGTCATCATGGTGCGTCATAAGTATAGTCAGACTGCCAAATCTGCGATTGATGTCAATGTTTTTGTGGCTGCTATAAAAGAGGTTGCTATCGAGAAAAAGCGGCTACGGTCCGTTGGTAGATCATATAATATATATATTATAATTGTATATATATAATTATTAAAGATTAAAATAAAAAATTTTGATAAAATTAAGCCATTTTCATTCTTATAAATTTGTGTCTCACAACCCCCCGAACATTGCGAAAATCCATAAAAAACAACTTTTGAGCAGGCTGGCAAAACTTGAAGGTCGAACTAAAATTTCAACTAATTATACTCTTGTCTGAGTGAAATTACACTGAACTATGATTAAAAAATTTGTACGGGTAGAAAAATGGCTTTTCTATTATATTTTTTGTCAAAAAACAAAACCCGTCTCAAAACCCCCCGGTCTCCCCTATATTATACAATTTTTCATAATCAAAAACAAACCATCTAAAAATAAATGGACGACGTTTTTTATAATCAAAAACAAACCATCCAAAAACGTTTCCCACATTTCCAGTAGGTAATTAGAAATTGGTTAGCATACAATTTTTAAAAAATTAGATTCAAGAAATCTGTAAATTTTTTGAACATTATTAATTAGATTTTTCCAGAGTGTAGGCCCTGCGAGTAGCGTGCGCCCTCGCCCCATCGAGTGGCACTTCAACAATCAAGCATTCACACAAGCAGATGGTCCGCAGCCGTTGGCCGTTGGCGACCACCTAAATGAAATTTCATTTACTTTTCGCCCGTCATCGCCGCCGCAATCGCAATCCGCTCCTCGAGAGATCCCCGACCATCCATCCATCTCCATCCAGAGTCCCGTCTCCGATTTGCTTATGCACACATTATCAACGAACGCCCGCCTTATTGAGTGTTTGTTTACCTAATTCGATTACCGATCGCGTCCGTTCGCTCCATAGTCCGGCGATCACTTGACCATTTGGGTGGCACCGATCCGTACTTATGGGGTCCGATCTTCGACCACATTTCGTGCGTAATCGCTCCACGGCAGCAGATGCACTGCTGCGGGATTCCGAGATGTAAATTAAGATTGAGTTGGAAATTGAGTTGGAGTTGGGCCCTAATTGAAGGAGTTACAAAGAGGGGCCTACATACTTTCATCGGTTTACAGCTGCAGAGGTAAATTAAGTTTTAATAGCTTCAATAAAGTAAATAAAGATTTAGGAAAATAAACACTTACGCTTTTAATCGAAATGTTAGAAAACGAAACCTGAGATTAGGTTTAACAACAACAATAACAATAATTTTATGAAGTGTTACGTAGAAAACATAAACAACCGCATAACCACATTAACTATCATATAATATAAACAAATGTAAAAAAGTCAAATGAAACCAGAATTAAAGATTCTTTGTTTTTGTTGGCAAAAATAAGTTTTGCGGTCTCAAGTTTTATTGTCGGATTTACAATCTTGGTTGTTAACTAATAACAACAAAGTTGAACCTATAATGACCTGATGCAAATAAGAAATTCCTCCCCATAAAAATTAATACAATCGCAGTTTTTCTTTAAATTGTAGTAAAGTTTTAAATAACATACGAAATTTATGGGACTGTTTTAAATTTACCGGTTTTCCTAGAGACGGACAATTTGTAAAAAAAAGAACACCGTTAAACATCGATAAGCTTACCTCCGCTATCGAAACGTTGCTGACTTTCCCCTAAATTTAGCCGCCCAGAAATACGGCCACACCAGCCCATACATTGATAAATTGGTCATTTTGGACCGAATTTAGTTAACATTAAATATAACGAAAACTCTAATCTAAGATGCGCACAGTGCTTTTGAGCAAAACCGATGAGCTGTACCTGGAGAAATGCGCACAGGAGAACCAGTTCTCGTACGGAATAATTGTGGGCCATGTAAGTCCTATTCGCCACGTAGATTTGTTTGGTTCCCCCGCTCAACTAAATCTGCATTTCCCCCTGTGCATCCGATTTGGGTTGCCAGCAAGCGGATCTCACCAAGAGCGTCGTGGTCCACCTGGCCAGGAACAACGAGGAGGATGCAGATCTGGAGGATCTCTCAGATGTGCGACTCACAATCTCGGACATTAACTCACAGGCGTTGGCTTCCCAGTGGCTGAGCGCCAGCAAAATGTGTCCCGGATCCTTTGACGTCATTGGTGGGTTTGCGTGCGGCCCCCGGAGTTTAATATGCCCAACCTTAATCTAGTAGAATGATAGCAAATATTATTTATTAGAAGATCTACTTAGCAGGATGTAGGGTGTGTCTCAGAAACAAAATGCAAAGAATTTATCGCTTACACACAAGAAAGCTCTTGGAGCTTCTTGTATGTTTTATAGCTGCAGACATTTTCCAAGTACTGAAATTAATAAGTAAATCTTTAAATGTATTATACATATTTTAAATTATTTGAACCAAACAAATGCAAAATTGTGTAAATTAAGACGCCATCTGTTAGAAATAATTCTGGTTTCCTACGAAACAGTGACTTAGTCAAATTTAAGAGAATAAGCAGAACAAGCAATTGAATGTTTTAACCTTACTTAAATTAACATTCCAACCCAGTTGCATGTTAATTAGGTTTCATTTAAAGTTTTTGTTAATTTATGCCTGCAATTCCTTTAAAAACAAGTGTGGCATTTTATATTACTTTCTGTTTTTTGCTTTTGACTGAAATTTTCACTTTCTTTTAATATTTATATATTTGCAGGTATTTTTGTATCATCAGTAAGATCCGATGTGGTCAATGAGCAGAGCTCCGAATTTAAGAATGCCAAAAAGCTGTTCTCAGACATCTACGAGTAAGTTCTTTAAATATTTATATGTATGTAGTTTAAAAAACAATTTGTATTGTTTTTCCTGCCTTTAGTTTACTATTAAAGAGCAGCAGCTCCTTTGGCGTCTACACCACCGATGTTGCTCAGACTGACTTCGTGTTCCTCTCGTACTCGCTGGCCGACAAGAAAGTGCTCTGCAAGAACTACAGCTATGGAAAGTGAGTATCGAAATCGTAACCCCTGATCACAGATACGGGTCTCACTGTGTATTCTTTCTTTCACCAAACGAATCGCTTACAATTTAAAACTAGACATTGCAAAAAAACGTACTTTACGGCAAACATAAAATGCATCATATGGTAACTAACATGTTGGAACTACTTTCATAACTTTATCTGTTTGATGTTCAATAATCACTTCCTTTGCTTTCCTTGCCCTTACGTTCCTTTTTTCTCGGAATGCATTTTATGTGTTAGTAAACCTTTAGGATTGTTAATGTTAATATGGTAGTTTGATTGTACTTAAGGTGTTTTATTTCACAAATATGTAAACCTATACCCTTCTTTTGACAGCGGAGGAACTTTCTCAAACATGGAATACAGGTTTGTGGACAAGCCCTTTGAATGGATTCAGCTAGAGTGCACCTACGACTTGGATGACGTGCTGCCCATTCTGGATGCATCGCGTCGCGTTAACATCGAAGATCAGTTCCAAAATATTATAGTATCAGTGCGCAAAAACCTTATAGTCAGTGAGGTGTTCCTGCAGAACGAGGTGGTGGAGGACACCATCGATCTGCAGGCTTATATTAAGAAGAAAAAGACAAAAGTGGATAAGCTGAAGCCCACATCTGCGAGTGGTGGAACGGCCTCGACAGCAAGCAACACCTCGGACTCCCTGCCCCACCTCGCCTCGGATAAAGCGATCGGAAGTGGCGATCCCATCCGGGCGAGCATCCTACTCCCGATGAAGTGCCAGCTGAGCAAACCGACGGACATCAAGGTTCGCGAATTCAATGGAACTCTGCGCATGAGCGGCATCATAGCCACAAAGATATTCTGTAGTCCTCGAAACAGTATAGCAGATGTGAAGCGTTTCCTGCGGGACGACGTGCTGCGTTCCCTGATCACACGTATTCAAGTCTACTGCGACGGCCTCACGGATCCCTATGTGACCAACGAAGCCTTGTACATCAGTGAGCCCCCGAGAAGGGTGTTCTTCAGCTTGCCTTCAGAGGGACACAGCTCTTCGGTCGGTGCAGTGGTCCAGTTCTCCGAATACTTATTCCGTGGCGAAGCTCCCACCGTGGTGGTAGCTCAGGCCAAGCAGATCCTGGACGTGGAACTGGACCCAGAAACCATATCTCTGGAGGCGGAAGGACTGCCGGATGACTCAAACTTCACAAAGGGAAATGCAGCCAACGATTGCACAGATGACTCCCGGATTTTACCCAGTTCGATGCCAAAACCAGAACTATCGCGAAGCCTCTACATGGTGGGAATCGCGGTGGCCCTGCTGGTTCTTCTAGCTTCTGTAGCCCTCCACTATATCCTGACCGATCAATAGGCAGCTGGGATGCCCGTCGATCTGCTGTTGGGGCCTCTTTGTCCAAACCACTCTTGTAGCTCTTTATACAAAAATGTTTTTATACAGATACATTATTCGCATGTGTGCCCACGCACTCACCTCTCTATTGTGATCGTTTGTTTTTATAATCCATTGTGTACTCGTAGTAGTAAAAAACGAAAGTGTATAGGGATCACGTTAAATAGTTTTATTGTGGAAGCAAAACTGTGCAGCATTTAACACCAATATAATAAACTAATAAGTAATGTACATATCTGTGAATCTTTGGTACGCTTATAAGGAAAGAATCTGTTCCTTATGTTTAAAATCGTTTTTTACATTTTAATGGGATTAGATCGGTTTAAGGCGTATATTATAGGTTGCACTTAGTCTGATATGCAGAAAGTTCGAACTATTTTTATTTACAGTTGATAGGCTTGTAACCTTTTATTTAGAGTTAGAGATTAAAATAAAGTCAAAAGTTAGCACATTAATTTGAATTACTAGTTTTTGAGGTTTTTTTCTCCAGATTTGTTGGTTTTTTAATCTCAGAGTTTTATTTAATTAACTTACAGGAGAATTCAATTATTTATTAAATATAAAATTTAACGAGTAACATAAATTTAGTTATTTACATTAGAAGATTATTTTAACATATTTAGGAAAACACAAATGCCTCCCCATCAAAAATACGACTTTCTATTAGTAGGTGCTTTTTTTTAGAAATTTAATTACATAAATATTTGCTTGTCTACAATTAAAATCGACTTTGTTCGAAATGACCATAGGGGATCCTTAGATTCTAGTTATCTAGCTTTAGGATCGTATAATGAGCACATAATGAATTGTGACATGGTGATCGAGCGAAGATTTCTCCCACGGATCGGACACTTAAAGTGTAAATTTGTTTTTCACAGCCTCTACAACTTGACGGACCCAAGTCCCCGACAACTTAAGTACCCACCGAGATGCTACTGCATCTTGCAGTTGCCATTGCAGTTAACCACCGACCACACCCAGTCCACGTAATTGGGCACCTTGGCGTAGATGCCGAACTTATTCCGCTGGCCACATCCGTCCCCAAATGAGGTGATGCCGAAGATGGTCCACGGGTGATTGGGTTTGGTGGTATCGCGACATAAGAGAGGACCTCCCGAATCCCCGGCACAAGTGTCGATGTGACCTTTTTTATGACCAGCGCAAAACATGTTCTGGAAAATAAAAATCAATTATAGATTGTTCATAGAATATTATTATATCCATGAATTAATACCTTAGTAATAGTGTAGTCATAGTAAACACTCCGACAGTTATTCATTGGTATTATAGGTACAGTGGCCTTGTGGAGCACATTGGTTCCAGCAGCATCTCGGTTGCGCCGCTTTCCCCATCCAATTATCGTGCAATCTACATTTTTGGGTAGCGCCTGGAAAGGCTGTGGCAGGCAGGAGTATCCAATATAAGTGGTGGCATTAATAGCTTTGGGTAACCTATAAGAACAAATTTTTAGAGGTTGAGATAAATATTTGGAATTCTTTGGTACCATTTATATATGTAAAACAAATTTCTTATCCTTAAAGCAAAAAACGTTTTAGGAATACAGTTCTTCTGCCAGCCATTTGATATAAAATCAGCATTATGCTGTTATTTTTTAAGAATTTTTGTAATGGTTTATTGAAGTATTATCTCTATAGATTATTACCCACCTGAGCAATGCCACATCGCTATCCACCGTACGCTTATCAAAATTGGGATGCGTAAAGCTCTTCATTACCCTCAGCTGAATCTCCGTACCATCCTCATAGTTAAGGTTGTGTTCACCTGAGAACAGAAATGGCAATAAGAATTATAATACTTTTGTTTCAATGATTGGATATTTCAATATTTTTACCTATCCGAACGTAGAGCACCTTCCGCACACAATGGGCGGCGGTTAGAATCCATCGTGGAGCAATGAGAGTACCTCCACAAAATGCTTCCTTGAATCGATTCAGGATGGCCACCTGCCACGGCCATTCGCCCTTCCTCGCCGCCCGTCCTCCGATGATCTTCAGCATGTTGGACATGCTCCTTCGACCAGTTCCACTGCGAACAATACCACACTGCAGTTTCAACGGAGTGTACTCCTTTCCGCGATAGCCCGTTCCCGTCATAATGTAGTTAAGGTCATTCATGGACACCTCCGGCTGCTCGGACTGCATCCTCCGCATGGCATTGGCCGGGGAATTGGACACGGGTCTCGTCTCGAAGGCGGGAGTCTTCTGAAACTGCGTCTGCAGCCACTGCTGGCAAAAACTGCCCTCCGTGTAGCAATATGCGATCTCCCGGAGAACCTCCCGCCCACACTGATCGTTGAGCCGGCATTTTCTGGGGGGAAGAGCAGATTTTATTAGCCTCGTAAATGTAAAAAAATACTTGATGAATTTTAATGGATACAAAATCAGATGTTGAGAATGCATTTCGCCTTTTTTTAAGAACAATACAATTTCTTTGATCTATTTTTGCAGGAATCATTAAAAATGGATTTATCATTAATTAAAATTTCCCAGAAAAAAAAATTAAAAAAGGAAATAATTAATAAAAATTCTGTTAACTTACTTATATCTCCTTGTGGTACACTTTGGCGAGCATTTTGACCATCGACTCCATTTGGAGTAGACCCTTCTTCTCCTGAGAACCAATCCATCCTTGGGAGGTTGCACCCAGCTGATATTTCGGAATTCGTTGTCTGATTCTTCGGAATCTGCATAGTTAGTATCAGGCTCCAGATCGAAATCCTCGTATTGGAACACGTCTCCCTCGACACTGCTCTCTTCCCCTAGATTTTTGGGCCTCAGTGACTTTCTTTCACCAAAGTCCACGAAGTCATCTTCACCAGAGTCCTCTTTTATGGGTTTTCTATAATGAGGCTTTTTACGATTTTGACGTCTTCTATGGCGATGATGCTTCAGTACAAAAAAGTCTCCCTGTTCATCGGAACTTATAAAGTCTTCATCAGGTTCAGGATAAGATTCAACCTCAGGTTCATCTTCTATATCCTCATCGCTGTATGTATCTTTACCATGATATCCCGGCAGATGACGAACCATCTCTTCGGATTTTGGTGGTGGAGTTGGGTGAGTTGGAGGGGGAGTAGGTGGATGAGATGGAGGGAGATAAGGGGGATGTGTTGATGGATAAGTTGGTGGATGAGTTGGAGGATAAGTTGGAGGATGAGTTGGTGGAGCTGGAGGAGGACTTGGAGGGTATGTGGGTGCATAAATAGGTGGATGAGTTGATGGATGAGTTGGTGGATAAGATGGGGGATAAGATGGTGTAGGAATTGCTGGGGATGTATAACCAGAAATCCGGTAATCCAGGGTCGGACCACTTGACGCCGCAGCCGCTGCATTTATGATTATCGAAGGAGGGGGTGGTGGAGGTGGTTGTGGTTGAGGTTGTGGCTGAGGTTGAGGTGGAGGTTGATATTGTGGTTGAGGTGGGGGTTGATATTGCGGTTGTGGCGGGATTCTCTCGTGGATATGGGTCTCTTCAAAAATCAACGGCTGCCTCCATTTCGTAGGAGGTGCAGGATGACAACTGTGAAAAAAAAAAATTTTTTTTTTTTTTTACAAATACCAAGTTTTCAGATCTATCTAAAATTTAAATATAAATTTTTGTTGTGTTCGAAAAATGATAATCAGTGAAATGGGAGACGTTTCCCAAATTAGAACTCGTTTTAAATAAACAAACTTAAAAAAATATGGGAAAACAAATTTCTTAATGTTTGTGCGAACTAATGCTAAAAATAGTCATTCTCGTAAATGCATATGTACTTTTTAGCTACACTTTGCGCTAAATTGATTTAAAAATAAGTCAATATACATAAACAATTTGAACTTTCTTGTCTGGTGCGCTCAAAAAAGCATTACCTAAAAAATGTAAGAAAAACAAAACTAAATGCACAAATAAATTCTGTTTATATTCACCAAAATACAAAATAATAAATAGGTTTTTGTTTGGAACATTTTTTTTACTAAGCCAAAACATTAATAAAAATGATTCCATAAAAAACAGGGTCAAACTGTTTATGGACCTATTAAGAATCATATCAGAGAAAATATTTCAATGCGAAGAACTTAATTTTTGGATTTTCCAGTTAATAAAATAAAACAACGAATAATTCAACTTTTATGGTTGTGGGAAAAATAAGTATATTTACAAGACCATCAAATTTTCAATTTTGTATGATCTTTTTTATGTTCTTGATTAAAAGTTCTACAGCTTGATCATTGAGTTATTTGTTTTAGTCGAAGGGCAAACCAGGCAGCACATGTTATTTAAATTTTATAGAAGACCTTATTTGTTAACAAAATAAATAAATTTTATACATAGATATAGATGTACTCACTGCCTACATTTGCTCTGCTCGACGTGCTTGGTGTGTCCGCACTTGCGCTTCACCTTGCAGAAGCGCTCTCGTCTTTTGACGCACTCCTCGTCGCAGGAGGACCACGGCGACCACCGGCTGAAGGGCTGCTGGTGGTTGAGCGACCTCCGTCGCCCACTCCATCGGTGGTGGTGCGGCATCCGCAGGCGGTGCACCCTCCTCCCATCCACCCAATGGGATTCGTGGTAGTGATGGTGGGTGGGTCGATGGTGACCCACTGCTTCCCAGATTTCCCTCTTCGCCTCGTGCACATGACCACTCTGAAAAGCGAAAATAATGGATAAAAGATATGAGATTGGGTTTTGGATTTCACCTTATATTATATTCAAGGGGTCGAGAGTGTGAAATGCGATCCGAGCCCTATGACTTTGGTCCTAAAAAGAGAACCGCCAGCTTCCCTGTTTTTCCTGCCTCAGTCGAGCAACCACCATAAATCAGACATGTCGCCGCTTTTTATTTGAAGTGTCATTGCACTCGACAGTTTCGTGTCTGCGTCTGCGATCGCATTGTTGATCCCCAAAGGAAAGTACGATGGTATACCATGGGATACCCAGCTCCAGTTCCAAATGCGACGCCAGGCGACGCGACGCCGCACTATAAATAACTCACGCTTTTCGCCGATCCGCCGGGATCCCTGCATCTCAGTTCCAGTCGCAGTCTAAAATAGGCTTCGACGTCTGTCGAGGACCGACCGATTGCCATATAGCCATATAACCTCTTCACCAACGCCCTACAGCTGCAAACAGCCCATAAAACTGGACATTTTCTGCCACATTACTGCATCTCTGCTCTGCACTGCCATTCGAAGAAGCTGAGTCAATCGTGGAAATGGGCCAAGTTTCACAAAGATAAAATGTGTTTTCCTAGAGCGCGATCATGAGCCATTTTGAGGCGAACGCAGCATTAGCTGATAAGTTCTTAATAGAATTCATAACTTTTATTCTAGCATAACAAATAAATAAAACAAATTAAAAAAGCAAACTGTACTGTCCAGATATTTAATAACTTGCGGGTTGAAAATTTCAGAAAATAAGATGGAGAAATAAATAAGAGTTGAGGATCTCTAATATTCTTAATTCGCATCTTACACATTGGTTTAATAAATAATACAACATGAAAATAATATCATATTTTTTGTAAAAGAAAAGACAAATGTATTTAATCTTAGACTTTTGCCAATATTTTACACATATTTTTTATTTTTTTTAAATGTTTTTTAAGTTATTATCTAAACTTAGATTTTTAATGGGAAACATTCAATTTATACAACAAATTAAAGATCCCATTTTAGTACCTGTTACCAAGGTACCTGTTTTTAAAGCCTATTTGACCTTAAGAAGAAATCCAAAATTAACGACATCTCCCAAAAAGTTTTATTAGTTCAATGACTCGCTCTAAAATCTTGGCGGTGTTTTTTCAACCCGAACTCGAACAACAAAGTAGTTCACTTATGCTGCTACCAAATTCTTTCACCCAATCATTTGAATTCTTGTAAAGATGTTTTGGCCAAAACAGGAAGCTATTAACAATCCAGCCAATCTGGATAATCAAGAGATCTGTTTTTCAGCCTATTAGTAAATTAATCGTGTCGCTGAATTATTTAAACGACCGGGTTTACAGCTTAAATTAGACGCATTAAGCAAACTAACACAATCGATGATTTAGAGCGCATTGGCGCACAAGCTTTGCATAATGAGGTGCCAATAAATCAGCCACTTTTCGATGCCTCAATTGAAATCAGACGTAGGTCATGGGCAAATCGGAAAAACCAAAAACCGAAAATGGAAAACCGAAACATTCCCATCAAATCATGCGGAAATACGAACCGCTCTGCACCTCAAGCTCAAGGAGAACTATATATCGTTCCGCAGCCGATTTCGTGCTTACCTCCGGATAACCCCCTCAACAATGGAAATACAAAAAGAAAAAAAAAACAAAATAAAAGAAATAAACGAGAGTGCGACTAATTTGGCCGAGGCAATTGACCTTGCATTCGTAAATAGTTCGCGGTTCCCAATCGAATTGCTTCGGGTTGACGTAATTTCAACGGATTCAACAAGTGGGTGGGCACTAAAATTAAAGTCCATGTACACTCACCTGAGTTTCGACCAGCAGCAGTTGTACCACTGTCAGGAATTCGAGTATCCAGCACACCACTTTCATGCTCAATTGCCTATAATATCGATGTCGTTTTGAAAACCGATCGGATCGGTAATACCGGCGTAACGAATCCGCGTATCCAAATCCAAATCCAAAGACCCTGACAAACGCACTGTAAATAGAAATAAAATGTGCGGTAAGCGGAATGATCGGACTGATAAATGTATTTGGGTGTTCCAGATTTAAAAACACAAGTAATGCCGTCTTGGTTTTAACCTTGAATTTATTGGGAATTCAATGTGTGTGATTACGTTCATTGAAGATTGCATTGCGTTAAGTTCAATAATAGGTCTATTATTTTGATGTTTACTAACAAATATAATATTTTTATAAAAAGTTTGTTTCATAAATTATTTTAATTGGATTTCAAAACACTTTAAGTATGTTATTTTATTCTTAATATTAAAAAAAAAAAACAATAAAAGCATAGTTCTAATTTTGAAAGTAGCTTCATCGTAATAAATCAAATTTAAGCTTTAATAATTTCTTGCAACAACTTAAAGTTATCCAGTTACAACAAATATGCTTTCTCGAGAGGATTACCCAACATAGCAACCATAAAGATTCCTCTTCACTGTTGGATGGCCTAATTAAATTATATAATACACCCACCAGCAGACGTACTTGAACCTGTACTTGTTTTATGCTTTTGAGTGGCTAATTTACCCTGACTAAGCGACTCATTTGCGTCAAACTAAAATCATCCAAAAACATAAAGAGTGCCCCCCACGCACTGCACAATTAAACGATGCCAATGCCGATGGTGAATATAGTGGAATATAGTGGATATAGTGGCTCTAGTGAATCTGGTGGATCTAGTGGATCTGTTGAATCTGTTGAATTCGTTCTCCCGATCTCCCTATCTCGGCGGCCGCCTTTTGCCAACTACAAAGCAAATATTTGAACTTGTCTGAGACCTTAGCCCAAAGCGATCAAAAGCGTGGGCAAAAAAAAAAAAAAAAAAAAAAAGTGAAATTAATTAGCTACATACCCGTACATGTAATTACAAACAGAAGAGATCTGGGAGAATGAAAATTGGAAACATAAAGATAAACTATGAGGTTTTTTTTTCATCGGGATGGCGAGTGCTTTTGATGCTATGCTTCTGCATAAGTGGGTTTTGTATGAAAGGTCTGTACTTATTCTTTTTTTCGTCTCGAACTGCACTGCGGAATTTTAAGTAGACCCAGAAGGAACACAAGTACTGGTACTTTGTACTTGCGTCAACACTGGATCTTGGCCATCACATCCAGATAGTCGGATGCCCAGACACCCAAGTATATATCCCCCAACCGACAATCATATAAGGTCAGATGAACCAAAGCCAGCTGCAAGTTGAATGCATCAGACGATCGATCCTCTCTCCCACATTCGCAATTCTGGTTATTCCAAAATGACCAAATTCGATACGGCCATCCTGACCAGGTTTCCCACAATTGGCCATTTATATTCCGCGCTAAATTCTCGGTGCAACAATAAGGCAAACAACACACAAAACACGAAACCCAATTCCCGGGTGTACCAATCACTCGATGTGATTTATTTACAATGTGAATCCAGCGCCCACTAAACAAACATGCGGATATATTCAATTTTATAAGCACAAAGTATTGAGAAACTCGCGATGCGTGAAGAATCTTTTCGCCGGTTTGATGGAAATAAAAATTCAACAAACAAAAAAAAAAACAAAAAACACTAGAAACTAGAAACTATTTTAACACACCTGACGACATATGATTTATACATTGAGGCGGACATTTCCCCACCAAATCTTTGCGACGAAAACCACTGGTAAACATAAATGATTTATAAAAGTTTCCCAGAATTATGTTTGAAGACATTTGAATTCCCAAGTTGATAAACCCAGAGTTTTGGCGCACATTACTTCTATAAATATATATGAAGAAATTACTTTTAGTTGCACTGAGCCAAAAGTGAAGAAAGTAAAAGTGAAATTAAGGTGGTATTAATATTGTGGGAATTTCAAAAACAATTTCTGTTTTAGTAAAGAAAGTAAAATCAATAGAAACCTTTAGGTTTTTTTTTTAAATTGAACGCTATTGTTTATCTTTTTTTAGTTTTTCTGGCTCTGAATCAAAATTTTAAGTCCCCTTTTTTTTATTTTGCAAAAAGGAAAAAACAGACTTCCTCTGATTTGTTTGCTTACAGATTTTTTAATTCCTTTTGTCTGATTGCTATCCAAACAACATTTATTTGGTATTGGTTTATGAAGTGATTTTTTATTTCCTCAATTTTTGCACGTTCTGTTTGTTCAAATAACCCAAAAATGTATATTTTTTCTGGTTTTTACCACCAATTTTTTACTGATATAGCATGCTCCGTTTGGAAAACTACTAAAATGTCCACCCCAGCGTTCAAACAAAATATTTATGTACATTTGTGTGTACTTCGAGCGACGCGGCTTCTTAATTTAGAATGCGATGCGTCCGCATAGCAAACAGAGCAGCAAACAGCAGCAACAACCTCCGTCTCCGGATTTCGTACCGCCTCCCCGAACCGCCTCCCTCGAACCGCTCCGTTCGGTGTAAACAAACCGCAGCAGCAGTGGGCCCCGCCCCCCACCGCCCACTCCCCGTACAGCTTTACCTTGACAAAGTGCGATTAAAAATCAAATATGACGGGGTCGAATCAGCCATAATTGCTTGACTTATAAATATCATAACATAACATACTATGTATTTCCCAGATGGCGGAGTATCCAGTGACCGGTTTATTGAATTCCTACAGGTGAGTAAGGGTACTTCTGGTTGTGTTTACCTATTCCTCAAATTGGGTGGATCGCCCACCCACCGTAAACCGCCAAACACCACCCACCACCCACCGTTCAATGCCCACGCCTGCTCGGCATGTGGTCGATCTATTTTTCCCATTTTTTTTATTTGCCACTAAATTGCTGCTGCGTAGACCGACGCGATTTTTTATGAATGAAAATGTACAAATTTGGATTTGCCCAGCCGCTTATCGAGAATTGAGTTCCCCACACGGAGAACAAATATACAAAAATATTAGGTGTCTTTTTATGGTTTATTAATGGGAAGTCTCGAAATTAATTTATGTACTTTGAATCTTAAAATGTGATTTAATGGTAACTTTAACAGATTAATATTAGAATATTTATTAAATAAAAAAAATACATATGTAAATGGGTTTGAATATTTAATTTAATTATAATCATATAAATAAAAATTAACCTTATAAAATACATATCAAAGTCATAACATTGAAGTTACGTGTGTAAATAACGAAATGACTAAGGCAGTTATCTTTTTGGTTTAACATTTATACTTGTTTTGAGAAATATTTAAATGTTTACAAGATAACACTTTTAACAAGTTAAGAGCAATATGCATAATATTTAGATAAGCTAAAGGTCGTGTAAATTATGATACTAATAATATGATAATGATTTGAATATGCAACTGAAATATTTACATCGTTTTTCTCTGTGCATTGGGTGGCTGATTTATTTTTTATAATACTAATAATATGTTAATAATTCCAATATGCAACCGAAATGTATATTTTTTCTCAGTGCATTGGGTGGCTGATTTATTTTTTGGCTTTTCGGCCGGCTAGCCACAATGTCTGGTATGGCCAATCAAATGTCGCTGTGTGTGTTGCATGTCCGCGGGCCCGTTTAACCAAATGCAATTTTAATGACGTGACCGGCTACTAAAAAAAAACCGAAATCGCTGCCTTCGGGTTGGCTGTCGTTGGCTTTTGTTTTTCCTATTTATCTGCCGACTCTCAGTGGGCAGTTCGTGGGCAGTATTGGGCATTTGGTATTGTCTACGGATTCGGTCTGGCTTTATTTATTAGTCAGCCTTTTGTAATCGGCTACGCATTAAATTCGTTCTGCGACATCAGCCACATGAGTATTAGCGGAAGTGTTGGAAATAAATCATGCTTCGCATCCACGCACACTGGGCCACAAATGCACAATTTATCGGCATCGATGGCATCGCAAAGACGCCGCCGAGATGATTCCTCCTCCCAAACACCCCACATCCCCACATCCCGGCATCCCTAGATCACCCAGCATCCGATCATCCGGGCATCCACATCCACATCCACGCATCCATGGATCCACTTCCCCACCGCACCACCAGGGCACCCAATTTTCCACAGATGAATTAAATGCATTTTAAACACATATGCAACAACAGATGGGGGCAACCAAATGTGATATCATTTTGATAAAAAATCATTTATAGCAAAAAAATATAAAAAACTAACACTTTGCAATTAAGAATTCATAAGCCAACCCAAATGATAATTTCCACTTTTGATCTTATAATATAAAAGTTTCAACATAATTGCATTCCGGATTATAAAGCAATTTAATTATGTCAACACTATCTTTCGATTAGAATACAAACATCAATGCACAAAAATATTCTACTGAACTATACACGCAATCTGATTTGGGTTTTCCAGAATATAAAATATGCTTTTGCTTTTAAAATTCCTATATAAATATCACACTGAAATTATTTATTTGAACGACAACGAAATATTTCAACCACAAAATATCTTTTTCAAAACTAAAATGTTCCAAAAAGACAAATTCCGACCACCCAATTAATTATCAGGAAACAGAATTTTTCATGGGAACACTATTATTCTGATACAATCTGTTGGGTATCACTCAAATGATTCATTTTCTCTTTTTTAGATAATGATGATCCAAAAATATATCAATTTTTTGCAGCACACTGCTACTATTTTGACTGCAGCTGTGAAATGGCATGCGTGCAGATCGAAATACATCTGCGTTCTTGGTTGCGTTCTATGTGCGTATGTTTTCATGAATGAAACATTTTTTATTCCATTTATCACTTGGCACCATGTCTCCTTCAGCTGCACTTCGATTAGCGACTTGGGAGCATTTTTGGGGGTACAACAACAAAAACCCCATAAACCGAGGCACTTTGCATGCGAACACGGATAAACAGGCCCATATACATTTGGCTTTTATGACTTTAATATTGAACTGTCAACCGTTTAGCGTTTAGCTTTAGTTTACACAACGATTACCTGACGACTCGCACTTCTTGTCGCGATCGAAGTTGTTGATTCGAAAAAGTGTTTCAAATGCCGTTTCGCGCACACATATTGGAGCAATTTTTATTTTTACATTGGAGAACCAGAGACGCACAGAAGCATAAACCACGTCGGATGTGTCGCCTCGCAAACTCCACTGCGCGCTGGCAACAACGTAAACAACCAACCGATTCTGTGCTATCCTCCGCTATATCCGTTCCGTACCGATCTCCGATCCGACCAATCCGTTCCGATCCGATCCAACCGACGTCTTCTCGAGAACTGAGGAGACTGAGCGCAACGCCAACGCTCCGCGGCGAGCTGAAAAAACGTCGCGTTTGCCGTTGACTTTTTCCACACACATGTTGCCGAGCACAGTGGACTGGAACCGGGTGAAAAACGTACGGATCGCTGCGAAAATCCCAGACGGACGCACCAAATGTTGGCAGCATTTCTGCGAACTGTTAATGCGGCGAAGGTGCTAATACACTGGGAAAAAATTCTGTGGAAAACCCATATGTTTTTGGAAATTGTTTAAGATTTGTTTTCAATCTGTAACATCTGTATCATTTTCATATTGAATATTGAATACTAACTTAAAATTTTTTTTATACAAAGTGAAATTTTTTAATGAAAAAAATCTTGAAAAGAAATAATAGTGAAAAATATACTTTATTTTGGAACTCTTCATAGATGGTCTTATAAGTTTTTACTATTTAAAACAAAAAATATTTAAGTAATGTCCTTCCTATAAACTACAAGAATTTTATATTTTTTATAGGTTCTATTTCCGAATATTTTTTCTACAAGAAATCCAAAACTATTTTTTCTCTGCATGGCTACTCCCATTACAGAGCGGGCAGTAAACCAAGTGTTACACGCCATAGACGTTCAAATGAGCCAAACTTTCCCAAAGAAGCATTTTACAATTCGCAATGAAATTTAATATTTTAACGATCGAAAACCAAATACATGATGAGTGTGCGCAGACGCACAAAGGAATTTTGGTAGTAATTAACTTAGGATTTAGCTATATACATTAACTTGGAGTATATCTTTGAGTTCGATTTAGTGGTAGCAATGCCAGGCGGCCACTCGTTGGCCAGGTGGCGATTCCCGGATCAGGCGCATCTGCTCGGATCCCGTGTCACCCGCCTGATCTCCACCGATAATGACCGTTCCGAGGACCAGTTTCTTGCCCATCTTCTTGGTGGCCAACGTGATCCGCAGGACTATGTCCTCCAACTGCTCGAGTCTCTGGAGCGGAATGTCGATGGTTCCCTCGCCGGATCCATCGTCCCATTTGGTGGAGAGGGAGGGAAAGAAAACTGGGGATTTCCATGCATCTATATAGATGCCATGCTCGAAGGCGGTGGTCTTCACATAAATTCCGGAGTTCGCAGTGGCCTCCAGTTCATCCTTGACCTTGTTGGAGCAGCGCATCCTGGTTGTTGTCACTCGAAGCAAATACCTTCCAGAATCGGAACTGCCGGCATTACTGATTCCCATCTTCCGCTTGACCTCCGCCGTCATCCGTTGCCAATTGTTGGTGGAAGGAGTTGAGTTTACTGTTGGAAAAGTGGGCGTTATGGGGGAGGTGGGCGTGTTCGAAGGCGTTGCAGGTGGCAAAGAAGACTCCAAAGGTGTTTCGCATTCAAGGAGATCCCGAACCTCAAGGGCCAGCTCAACCACGCCCTTTGCGGAGTTAAGGAACTGAAAAAATAATGAATAAGAAAATTAAATTAAGAAAAAACTTATAATAATTGCGTGAGTCACAGAACTTAATTAAATTCACTATTTATTGCTTGAAAATTTAATAAAACAAAAAACGAATTTAGTGTAATTTTGAATAAATAGATAAATAGTAAATAGCTAGTAACTTTAATTAGTAGCTTTTTATGAAGCAAATAAATACATTTATAGCTCTCACAGAAATTAATTGGCACATTTTCATAGTTCTTCAACTACAAAAAAATGTATGCAATTTTTATAAATAAAATTTTAATTACATTATTCAAATCTTTACAGTTTAAAGAAACAGCTAAGAACAATAAATCCTATAATGTTAAACTAAAGAACTGCACTACCGCTTTATCGAAAATCTCTTACGGGACATTATTTTTTATCATTAATTGAATTTCGTAAACAAGATTTTGTTTACCCTCCGGCTCGATATGCTTCCCATTTTGGCTTAAAAAGCTACGCTCTCATAAGGTATGTCAACCAATTGAAATCGCATTGGCGTGATAAGATAAATGTCAGAATGACCCACACTGAAAACTAGTTCAAACATATAAACGCCAAAGATATCGCAACCCCCTTTTCCATTGGCATTAGGTAAGGGAAATTAAGCGAGGGTTGGCTTTCAATGAATTTTTTCCGGAATAATATTGACTCAACTTGCACATTAATTTTTTTTTTTTTTCGCTGCAATTAAAAAATTTGCTTTCATTTAAATTTTTGTGGGGTTGTGTTGTTGTGTTTTTCCCGCCCGAGCGGGAAGCTTTCACTTTGAACAATTAAAGCGCACACATCTCCATTACATTTGAAATCACTTGGGGCCACATGTCGCCTGGTTTTGTAACACCGGGTTCGGGTGAACTTGTTTGGCAATACTCTGGGTCAGGTACATATGTTTTTTTTTTATACTCACACTGTTGTTGCTGTTGTTGTTGTTGCCGGGTGACGACTTGGCCACCGTTGTGGTGATATCTTTTATGGGCAGCCACAACTCTTCCGTCGAATAACACCCCGTTCTACTGTTGCGTTGGAAGAGCTTCGATTCCAGGTAGCAGGTGACTGAACCTGCGGGGGAAAAGATACAGATACAGATACTTTTAAAAAGATGACAAATCTTCAAACACAATTTGGAACACAAACTGACTAATAAAGGTAATTAATTTTACCAGATTGAGTTTTTGATAAACGATGAGTGGTCTTATATTTTTTAAGATGCTATGAAGTGACGTTTAAAACAAGTTGATATACACTTAAAAGTTGTTAGTTTAACGGTTGATAATTTAAATAGTTCAACTAGAATACAATTAAACTGGTTGTTTTAAAAAAATCTTCGAAAATTAAAGAAAATTAGTACAAATTCAGTATTGCCCGAAAGTATGCAGTATGTAATTTTTCAAGCTTGTTCCATAAAAATCTCTACTTATTCAAGCCATAAGAATCAATTAAAAACTGTAGAGTTGCGTTTAAATTTAAAACTTTAAATGCAATATAAATAATTACCTATATTCCTCCTCGATTCACTTATTGTCAAGGCTGGCATCGCATCTCTTGTGCTCTCAGATTTTTTCTTTTTTTTCCCCTGATCGTTTGAGCTTCCTCCATTTTCAGTCTTGGCCTCATTTGGAGAACTAGCAGTTGGATCAACGAAACGTTGGACAAAACTTGTACTTTTATCCTTTAGCGAGCGGTATGTCTTGTTAAAGCGATTGAAATTCTGGTAAGAAGAGAATTTAACTGGCGTTTGTGGGGTTTATACGACCAACTTACTGTGGTTGGAAGTTCCAACAGGGCGTATACGGTGAAAACCACAAATTGTCCGGAGAAGAGCTGTTCCGAATCCGGATCGGAGCTATTTGTCTGTCCATTTGTAGGTCGTCGACTTACATGCTTCATGGAGGATCTATTCAATTACCGATTTGAATTACTATAAGGCAAATCTGTCAACGCTTCATTATAGCACATACTTGATATCGGGCACCAGAGGAAACTTGAAATTTTCATTGAACTTTGGCCACGTGTTGGTTTGAATACTGCTGTCCAAGCGTTTCGATCCGGGAAATAGCTTAACCTGCAAAGCGTGAAATTGAAAACAAAATATTAAATAAATAAATTAATTATATGTACTTTGATGTCGAGGTAAGAACTCGCTGTAAACCGCCCACCGAGTGGTGTTAAATAAATAATCAAAAATAATTGTTTGAATAATAACTAAACAATTTTGTGTTTGAATGATTGCTTATTTGGCAGCATCTGGATTTTTGCGTTCAAAATACTTTTATAACTATCTATATGCTTATAAAATAAATAATACACTTAATTACAAAAATCATCATTCATTTCAATCAGAAAAATAGAAACGGATAATAAATGTAGATTTGTCATCTAGTTAACATTTTTTTTAATTTTCAATAATTTTCAACTATCGTAAGAAAACAAACTTTTTCCCTTTCCTTCAAGTTGAGTGCTTTTATCTCAGGCTATTTTCGCAGCTATGTCTCACTTCATGACTAATTAGCACTAATTTACCTTTATCAAATAGCCCTGGACGATCTTGAAACCAAACAGAGAGGGCAGATGTCGGGCGGCGATGAGATGGACGTTGAGTTCTGGTACGTTCGTAGAACCCTTGGTTGGATCACTGTTTTTCGGATTCTCGATTGTGATTTGGAATCCGATCTCCGGATCCAGAGTTACGGAATGGCGGGACGCTCCATTGGAGCTCGAGTGTTGACCGGGTAATAGAGCCCGTAGTTTATTCATGGTTGGTGATCCAAGTGATCCGTGTGATCCGGTTTCTATTCCACACCGGAATGCAATGCAATCCGTTTTTCCATTCGATTGCGCAAAGCGAAGAAGCGATAAATTGTGTAAATGACTTAACACCCGCCGCCGACTTTTTCTTATCTGTGAATCGTACTTCGAGCTGATAAAACTCGCCCCACTCCCGCTCTTTATTATTCTCCGCTCCCTCTCTCTCTCTCTCTCGCTCTCTGCAAAGTGCAGTGCTCTCTGAGATAGGAAAGCTCCAAAACAGCTGATTACTTTCAACTTGGCGCTGCAAAGCTCACCCAATAAGTAATCGTGACCATGGTACAATTATACAAGGTAGTCTCGTCGGCAAAAAGCACTCCCTTATTCATTACTCACCACAAGTGCGAGTGAGAGGAGTCTGCGTAGTAAGTGCGAGTGAAACGACAAAAGAGCTTTTTGCTTAGCCCTTAGATGGTGCATGGGTCTTAAATTGCTCATTTATAGTAATAGGAGTTGAAGTTTTTAATAAATTAATTTTTAATAGTTTTGAATTTAAAATTAAACGTTGTTTTATTTTTGGATAGTTATTTCTTTGTTTAGGTTCTTAATTTTAAAATAAATGTCAATATTAAAGTAAATTTTTGCAATATCTAAATTAATCTTTCTTAGTAGCTATTAATAGTTTCTCCTTTATATTTTTTGTTATACTAAAATTATCTGAAACGACATGTTAAAAAACAAAAAAAGTTTGCAGCCAAGGGCAGAACGACATCTTTGCCCAAGGGTTAATACTCTGAAAAAATTCGTCCGCACACGTGCTCATCCTTCAACAAGCACGAACGCACTGACTAAAAAGCCGAATGAATAGGCAGCCGACGAGACTACCTTGTATAATTGTACCATGATCGTGACCATGGTACAATTATACAAGGTAGTCTCGTCGGCAAAAAGCACTCCCTTATTCATTACTCACCACAAGTGCGAGTGAGAGGAGTCTGCGTAGTAAGTGCGAGTGAAACGACAAAAGAGCTTTTTGCTTAGCCCTTAGATGGTGCATGGGTTTTAAATTGCTCATTTATAGTAATAGGAGTTGAAGTTTTTATAAATTAATTTTTAATTGTTTTGAATTAAAAATTAAACGTTGTTTTTATTTTTGGATAGTTATTTCTTTGTTTAGGTTCTTAATTTTAAAATAAATGTCAATATTAAAGTAATTTTTTTTAATATCTAAATTAATGTTTCTTAGTAGCTATTAATAGTTTCTCCTTTACATTTTTTGTTATACTAAAATTATCTGAAACGACATGTTAAAAAACAAAAAAAATTTGCAGCCAAGGGCAGAACGACATCTTTGCACAAGGGTTAATACTCTGAAAAAATTCGTCCGCACACGTGCTCATCCTTCAACAAGCACGAACGCACTGACTAAAAAGCCGAACGATTAGGCAGCCGACGAGACTACCTTGTATAATTGTACCATGATCGTGACCGTTGGAATTAGATACGCGAGAGCGGCTGTCTTGTAAATGTATTTATGTGCAAGTATGGATTACTATCTTTGGATCGCTCGCTAAACACAAAGATGCACTTCACAAATCCATCTCACAAAGCCAGAAGATTCAGCAAGTGGACTACAAAGACGAACTAGAGCATCTTAACGCGAGTATTTCACAGAATTACAAAACCCGCGATGTTGAGATGTCAACAAGTGTTTGGGGTCAGCCCAGCACAAAGCGGAGCACTTAGCACGACAATTAACGACTTGGATCGAGAATAAGAACGAGAATCAGACGCCGATCTGGACAGTCGCGTTCTCCAGCTGTTCCAGCGCTCAACTGAAAAGTTAACTTGGAAATTACTTCGTATGCGGCCATAATAATAAGCGTACAATCATAATGCCGACACACATTCGCGCGCGCTCACACCCACAGCAAAGGGTAAAATTATAGCATTAAGAAATTGCATTACAAATATAAAAATATGATTATTATTCTTATTTTTTAACAGCTTGCTGCCCTTTAAGTAAGGTTAAAAATGTTATTAGCAGTTTAAAGTGATTTTTGGCAATCTAACATTTGTGTTTTAAAGCCGTTTTAATTCTTTCGGGCCGGATGCTAGTCGGATACGTAATATACTAGTCGGATACGTCATATTTAAAAAAATCTTATTGCTCATACGCAATGTTGTTTTTCTCATTTTATTCTTTCCTTGAGATTCACTAGAGTACATTTTGGTTTTGCCTTCTTTTGGTTCTATTATTTTGCCCGTATCTGTAAGTACGAACGTCGATACAAACAAACGCTCACACTTAAAGCCAAAGAACTTTTGTTCTCTTTCTTGCGGTTGTAGAATGCACTGAGATTCTCTTGTCGACGTTTGTGTCACCGTTATCGCGCTAAAAAAAAAGTAGTGAACCAAACATGCCCCATGGGATTACAAAGATCGGTGGCACGATAGTTCCCCTTCTTCCACCCATGAGCTTGCCCCTTGTCGGTTCTACTGTAAACGGGGCTTTTCCGTCGAACTGTTCGTCTTCTCAACGTCACCACCCACGTACAAAACCACCCACTCGCGGGGTTCTTCACTCTTTTGTCACTTGAGTTTGAACAGTAAAAAACCGACAGAACAAACCCCATTTAACAACCTTTTCACAACAATTAAATAAAAATTAATTTTTACCTTTGAAGGAACAAATCATATAATATTATATTTGTTTTTAAAGATAGCGTATTTTTGCTGTTACTTCCGGACCTTTTATTAGGTGTTCGCCAAAGAAAAAGTTTACTGTAAAGATGGGTGAGGCGATAACAAATTAGTTTCCTGTCGTTTTCAACAATGCGTCATACCGCTTTCGATGTGCAATACCTTAATGTGTTTTAACAAAAACACGGCCTAAAAAGAGACAGTAATAACCTAATGATCAAGGGAATTCCAAGTCATAAAATCACCGCAAGTTAATTTTTTCTTAACAAATTAAACGTAAAAAAAAGGTTGAAAAGAAACACATTTCCTTCTTATCAAGGTAATGCAAACACTATCTCTTTTAGTTATCAACGAATTGAATTGAGGGTTTTTATAGATCATAAGACCCCTGATTAATCCAAGAAAAACCCACTTTTGAATACTGAAATTAAAAACACGTTCATGGAATTCAAATTCACAAGAATAAGTATATACATATATTTAAATAGACATTCATTTAACATAACGTAACGCATGGATGGAATATACAACTGGGAAGCTCAACAGCAGTCCCCATCCATTTTTGGGGTACTGCGGATTGGCGGGAAAGTGGGCACTAAATTAAGACCCAATTCCCGGCGAGACCTTAGTTATACAGAATAGTGGTGATGCTTTTTTTAAATAGGTACGAAGTGTGCATGCCCGCGCGTCTTGTCGACTGTCTCAATGGTATCCTGGCCTATCCTAGCTTAGCCTACGGAGATGGGATTATTGCACTGAGGAATCTAGTCCACTTCCAGTTTCCTAAAACTGCCCACGACTCCGGCATCGATGTCGCCAATATCATTTCCCGCAAAATTGGCCGCATCCTTGGTGATCTCGATCTGCATGTCATCCAGAGCAAGGATCGCCGCCCGACGCTTCAGGAGTTTCTGCTTGAACTCGGCGATCATGTCGGCAATTGGCACAGTTCCACCGTATTCCTTTGGCAGGATAGCGGGATCGATCTTGTTCTTCAGGATGTCAACATTTTTGTGAACCTGCAATAAAAAGAAATAGGGTAATTTAAAGAACAAACTAAATATTCAAAATTTAATTTATATAATTAAATTTTGAATGAATTTTCAAAATAAAGAAAATAAATACAATAAAATGTAAAATTACAGAGTAGCTTGGAATTCTCTATGTTCCAATTAAAATTAAAAGAAAAGAAATATAAAAGCCTGGAAGTAGGCACTAAAATTCTAGAGAATCAAATGTTCAGTGATAACATATTTGGTTGCAATTAAATTAAATTAAACATATTCAATTGAACACTTAAAATCAGCATATCTTCTTTTGCTTTGTTTAGTCAAGAATATATCCAGATCTTTTGATCAGTTCATTCAATGTTTTTTCCCTTTTTTGTTATTAAACTCACGATGATTCGCTTCTTAAGCTTGTCGCTCAGCATGGACACTCCCAGCTCGATAATCCGATTGGCGTAATGGGGAATGTTGACGAAGTGCGTCTCCTTGTGTCTCATGGGCGTCGAATTCTGGATGCACTTCACAATGCTGCGCAGGTCGGTCAAAGACCACAGGCTCACAAAGCCCATGTTCATGCCACTCTCATCGTTGATGTACACGTATCCGGCCACCTGGGAATCCTCATCATCCAGGAGAGCCTCGCAGATCAGACTGTGGACACGCGCCATTTGCACCGAAGTAAACTGAAAAAAAAGATAGTTAATTAGTAAGAAGGTTTAGTCAGATAAAAAATTTAAGGAAAGTAGTATTTTGTTAGATGTATATATTGAAGAAATTAAATATAACCATGAAGTCCGAATTATACAATACATAATAATTTAAAATCGAAACAAAAGTTGTACTATTATTCTTTAGGGATTGTAATGGCACACAAAAGTAAAATTGTACATTCTTTTATATTGTGTTATAAAGTAATTATTTGATTAAAACAACATTACATATTTATAAACCGAATGTGGCACAAAAAAAAATACAATAGTTTTCAAGGAATAAAGCCTAACAATCACTATCCATTAAATAACAATTTCTCCTTTTCAATTGTTGTTAAAAAATATTTGTGACTTGCCCAGATTGTTTGTTAATTCTTACCTTGTAGGGATCGAATTTTGCGGCCACGGAGAAGATGACCTGTCGCCCGGTGGAGTCCCTCTGCGGCAGCGGCACCAGGTATCCGTTCTCGAAGATCTCGTTGATGGCCGGGTCGTTGATGTCCAGCTGCTTGAACCACTGCGGATACAGCTGGCGGATGGTCAGGTAACGCTCGAGCATTTCGCAGGCGGCCGGAACGGAGAACTTCTTGGTGCGCAGGAAGCGCAGCAGGAAGACCGTGTCCGTGCGGCACTTCCGGATGTGCGGATGCTTGTCGATCCACTCGCGGAACTGGGCCAACGCCTGCCGGCGGATGTTCTCGTCCTCGTGCAGCTCCTCCTTGGCCACCTGCTTCATCGCCGTGCTCAATCCACAGACATACGGATAGTCATAGTCGCCACCGGTACTGTCCGCCGGTCCGTTCAGTTTTGGTTGTTGCAGCACCTCGGTTTCAAGCACTAAAAAAATAGTTTTAATTAAGAAATTATATTACACAATTCACAGCGAACCATGCTTCATAATTACAAATTAAATTTAAATTGTGTTACGCAAAAGCAACGCTCAAAATTAAAAGAGCAGAACATATTCATCGGCAGCAATGAAAACCTAAAAATATTATCTGTCCAATTAACACTTTCACTTTTAGTAAGCCACAGCTGCCAAGTTAAAACTCGATTTCACTAAAACATTTACGACCTGCCTAATGAATTTCCCTTTTAATTACACCGTGAAGATGTAGACCACTTTAAATTCGATATTGAATCATTGCGTTTTTCAAATAAAAAAAGCTATACTATGGTTTTTATTTTTTAATAAGGGGTTAGCCCTTTTTGTAATACAAAAATGACTGATGTCATATTTTATCTATTCAAAGCTAAAAAAAAAGGAAACGTATTGTGACAGAAAATCTAAATATTAAGATCCACTTAAAAAAACAAAATAAAATAAAATAAAGAATGTATTACCAAGGCTATGCAATATTTTTATAAAAATAAACTGCATCTTAATCTATAGTAATCCGATCTTAATTACCGTTTTCAACTTGAACTCAAATGAGTTCAGCTTAATCTAAAAGTGGATTCCAGTCTCAACTATCTCAACTTAAGATCCCTTGCATTCAGACCACCAATCTATAAACCCGCTTAAATGTTTCTCCCACCCGAACGCATTCCAACTTAATGCGATATCAATTAACTACATCGAACCACATTTTTTTGGCCCGCTGGTAAGCGAAAATATTGGGCTAAAATGGCAGTGGCCGCTGCCAGATTTCTTCATGGCTGACACCAGCCCGACTCTAATTGGCCGGTTGCCCTTGGTTCGGTGGCGATGATTGTGCAACCCGAAATGTTAAAATTCATCGAACTCTCAAGGGTCAGCGCAGTTTACTGGACCACCCCACAACCATCTCGATATAAATATAATACGTCTATGCATACCAATTAATCCCACTTGACTTTTGACTGCACAATGTCATCGGACCGGACTGAAAAACTGAAAAAAAAAAATGGGCAACTGGATTGTGTTGGCTCAAAAAGCGACCAGAGTGCAATGGCTTGCGTGGGCCACACAATTTTTGAATCGCAAATTTCGTTGGAGCTCTGCTCACCATCCAACATCGATTTGAATTCGGTTAGCTAATCTAACGAAGATGCTGCCATTTCCGCTACTTATTTTTCGCCTTTTTTTCATAGTCTTACAGAGGTCCATTGACCGTGACCCAAAATCCGCCGGCAAACTGCTTTGCATACGAATCGAATGTCTTTGGTTTAGTATAGTTTTTTTTTTTTTTTTTTTTTTTGTAAGGTTTTGTCATTTCGGCGCCCATTTAAATTTCTAGTCGTAAAAACCCCGACGAAGGTCGAGAGAAAGATGCGCGAAGCGGAGTTGCCGCCCTGTAATTGCGGATCGGATGGCAAACAAGGCGATGGATGGTCCAACAATTTTTTGGTCAACAAACTGTTTATTACCAGTTTGTTCACTTTCATGGCCTTCACACAGTTTCCAACGCAATCGATCCCTCGTCCGCCAGTTGGTCTGATGTAAAGAAAAATAAAAAAAAATTGAACGTATGGAATTGCCCTGCTTTGAATAACGTATACATCCAATTTAAAAAGTATATATGGGGGGCTTTGGTAACTCGATCATTTATGGGCCAGGCGATGAAGATGGCCGACTGTCCGCCGAAACTTGCGATTTGTAATTTTGTATCGTTTCTTTCGCCTTCGTTTTCCGCTCCGCCAATTAGCTTGTTGGTTACATCACATCATCACAGAGCATAAAAGCTGCCAAACCGAAAAGTACGTCTTACCGATCACGCAGCACTATCGCCAACTTTTTTTGGTAAGAGTAAAGAGTGCAGGCCCGAGAAATGCTCAAAACAGGTTTTTCCCATCCCACCACTCGACCCAATCCACTCCCATTACACGCAGAAAAAGGGGATGGGGATCCGCATCCGGAAATCAAAATTGCATTGCATAGTCACTCAGAAGAAAACTAACCGAATCATAAATTTTAATATTATAAACACCAACCTATTTAAATCAAACTATAATTTACATTTAAATCTCTTAAATTTACATTCCTCTATTGCAATATTATCTTCGTATTTTGACCTCTTTGTATTATATATATATAATATATGTTATATCTTGTTTTGATGTTTTATTATTATATAACAAGCTCTTTTATTAACCCAATGACTTTGCAAATATTTTTAAGCCAAAGCTATTAACATTAGTTTGCTGTAATAGATCGTTATAATAGATCGTTATATAATAATAAAATTTAAAAATTTTATAATTTTAAAGATTTAAAATTCCATTCATAAATTATAATTAATACAAAAATAATAGTATTCTTTAAGTGAGTAAGGTTTTTATGAGGCTGCCCTCTAATACTTTAAAGTATGACTTGCAAAACTAAATGCATACAAAATTTCAAGACCAAGGTTTAAGCCGTTAAGTGACCCCCGATTTCTCACCGTGCACTTGCCCAATTCCAGCCCATGACCGTGCACATTGGCAATATTGGTTCGCTTGACTCAATTTCGACTTTCGTATAGACGGGCGTATCGGGCGTATTTACGACTTGTCGATTTGCATCTGCCTTTCCGGATTATCATGCAGATTGCATTTTGCCACAATTACGACTGAGTTCGCTCGCTAATGTTCCCCGGATGAGTAGTGCTTTATATTCATGTGTCAGAATCTAATGGCGCTGCAATCAGCGGAATTCATTAACCAAGCTCTTCACGTTCGCCAGCCAAGGCTTTTTGTGTTAGTCGTTGGTCAAGGCTGGGCCTTAAAACTCCATTAGTTGCACTATTAACTGGCCACTGAATAGCCGGGAGTCTCCGGTATTTATGGCACCCAGAATTAAAGTCGAGGTCGTGGCTTTAAGTCAAAGGAAATTGACACGTCGATGGCTGCGTCCGTGGCAATTACACAATGGGGCACTTGCCATGAATATTTATATGCGAAACGCACAAATTGCATTGCACACGAGCACGTTTTTCAAGCACTTGGCTTTTACGGTGTGTTGGCCAACTTCGGCCGAGGAGACCTTGCAGGCCTCTGTGGCTCGGCAATTAAGCCAGCAAACAGAATTACAAAACTCTCAAGACCCAAAACTATCGGCCGTAAAAAAATGAGTGGCGCGAAACACTTGCAGTGGGTCAATAAAGCGTAATTAAAAGGCTTTAAGAAAATGATGATTTTTGTATGGTTACACCCACGCGACCACTTAAATGCAGGTATCTATCTTATAACACTGAGGGAAATTTGTGGAACTTTAAAAAAACAGTAAGGATTAAAAATACAATTGTAAGTCTGACCATACTTACCAAATAAACTTAGTAAGTTATTGGTATTTAATGTGATTTTAAAATAAAATAATATTAAAACGTGATTGGATTTTGAAATTAGAAATTTACAGTAAAATATCTGATAAGTAAAAGATATATATTAAGATATATATTACGGATATATTAACATTATCCTTCCAAATTTTTGAATATGATCCACTTTTAAAACTGCATCAAATGTTTGTTTATTTATCTTCTTTTAAAATCAAACTATTCATAGAATTTTAAGGAAATTATCCTTTTCCGAACTTTTAAAATAATTCTTTGACAATTCAAATTTAATATTTATATCAAATATTTCCCGTGTAATCAAAGTCTGGCCTGGTTATCCCAGGTAAACAGTAGCAATCTACAAGTGTCTCTGCGCATGCGCAACAGCTGCAAAGAGCAAAGAGCTGTACTGGGTGAAAGCGAAAGTTTTTCACCACCTCACGAGCTTTTCTCGAGCCTTTTACATAATGCACCATAATGCTCCATCCTTTTTTTTTTTATATACCCAATACCGTTCCCGCTAATTTGAGGTTTTTATGGGGGAAATTCTGAGCTCAACTCACTTTTGGTTTAAGCACTGGCACACTGGATGATTTCACAAGTTGTTAATCTTATATAACAATATTTATCTATACGCGTTGCAAGTGGGGATCTGCCTGAACTCCGGGCTCTAATTGATCGCCGGGATATCCGTGTTGGTGAGTTCCGCAACTGGCGACGATGTGAACGTGGGTACGCTTTGAGCGAAACTGCCAATTTTTTGACTGAAAATTTATTTAAACCTCGCGCTCTCGGCCGACCGATTTCACTCAGTTTCGGTTCGGTTGAGTGGGATTTGCTGAGTGGGGAGCCCGACTTGGCCGAACTGAGCGGAGCCGAGAGCCCCGAATCCGAATCCGAACTTGGGGATAGCGGCGGCATGGAAAGTGGTTTCGAAAGGCTGACGTCTTTACTTTATTATTCTTGCCCTGGGTCAAGGTGTCGCATGCCAGTGATCCTCCTCTAATTGCGTTGAGGGTCCGCAAAAAAACCCAGCAGCTTCCATGGATCCGATCCCTTCCTCGCTTCCTAGTCGTCACACAGTTTAAAGGGGTTCAAAGACTAAACGACCCTAATTTCATTCAGCGCGTGTTAATCTTATTTTTACTCTGGGCATCTGCAAGCGTTTATTTGGGGTGACGTCAACCCAGAGACAGAGGTGCTATTTACAAAGGTCGCCAGCAGCGATTAACCCAAATGTACCCAAACAATCCCAAAATAATTAGCCATATTGCGCGTAATAGGTACATCAACTAATAGCCATAATACTTTCATGCTTCATTTCTGCGGTTGGCGAAACTAATAGCTTCCGCATAATATTTTTCGCTTACTATCAAAATACTGAATCAAGGAATAAAAGAACTGGGAAACCTAAACAGATTCTGTCACCAATTTATATTGATGATGTTTAGTTTTAAATACATATGCTTTTCTAGTTCATTTAATACCTTTTCAAAAGATAATAAGCAAAATGTTACTCATTAACCCTTAAATAAATACCTAAGCCATATTTGTAAATAATGTATATTTTAAATTATCTATCATTAAATATTATTAGTAATACTCAGTCAAGTTAGAAAAATTCTACTCCATAGAAAACTTTCATTAATTATTGTCAAAACTACACAAATATATACAAATGAATGAAAAATGCTGGTTATATAGTTTTCCAGTAATAATATATTAGGTATCACAGCTTATACTACTTTTAGTCGTAAAAGCTTAGAATTCTCAGTTAACGACATAAAAAAAGCCACATCAAAGTTTGAGTGTCAAACGTGCCGACCAAAAGATTGATGCTCCCATTTTCTCCCTTTGTCTTGGACATTCCATTTCATTTTATGAAGATGAACTATTGGCAACCAAAAAGATTAAATAGAGCAACTAGGCGCAATGACCTTATTTAGTGAGAAATACTATTAGAATTAGGTACACTCGTGCTTTCAAATTATCGTCATAAATTCATGTGTAACACATCCATTGTTTATTGTAGTATTTATACATATTATAGAAAAGCGCTTTGCACTGGTTTAAAACTCAATTGCAAACGGATAGTACTTGTGGTTCTGGCCCTTGATCAAATTTAATGGCACAACGCGTTCGCCAGTGTGATAGCCATCGAGAACGGACATTTCCTCGGTGGTCAACTCAAAATCGAAGATATCGAAGTTTTCCGAGATTCGGTTAGTATTCGACGACTTGGGAATAGGGATAACACCAAGGGCAACCTGAGAAATAAAGGTAATTTAGATGGTGTTCATGGGATACGGAAAGTCTTTACTTACCAGATAACGCAAGACAACCTGCGGTGTAGTCTTGCCATATTTCTGGGCAATAGCGACCACTTCCGGGGAATAGATAAAATCCGGCTTTTGGATATCAGGCTTGGGCTTTCCCAACGGAGTATAACCCGTCACAGTGACATCGTTCTTCTTGCAGAAGGCAGTCAAGGCCTTCTGGTTGAGAGCTGGTGAGCACTCCACCTGGTTGGTGACGGGTTTGATCTCACAGTTGGCCAAAACTCGTGCCAGCTGTTCGCTGTTGAAGTTGGAAACTCCGATGCTGCGGACCAGCCCCAGTTTCACCAGTTTTTCCATGGCCTTGTACGTATCCAGATAGTCAACATCGCTGAGCTGAAGCACATCATCCTCATTCTTTGGCAAAAGAGTGTTCTCGTCAACATATTTGTAGCCCACTGGCATGTGCATCAGGTACAGGTCGATGTAGTCCAAGCCAAAGTTGCTCAACTGTTTGCGGCAAATGCCCTCAACGAGCTCAGGATCGTGGAAAACATTCCAGAGCTGAAAGAAAAATGTATAAATTGGTTTTCCTAAACAGAATTCCCATTATTTACCTTGGTAACAAGGAAAATATCCTCTCGCTTAACCACTCCCTCTTCAATTTTATCCCGAATCGCCTTGCCCACTTCTGCCTCGTTTTGATAAAAGTAGGCGGTGTCTATATGACGATAACCCACATCGATGGCGTGCTTTACAGCAGCCTCGCCTTCGTTGTCCTTGGACTGCAATTATATAAAATCGTTATTAATTTCATCTATTTACAGGAGAGGAAATGTGCTTTGTTATGCGTTTTTTGAAATCAATATACAGATTTTTCCGACCAGACAGCCACGTCCATTTTAGCCAGACCACTTTGCGAGTTTCGGAAGGTCGGGAACAGACCAATAGAAACCACATACCTAGTTATATTCAAGAACAAAGGCAAAAGGCTAAGGAGAGATACGACAAACTTTGATCCGAAAATATCAAGTATAAAAAAGCAATATTCTTAGCAAAGAATTTAAAATGTAATCTTATAATTGTAACCAATATAATATAATTTTTCAGGATTTCAAATAGGTAAATAAAATATTAAACTTAAATTACTGTAAAAAATATACGTTACTAACTTAAATAATATGCTTCAGAGGATTCCATAAGTTTTATAAAATTATAAATTGATGTTCTATAACTCCTTTTTTCTAATAAGGATAGTACTGATGATTCTTTGCTTTTTCAAACTTCCAGATTCGCCGGCCCAGATTAAAATCCCCGAATAATTCCAATTCATCTGACGTTAACTGAAAATCAAAGACATTAAGGTTCTCGATAAGGTGAATCTCCTGAGCAGCTTTTGGAATAGGAACAGTGCCAATTTGGATCTGTGGAAGGTTTTTTCATCTATTAAAAACCTTTTATATGGAATATTCTAGGGTTTTTTACCAAATATCTTATAATGACTTGTGCTGGTGTCTTGCCATATTTGTCTGCCATGGCCAAAACTTTGGGATCAAGGTAGTATTCAGGTAATGGTCGGCAACTCTTTGGACGACCCAGAGGCGAATAGGCAACTACGGTGATATTGTGCAATTTACAGAGCTCGATCAATGGCATTTGCACTAATTCCGGATGGCATTCGATTTGAAGAGCTACAGGTTTGATTTGACAGTTTTCTAACAATCTTTCCAGTTGTTTGGCATTAAAATTTGACAATCCCAGGCTGCGAACCAGTCCCAAATCCACCAGTTGCTCCATGCTCCTATAAGTATCCAGATAGTCCACATCGCTGTGAATCCGAAGATCAGTTTGTGTCTGGATTTATTTTTTCCGTAACTCACTTTGTGCATAGTTCTCCGTTTTCGTGGGGCATCAGATCATCATCTGATATGTAAGGCACACCCACAGGCGAGTGCATCAGATATAAATCTATGTAGTCCACGCCCAATAGCTTTAATTGCACTTCGCAGGCGTATTTTACCCTCTTGGGTTCGTGATAAATGTCCCAAAGCTAATTGGATATCGATTTTCAATCTGTTTATTAATTCTAGCCACTGTTTATTCCGGGAAATGATATACCTACCTTTGTGACTAGAAACACCTGTTCCCTCTTTAGTTTTTTGTCGCCCATAAATTGGCCCAATACTTTGCCTATAATACCTTCATTTCTATACAAATAAGCGGTGTCTATATGCCGATAACCCAATTCAAGGGCTTGGCGTACTGCAGCCTCACATCGAGACTTCTTGAGCTACAGATAACAACATAATTTCACAATTGTACTAAACTGAAGGTAGAATGTACCATGAACATACATACTATACAAATCTCTTAATTGATTGATAAGGAAAATTGATTATAAAGATAAACTTACATTGTAGGTTCCTAGGCCCAAAATTGGCATTTCATAGCCATTGTTCAATTTTACAGTCGGAGCTAGCTTCATATTTAACGAGTCAAACAAGAATAAGTTAAAAAATTATGATCGCTATATAATGCCGGTAGAGATGAAAGTTCTGTATTATCGATGATAAAAACAAAAACAAAAACATCTATTTGACATCGATTTCTTTCAGTTTTCGATACGCCGGACTTTTTAAAATAATTATTTTCAACTGTACATTTTTTTAGGCACTTAAGATTTCTTAAATTTTTAAGGAAAAACACATTTAACATTCGTGTTAATGGTATTGTTTTTAATTTAATTTAGTTTACGTTTTAAATTAACAGAAATTAAATAATAGAATTTAACATTAAACACCCCCAATGAGTAAATGCACAATAGTCTAAATTTTGGTCTTTTACAATACTGGCTTATAACGAGTACCTAGAACAGCTGTTACAAAATATTTTTCTACCCAAGTCTAAACAAACAGAAACAAAAGAAAAAGAAAAAAAACTATATATTAAACAAAATCGGTAGTTGTTAAAATTGTAACATTTTTAGATAATTTTTAAAATCACGAAAAATAAACTGTCAAAAATCTTACTATAAAAAATCTCGCTTTAAGCCTGCACAAAAAAACCCTGAGGAGTAGGTAAACAAATCAATTATATTTTTGAGCTATATCGACATTAATTTTTGAAGGCAATCATGAGCCATTTGGGCATAACAGATGTTCATCAGTCCCAGGATGCCACTCCGGACTTGGAATCCTTTACTGGTTTTGGAAATTCCGCTGCAGAAGCTTTTATTCAAAGTTTGGCTGGAATGGTGAACCAGGGCGATGTGGAAACCATGATAAGGGCGCAAAAGCAAATGTAAGTAAAATTAGTTTGTTTACAATGAAAAAATATAAATCTTATATATTCTATTCCATAGGCTGCAACGATTTGAGAAAACCAATGAGATGCTGCTGAATTGTAATGCTCTATCACAAAGTCGACTAAAAAGTGCCAGCGAGGATTTCAAAAGGCATGTAAAATGCCTGAACGACATGAAAAAGGATCTGGACTATATATTTCGTAAGATACGAGTCATCAAGCAAAAGCTTCAGTTGCAATACCCCGCCATTTATGCGGAAGTCCAGCCTCAAAGGAGCAGTTTGGCTGAGGAAGCCGAGGATGACACAGAAGCTCAGGCCAAAAAGTCATCAGAACACAATGCTCCTTCTGCAGGAAAACCTGTAGCAGCAACGGCAGCCACGAAGAAGAGTGCTGCCACCATTGAGTATGTGCAAATGGAGGAGGCTGTGGAAAATGGAACTGTGGAGATCGAAAACGAATTGATCAAACGGGTCTGCTCCGTGGAAACGGCGAATCCTAACGATTCCTCCGATTGCACATCCGAAGATACAGGTTGAAAGCTCTATTCCAATTAGTTAGCTTTAGTTTTATAGTAAATGTGTAATGTATAATAATTTATTGGCTTAAAATATAATCTGATACTTGTACTGCTTGGGCACCTTTGAGATTATAACCCGACCATCGTAGCTCAGGGAAGCAAAGATCCACGGATCCACATTGCTCCACTCCGCACAGTACACGGAGTCTTCGTGCTGATCGAAGGTCTGCAGCAGTCCATCCGGCAAGAGTTTGTGCCTCTCCTCGGTTTCTGCGCCACTGAAGTTGGAGTCATCTAGTCCAGCCTGCACTTGAGTCTCCGAACTCACTGATCCTGCGCAGGTCAACAAAACTTTGCAGTCACTTGAGCTAGAGAGGAGCAGCTGGTCATGGAATGTGTTGAAGCGCACGGACCACACCCAATGCGAATGATCCGAGCGCTCGAAAACCGGAGCCTTGGGCATCCGGCAGTCCCAGATCCTCAGATAGCCATCATCTCCACCGGTCACCAGGTGGCACTGCTTGTTAGGATTGCAGTCCAGGTCGCGAACCATCTGTCCATGGGCATCGTTAATGCTCCAGGCACAATGCTGCGTGTCCCGCACATCGTATGCACTCAGATTGCCATCGTTGAGGGTGAGGAACTGGTGACCCTGATGGTGATGGGACCACTTGCCTGTGGTAAAGTGCTGCGTGTGCTTGGCGGACCCGCTGGAGGATCCACTAGAGGGCACTTCGGCCACCACGCGAGTGGAAGCTTCAGCCCTCTGCATCACCGCCACTTTGTTGTCCACCACGCAGGCGAGAGTCTGCTCCTGGCTGGGGTGGAATTCGATTGTTTTGACCCGTTCTCCGAGGGCTTCGGTGTCGAGGACCTCAACCTGTTGCCAGGGCAGGTATTCCGACTTAAGTTGCTCGGGATCTGGGTTTAAGTCCTCCGGTAGCGTAAATAAAGCCGATTTGGTAAGCACTTGAGCTCCTTTTTGCACATTGTAAACGGAGGCCAACAAGCGGGCATTATGTGGGCAGCTATTCAGTTTCCAAACTTCACCCAAGGAATGCTCGAAGACCTGGGCAATGTATACTTCTTAGTAATATCTTTGACAAAGTCAGATTTTTACCTTTGATTGCACAGTTCCCTGTTCCTCCTCGTACTGAATTAAATGCACTTGATTCGTGGGTTTCAAGGAATTGGTGGCTATGAAAAAGCACACATCATTACTCTCACCATATTGCGGTGTTAGGGCTCTAGCTTGAAGCTCTAAACCATAAATCAAGCTGTTTTCATCCATTTTTCAAATATTGTCTCAATGTTTTGATTTTGAGACGAAATAGGTACGAAATACACGTACACAGAAATGTGTACCTAGCAGTGTTGGTAGGTATCAAATGGTTTTTTGGTTTTAGCCCTGTCCAATTAATTTAATATATTGGGTGTGGCAGTAGAATATCAAATTATATATTCTCATCCAAATAATAATTATTTATTTAGTAATTTGATGTAGCTTTTTTAAACCTATTTTCCGTTACTATTTTGCCAGTGTGCCCTGTTGGCTAACCATCGATTTCCCTCAAATAACTCAGCAAAATACAACCCTGTGCACGCCCAAACACAGTTTCTTCTCGTTCTCCTTCCATTTTGTTTTCACACAAAAGTGAAAAAAATATCCGAAAAAGCAACAGACGCGTATTCCGACCGATCCGTTCAAACAAAATTTCCACTATAAAGTACATATAATCATTGGAGCCCATTCAAAACGTTCAAAACGCCACGAAGCGCGCAAAATTAGCACACGCATATAAAGACCACGAAAACCATATAGCGGATAGCCCATATAGCATCCAAACCTATATCCTATATAGCCATGGCTCAGAATATCAGCCCCGAACAGAGCGGTGGAGCAGGGGGCGGGGGCAGCAAGCATAGCGATGACTCTTTGCCCGTGAAAGACAATCACGCCGTGAGTAAAAGGTGAGTACATCACATGGTCCAGCTTGCCCCGTGGAGCACCTCCTTACCTGAATTCCCTTTCCAAACAGACTGCACAAGGAACTGATGAATCTGATGATGGCCAACGAGAAGGGCATCTCGGCGTTTCCGGACGGCGAGAACATCTTTAAGTGGGTTGGCACCATTGCGGGTCCACGGAATACTGTGTACTCCGGGCAGACATACCGTCTGTCGCTGGACTTTCCCAATTCGTATCCGTACGCGGCACCCGTGGTCAAGTTCCTGACGTCCTGCTTCCATCCCAACGTTGATCTGCAGGGCGCCATCTGCCTGGACATCCTAAAGGACAAGTGGTCGGCCCTGTACGATGTACGCACCATTCTGCTGTCCATACAATCCCTGCTGGGCGAGCCGAACAACGAGAGTCCACTGAATGCGCAGGCCGCGATGATGTGGAACGACCAAAAGGAGTACAAAAAATATCTAGACGCCTTCTATGAGAAACACAAGGACACCTAGAGTTTGTGGCGACTGAAGAGTGTTCTATCCTATGCTCATATTGCGGCGTATTTATTTACATATAGTGCAAGCAACTCCAATCATCTGATCCTACTGCCCGATCATCATCATCATCATCAACAATCTCCACCGTATCAATTCAACATCGTTTAATGCTGATTTTACCTTGGCAAAAGAAAAACCCTGTGCATTTCTTATGTAATTGTCGAACGATAGACGAATAATCTGGTTTTTATTATCATTTTTCTTTCCTCCTCCACCCACAAATTAATGATATATGAATGTATTGGTAATGTAATTTTAAAACTGTCCGTTCTTTAAGCTTAAGCATAAATTTTAGTTAATTGTTTTTATACGCATGAGTTTGAATCGAGCGCAACCGCCGCTTTCCGTTTTGTACTGATGATTTTTAAGCGACTGTGCTGCGCCGGCCATTATGTGAATGTTAGCTAATTTTAGAGTAGCCTCACCGAACCAACCACTCGTCTTAGTATCTCCATTCATGCGGCATTCTCCCAAAACTACTGGTGTAACAAATTCCAAGTAATTCGAATCATTGTAACAGTTGAGTTAGCTTGATGTTATTGAAACAACTACAAATAAAACAAAATATTGAACTACATAATATCGCCGGCTGAGTCGTGTTTTTTCAGATGTGTGGACAGGGATAATCTGTTCTTAAATATCCGTCCGCACTTTCTGCATCTCAGTAGATTCTTGTTTCCGTGCTTACGCTGCAGGTGATTCATCATGTTTTCCTTGGTGTAGAATCTCAGGTCACAGAATTGGCAGGGATATTTCCATTCCTCCGCATTATCATGGATCCTCTTGTGGCGGATGAGATGGGCCTTTCGCACAAAGGATTTACCGCACTCTTCGCAAATGTGCAGGGAATCGGGGGATTCTAGCTCCGCAGTCCTTTGGTGTGCCCTTTTTTGGTGATATTTGAGACTTCTGTCAGCTGTATACACCTTATTGCATTCTGGACAGGGAAAGGTTACCCTCGCGGAGGTATTATGATGCGTCTCCCGCAGGTGCGAGTCTAAAAGATTGGCTCTCGCGTAACTTTTGCCACAATGGACGCAGGTATACGGTCTTAGACCCTCATGCTGCCTCATATGGGCCTCCAGCAGCGACGATTTGTAGAAGCCGCGATGGCATATGCTGCACTGGAGGGTGTGTCTCACTCTTCGCTTCCTTTCTCCCGTCCTGTTTCTAATTGACGATATGGGTTTCCTCTCTTTTCCAAAATCCTGTTTGGCAGACTCGTCCTCAATGATGTATACCTCCTCCTAGAAAATAAATGGATATATAATAAGTGACCTTTACAAAAAAGAAATAAAGGAAAGGTAGCATATTAAGTAAGTTTTTATCCCTTTGCAAAGCAATTTTTCCCTGTAAGCCGATTTACGTATTTATTTACCAAAAGTTTTAACTATCTCTTATCAGGTTTTTCTTTTTTTTCTTATCGTTTTATTTAATAGTGAGAAGAAAACATTTTTGAAGAAAAGAAAATCAAGGTCATTGATCTTCTGTTAAACTTTAGAACTTAAAAGAATGCGAACTAATGATTTTTTTAAATGAGAAGAACGCTATTTTAGGTTATCAAACTATTTCCAAAATTTTAATTATTTATTTATATTTTAAATCATTTAATGTTTGCAGGCACCTCATAAACAAGCTTTCATGTTTATGTCCAATCTCAGCATCTTCTTAACACAAAATCTGGAAATAACTGGATATCATGAACTTGATGAAAATACACCTTTCATTTAAGAGCCCTAAATAACGGCACATTCGTCTGCTGCCTAACTTTTATTAATCTTATATATGTATGTGTGTATGTGCCGTGGAAAAATTATAAATAACCAGTAGATTGGACCTGCCTCCTTTTCGAATGCTATCACAATCACAACAAACATTCAGACACAAACAAAAATAGTTTAATACAAACAAAACCCCAAAATGTTTATGTTTATGGCGGCAAATGGGAAAGTATTGTCTTTGCTGCTAGGCAACACCTCAAGCACCGAATCTGATTATAGATTAGATTACGGCAGCGGCACACTTGTGCACATGATAAAACTCACAATCTCCTCAGTTGACTCGACGATGTCCATTGGGGCTTCCTTATTATACGATTCGTTGCTTTCCGAGGGGGTATCCAAATCGGGCATATTGGCCAGTTCATCCTGCTGTTTGAGGCATTTAAAGTCGATGTCCAAGAGCAGCTTCTCAAAATTGCGCGACGACTCTTCGCACATGCGTTGAAAGTCGTGGAACTTTTGCACCAGTTGGTAGCAGCATTCGCAGATGCTTTTCAGGACCAGCAGGGGTGGCAGTTCTCCATCCTGCAGGTGGAACACCTTGCCCGGATCGCCTCCAGTGCAGCCGAAATATTTACTGGCCAAGTCCTGTTCGCTGTCCAGGTTGTAGGAGGCATCCTGCGGACCCAGGAGCACCAGGCAGGCCCGACAAATCCTGGTCTTGCTCACATCTCGTCCTTCCATTTCACGGGTAGTGGAATCCGCGACCATGCGACCCGCACAAAGATTTCGGTTCGATTCAAACATCGTCGACGGAGCTCTTTCCATTCAACCCGGCAAGCGGACTAAATTGAAATCAATTATGACAATTTACAATGGTTTAGTACTGCAGGCCGGCGACCATCGGCGACCTCCTCAATCGCAGCAATGCCAGCGGAGAGCAGACACCAAAACACCACGATTCCATTTCCGGGGCTTTCGCTTTGCGGGACATTAAAAGCTGCTGCCGAAAAGCTGCGTGGGATCAGCCCCTAAAAGCTTGGCCACCCATAAACCCCAACTACTAGAAATTTATTAGAAATATTTACGAATGTTCATAAAGTACGCAAATCAATATTTAGTTATTTAAAAGGCTTTATTATTTTATTTCCGTTTTAACTCCAGAGTTAAACAAAAACCTTAAATTAATATAAGATGATTTATTGAATATTTTTATAAATTTTTTTATAAATTTATATAAGTTTTATTTGTGAACAGCACAAAAAGTATATTTTCAGTAATTTGTATTACATTTTCGTTTGCCAAATGCTTAGTGAGATTTCTTTAAAAAACCAAGATGGTTAAAAAATAAAACTGTTTAAATATTTTTATAGTCTTAATGTTATGTAGGTTTATTTATCTTACTCTTCATTACTGCTGAGATTGTAGTAATACGTTATGTTTTTCTTGCTTAAAAATATCCTTCGTTGAAATACGTGTTTTAATTATAAACTATCACCGGTCATTGTTGAACCCAGAGTCACAGAAGTGGCCACCGAAGATATGGTCTCCATGGATATATTGAACTTCTGCTTGAAGGCCTGCATCGTGTCCAAGTGATAGATCTTCTGCGTTCCATTACAGGGCCTCTGGTCAATGGCCACGGCATACAGGTTGACATCTCCACTGTTTGCCAACAGAGTGGACATATAGTGTGGCAAGTAGACACGTTGCAGCTCCGGCGATTCGGAGTTCTCCGATCCGTTGTCACCGTTGGCCAGTTCCTTGCTGAAAGACCGATGCAAACGGACAATCTGCACGCTTTGGTAGTGGGCAATAAATAAGAATGGTTCGCGGTAAACAAAACCGGTGGGTGCATAGACCCAATTCAAATCGTAGGGCCTGGATCTGCAGCCAAACTCATCCACAAAGACTCCACATTCGGCAAAGCAGAGCAGGTATTCCTGCCGCGAAATCCTTACTGCCGTAAGTGGTTGACACTTGGCTGTGCTCTCCATCGATTTGTCTGATAGATCCACAAACTCCTCAGCTGCATAGTTATCCAAATCGATCTCGTAAAACTTATCCGAACTGACGATAGCTGAATGACGCGTAAAGAATATAGATGTGACTGGAGTGGCAGTATCCAGAGCACGAACTGGCTTAAACATGTGCATCTTTAGGTCGTATTTCAAGATGACAATCCTGGTAGAAGTCGCAGCAATGGCCACCGAATCCAAAGCGTTCTCCGCCTCGTCAGAGATCAAAACGAGCTTCCATTTCTCGGAGGACGTGCGATTGGCGATGGGCAGTTCAATGGCAGAAGTTTCCAGCACCGGTTTGTGACAGGGATTTGAGCTCTGGCAACGTGACTCCAACTGCCGGTAGTCGCACTGGTACAGCTTCTCGCCCACCGTTTCCACCATAATGGCCTTCGCCAGACGCTTGCAGATGGACATGCAGCTCACGGACTCTATGCCAGAAATGTGCACCAGTCGCTGGGAGTCCAGATGATAGGCATACAATCCGGTGTTGCAGCCCAAGAGAAGAATTTGCTGCTCAGCCACCTCGAAGGCGCAATTTACTTCTATCTCCTTTTTAGCCGCCTGATCGTCTGGACCATCGGAACTGTAGATCAGCGATCCTATGTACTCGCTGTTGCCTGATGAACCATCGACGCTGTTTAAATTTAAGCTCGATACAGAAGCCATACTGCTTAGATCATCTGCTGGTGGTGCAGTTGGTTTGGTTCCGCAATCAGCTTGAACATTAGCCCTGCACTTGCGATGCGTCGCATCCTTGCACTCCTTACAGCGCCAAAAGGGTGAACCGGCCACAATAACCTGACTACAAACTACACAGTTTGGTGCATCTATTTTCGACTCTTGCAGAGCCAACTCGAAGCGATGATGTGACTGCTCTGCACTGGTTGCTTCGGTCGTCTTCTCCTTAGTCTTTAGTTCCACTTGGCTAGTGGTTCGCTTTAAAGGTAACTGCTGCTTCTGTGGAGAACGTGGCAAGGCGGCGATGCTCACAGGTCTTTGTTTAGGAGCGTCGGAAGCTTCATTGGAAATTGCTGTCTTGCGAGGTGAGCGCAGGGTTGCAGTTCCTAAAAAAAAAACAGGATGATAATAAGAATTAAATAAATTATAAATTTTGCATATTAAAAAGTTAATATTTAACAAATCCTACCATTCAACTGAGCCACCTGCTCCTTCAGCATGCTACAAAGCTTTTTCTCCCGCTTTAGTTCCTCCTTTAAAGCACGATAAAGAATAGATGATTCCACATCGTTGGATGAGATGTTCTCCTTGTTGGTGTGGCTTGAGCCAAAGAGTTTATCAGCCAGGGTTTTCTTCTTTTTGGAGGACAGGTCCTCAACTTTCAGCTAGAATTAAATAAATAAAAAAGTGTTAAGCTCGATAAATCCCAAGAATATTATTTAATATTACCTGAAGGTAGTCAATTAGCTTCTTGTGCTGGGCAAGAGTGGCATTCGACTTAATATCGCGCTGCACGTAGAACTGCTCTTTCTCGGCCAAAGTGTCCTGAAGAGAATCGATCTCCGCGTGCAAATCAGCCTGGACCGATTCTAGATTCCTCACCTCCGCCTGCAGATTGCCCACTTCCTCCTTCTTGTGGAAAAGCTCGCTCAGAATTCGGGCATTTTCCTCCTTCAGACTGAGCATTTCCCGATCGGTATCCGCGTTTTGGGCTTCGTAATTGGCATTTTGACCGTCGAGTAGATCCGCTCGCTCTTGGGTGGCAAACAGCACGTTTGTCTGCTCCACCAGCTGATCCTGCTGCGCGACCAGCTTCTTTTGCTGCTCCTTGAGATTTAAGCGAAGTTCCTCGATCTCTGATGCCAGAACTTGGGCACGTTGTTCCGCTAGACGCTTTTCGGATTCAACAGCAGAAAGTTCCTTTCGCAGTTCGGTTAATTGATCATTTCGTTCTCTCAACTTTCCATGAACGGTATCCAGTTGAGATTTCTGGGATTTATTTCGGTCCTGTTCGGATTTCAGCATGGTTTCCACCTCGGTTAACTGGCTGTCGGTGATGCTGCAAGCGTACTTCAACCTCTGGAAGTTCTCAGTGAGTTGCTTCAGTTCCTTTTGCAATGACAGACTGGAATCATTGGCCTTTCTGCATCTTTCCCGCTCTTCTTGTAGCTCGCGCATGTTGTTCTTGTGCTCCAAAGTTAAACCATCGAAGCGGGTTTGGATTTGCTTAAGTTTCTGACGCAATTCGCTCTCCTGCTGTTCTAGTTTATGCACATTAGCCAAGTGCTCAATTATCTCAGATTTGCACTTCATGCGCTCCTGCTCGGCCTTTTCCCATTGACGATGCTCCTTTAGAACATCCCGTTTGGCAGCGGCAAGTTCCTGTTTCAGCTCTTCGATGCGGGATTCTCGCTGACGAGTCTCCTCCTGCGAAGACTTCAGCATTCTCTGCGATTCCTCATTTGTGCTTTGTGCCTTTTTAATGCGGTCCTCGGTTAGCTCCATCCGTCTGGCCAGTTGTTTCTTTTCGGACAGAGCTTCCTCAAGCTGTTTCTCCACCTTCCACAGCGAAAGATTTGCCGTACGCGCCGCTTGGCGCTCCACAATCATCTGTTCCCGCACTGCCGCCAATTTATCCTCCAGTTTTTCGTTCTGGCGTTCAAGCATGTCACCCACAGTTTCGGTGTCTTGCTTTCGAGAAGAGTGGGATTTCGTAGGCGAGAGACTTTGCTCGTTGAACCGCTCCAGCATTTGCTCGAGTTTAGTAACCAGCGTCTGGAGTTGATCGGCTCGTCCCTTCTGATGCGTTTCACCCTCCTTGGCGGCTAACAAATCGGCACGCAGTTGGTCTTCGACGGCGTTCAGTTCGGTCAAAGATCCAGGTGCAGTCTCGTAAGGAGAAGTATGTGAAGCTAGCGAGGATTCAGCCAATTCGTGGCGACATTCGGAAAGCTGGGTAAAGAAATTATAATTTATTTTTACTTACAAATATTTAAAAATAGTTGTAAAAGTAGATATGGAAGTTTAAATTACATTTTGTTTTGAAATAAGTGTTTTCTTTATCTACCTGGTTATTACCACTTAAATAATAGCCATTAATTAACTCGTAGAGTTCAATTTAAAATACATTAATGCAAACTGATTAGGCTCAGCTTGCTTGGTTTAAAAAATCTTTCATATAAATGTACGCATAGTAAATCAGAAGTTTCTTTTCATAAAATTCACTTACCTGAAGTTCCCTCTCCAGTCGTTGGCATTCTGCCCTGACTTCTTGACACTCGTTTTCCTTTAGCTGGATCTTCGTCTCCAGCTTCACCTTTTCCGCATGAAGCTCATTATTGGAGGCAATCTCCTGGTTCAGTCGCTTTAATATTTCCTCGATGTTTCGCTCCGTTGCGATCTTTGCTTCCTGGGTTGACTTAGTGGAGCAGATGGACTCGTCTAGTTCGGTTCGGATTTCCTTAATCTCCATTGTCATTCGGCGGTGAGTGTCCTGGGAATCACGCACCTTCTTCCGAAGATCTGCCAGCTTTTGCTCATACGATTCAGTTATTTTGCGCTTTTGCTCCTCGTGGTTGGTCTCCGATTTAAGATTTTGCTCCTTCAGCTGCTGCAACATATCCTTGTAGTTTTGCAATTTCATGGAAATATGTTTGCACTCTTCGAATTTGGCATTAAATTCGAGCTCTCGGGCATCTAACTTTTGCAGCGTGGATGCCAGCTCTTGTTTTTTGTCAGCCAATTGCTTCTCATATCGTTGCTCCGAAGCGATCTTGGCTTCCTCATATTTTTGCCGATTCAAGCGAAGTAGATCTGTTATAGTAGCTTCCTTTTTGGACCACATTTCCTCGTCGATTTTGGCCGAACTCTGTAGGGTTTTGATTTGCGTTTTACAGGTTGTCAGCTCCATTGTTTTCTCCTTTATAATTTGCTGCAGCTTTTTTATTTCCATTTTGGCATCTGCTACGACCTGAGATTTGTTATCGGTCTTTTTAAGAGATTGTTGTGCTCGCAAAAGATCTTGTTTGAGCATGGAAATCTCATTCTCTCTAGCTTTTAATTTCTGCAGTAGATCTTTGAGTTTCTCTTGCAATTTTTCATCAGCACTTGCGGAAATCAACGACTTTTCCATATGCACAAAACTGTAGCCAATAAATGGCAAATCCTTGCCACTAAAATCATTTGATTTCATGTTGGTCGTGATTGATTTCTTAGCAATTCCCTGTTCTCTGCGAGTCTTGTGGCGCGTTCCATCTTCGAAATTCGAGGTGTCGTCGTCGGACTTTATTGTTGGTATTATCGGAGGCACCTGGGAGCGAATGGAACTCCACGGCACATCGTCGAAGAAGGGGTGCTTTTTAATACGTTCGTAGGACAATCGCTTTGAGGGATTTGTGACCAGTGATTCAATCAGATTCCTGTAGTTTATCGATACCTTCAGGTCGCTGGGAAAACTGATCAGCTCTTTTAGGTGACTCTCTTCGCAGTGTGAGAGAATCTTTGAGTAGGTCTCATGTACATTATCCTCGTGAAAGGGCGTGGTCTCGCATATCAGTTCATAGCCGATGATGCCCATAGACCAGTAATCGCAGCTGACCTAAAAAAACAAAAATACTATTAGTTATTCACTGTAAGCTATGGATTTTCCAGCTCTGCGATCGTACAGTTTTACTCACATCATGCATCGACTTGGACAACTTGTAGGTGGATATTGTCTGAAGTAGTTCTGGAGCTATATAATCCGGAGTTCCCACAGGCGACAAACTCAGCACATGTCCATCCCGATTCAGGGCGGCGGCATTGCCAAAATCAGCCAGTTTAATGTGCCCGAAACGATCGATCAGTATATTTTCTGGCTTAATATCCCGATGCACATAACCCATTTGGTGCAAAGTGTGCAGGGCCACTGTAAGTTCGGCCAGGTAAAAGCGGGCCAAGTCCTCATCAAAAGGTCCATGACGAGACATTAAACTAAGAAGATCCCCGCCAGGCATGTATTCCATAACCAAATATAGGTTATCGTTGTCCTGGGAAGATTATTACTCGTTTAAACAATAAATCAAATAAGACTACTAAAGAAACGTACCTGAAAAGCATACTGCAGATTGATCAGCCACTCGGAGTGGCGGGTGGACATTATATCTCGCTCCTCCTTCACTTGCGAGGTGGTCACCACGGACTTTTTGATCTTCTTCATGGCGTATATGTCATTGGTTTGCCGCTCGACCACCAGATGCACATTTCCAAAGTATCCCTGACCAATAAGCGTCTTGATGACGAAATCATCCGCGTTCACCCGGAGTTTTCGGGTCTCTTCCACAATGGGTCGAACTAAGGAAGAAATTTAATTTGTAAATAGGGATAAAAAGAATTGTGTGGTAACAAATATTAGGGGTTTTGTAGTAAAAAAAAAATAATTAATTCTTTATCCTTTTCTAAGCAAAATTAATTAATTTATTTATTAACTTTATACAAATAAAAAATGAATTAAAAAAATCCAAAGGATTTAACCATTTTGAAAACCTGGCAGGCCATTGCAGTTGACTCACATTTGTTGACAAACTCGGCGATGTTGCGATCGCGCTTCTTGAGCGTGTCCTTGTCGCACTCATTGTACAGCAGGCAGAAGGCGTCTAAGAGTCCCTCGCGGCAGATGGCCTCCGCCACGGCGGCACTGGTGGTGCTCACAGGAATCGAACTCCTTCTAGCAGATGCGGATCCTTGCGGTCCGGATGCATTTCCAGCGGGCTTTGCACAGACGCCAACTCCTTTTCCCAGAATCAGGTTATTCAGGCGCGCCGTGCGCACACTTATTGGTTCCAGCTTGGGTGGCATGACAAACTTCTTAAGTTTATAACTTTTTCACATAAACAAACTAGTTAAAAAAGCGTAAAATGCCAGCGCATTTCAGTTGGCGTTTTGCTTTGAACGGGGAAAAAAAGAAGCGCCGAGGGAAGCCGAAAAAACCAGGGGTGCATTCTCTCTTACAGAGTTGCATTTAGGGTTGCTGGTGAGATTGCCCCTTGAAAGAAAATAAATATATATAATTTATCCAAACAAACAGTTTTGAAATAGATTATAAAACTTTCGTCAACATGTAGGAGCGTCAACAAATTTCTTGTAGGAAAACAAACTGTGTTTGCAAATATTAATACCTCGCTGCCGCCGCCGCTGCTTTCCACCCGCACTTTCCAACACCGTACCACTCGCTCAAATCGTTCATTTTCGACGGGTAGGTTTTCGCAGACGGACGGAGAAGAAATTTGTGCATCGAAAATTGCAATTTTAATATTTAAAGCCGTGTGTGCTGCGCCACAGATATTGATAAAGAGTTTATCGCACTTGTGCGAAAACACAGGTCTACCAAGCTTACGCGGCTTGAAGGCGATAGGCCCCAAATTCGCCCTGGAACTGGTAGGCAATTGCGTGTGAAAAAAAAAAAATCATAAAGAAAAGAAAAGAAGAGCAGGGGCTGAAAACCGTCGAGAAATCGTTGTCGTCGTGCTCGCTACAATTGTTTGCTTTTGGCCAGAGAAATTTGTGTGCTTGTTGGCAGAGACACTTAATAATACTTTGTATTTCGGAGTGAGTGCGCAGTGAGCAACATATTTAATCAAGATGAGTGGGGGATTGCCGGAGTTGGGCTCCAAAATCAGCCTTATTTCCAAGGCAGACATTCGATATGAGGGCCGCCTGTACACCGTGGATCCGCAGGAGTGCACCATTGCGCTCTCGAGTGGTAAGTTTTTCAGTAGCTCCAGCTCCCCCTTTAGAAATCGCCCACGTAATTGACATATTGCTATATATACGAAATATATATGTAGGGTGCCGTAATCTGCGCCAAAAAATCCCTGTAAAAAAACGGTTCATCGAAAAGAAAATGGACTCTTTCCGTTTCTCTCGTGTGTTCTCCACTTTTTTTTCGTTACTTTTTGTTAGTTTTACAGTAATTTCATACTCTGAGAGTGTGCAACTGCTGCTCTCTCCCTCTTGCTCTCTCACTTATGCTTTTTGTTTGTCATGTTGGCTTTGGCCTGTTTTTGTCTCTCGCTGTTGTTGTACAGTGTTGCTTTTGCATTTTACATGGCACACATACGTACATATACGCGCGCACTTGCAAATCCCCAGTGCAATTTGTTTATTTGCAAAAACAAATTCGATTTGGCGCCAGATAACGGGATCTACGGGCTCCCGTTACTAGTGTCAGTGCCCTGGAAGGCAAAAAGGAGAAACGGTGAACGCACAAATACCGGCAAAACATGCGTTCCCCCCAGTTGAGGTTAAATTTGAAATGCGGTCTAACCTTACTGGGTTTACATGGCTATCGCAATTGCGATTTCAACTTGTATTTTCTTTGTTATATAAGGTAATGAGTCTAGAAAGATCCTATTTTTGAACACGTAAATTCGAAAACAAATTTTAAAGATATAACCTTCAATGTTCCCGCCTGATAAAAGTATTTATTTTCAAATCCGTTTGACCCTTAATTCTCCCCTGATTCAAATAGTAAGATTGTTATCAGTTTTAAAACTTATTTTTCATGAAGATTTAAGCAAGGTTTTAAAAAAAAACCTTTCAAGTTTTAGTTCTAAGTTACACATTTATATTTTAGAGTTTAAACGGCTGATAAATATTTTTTAAATATATAACACAATTTCCTTTCTTAGTGCGATCTTTTGGCACAGAAGATCGGGACACCCAGTTCCAGATTGCGCCTCAGTCGCAGATCTACGACTACATCCTCTTCCGGGGATCGGACATCAAGGACATTCGCGTCGTCAACAACCATACTTTGCCGCACCACAATGACCCGGCGATCATGCAGGCGCAGCTCCAGAACGGACCGCCCCAGATGCCGCAGCACTTTCCCATGCCGAGCGGGATGAACGCTCCGCCGCAGCAGCAGCAGGTGCCTTCGCAGCAACCGCCGCAGATGTCGGGTGCAGGAGGTGGTGGTGGTGCCGGCGGAGCAGGAGCTCCTGGCGGAGGCGCTCCCGGCTACGGCAACGGAAATCCGTTTGGCAACCTTGGAGGTCCGAACCTAGCCAATATGGTGGGCAATGCGGGCGGATCGCTCGCTCCTGGATCCGGAGCACCGGGCAGCGGACCATTTATGCACATTGGCGGCAACCAGCAACAGCAGAAGCCTCAGCAGCAGAAACAGCCAAGTAAGTTTTTTATTTTTAGATTCACATACATTCATAAAAGGTTTCATTAAGCATAACTTTTTTTTTAAGAAAAATTCCAAATCTGGATTTTTTATTTCTACACTTTTAGTGTTTTATTTTTATAAAAATTACTCAAAAAAGTATACAAATAAATTCAAACATCAGATAGCACAGTTTTAATGAGGTCAACATTTTTAAGTCTTTAAAGTAATTAAAATCTTAAATTTCAATCAGATAAGCTGAAAAAGTATTACATCTTTTATCTAATACGCGGGCATATAATCATTAATATTAGCTAAAATAAAAGCACTAAGAATTCCATCGATAGTGGGAGTACAAGAAAATACACAAATCAAAAGCATAAATTGTTTTCAGATTAGCTTTTTAAATTTAAATTATACTTATCACATGGATTTTCTGGAATTCTACTCACCCTTGCCTGCACGCATTATTCTTTCCTTTTCGTCCTCGTTGCGTCCTTTATATGTATATAGTTTCCGTTCTAGACATGCTGGCCGGAGCATCGCGCTCGACGACGCCCATTAGCCTGATTGTGAGTCCGACGGCGGAGCTGACCCAGCAGCAGCAGCTGCACCAGCAACAGAACGCTGGCCAGGGTGGAAACGGTCGCGATGCAGGACATAAGCGCCAGAACCATCAGCAGCAGCAGCGGGGCGGCGGTCCCGGCCAAAACAACATGCAGCAGCAGCAACAGCGCGGCGGCAGTGGCACGGACTTCTATAACCAGCACTACCAGCAACGGGATCGCCGTGATTCCGGCCGTCAGATGGACAACAACTTCAGCAACAATTACAACAACAATCAGCGTAATCGCGGCGGCGGTAATGGCATGCAACAGCAGCAGCAGCAGCGAGGAGGAAACGGCGGCGGTGGCGGAGGCGGCGGAAATGGAGGTGGCAACAATCCAGCTTGGAACATGCACCGCGGTGGCCAGAACTCGAACAACATTATGATCCGTAACCGTGGAATGGGATCTCGAGGCCCCATGCGTCCCAATCAGGTATACCTTCTAATGTTTAATTTATTTTAAAGTCTATATTGTGTTTTTGATAATTTCAGGGCTATCGTCCGCAGTCGGCCAACCAGAACAAGCCTCGTAACAAGATCAAGTTCGAGGGCGACTTTGATTTCGAACAAGCCAACAACAAGTTCGAGGAATTGCGTTCCCAGCTGGCCAAGCTCAAGGTGGGCGAGGATGCCGCCACAAAACCAACCACCAACTCCACGGCAACCACTGCAACTGCAACCAATGAGCAGGTGGGTGAGAAGGTTGAAGATGCTCATACAGTAAGTGGAACACAGTTTTTATTTTTTAACACAAATTAGACTTAAACATATTAAAAAAATATAAAAAAATATTATTTATTATTAAATTGTATAATTCAACCAGTATTGATTACCATATAAGGTTAGTCAAATCTTAAATCTTACTTACCTTTTGAATATATATTCACAGTTGAACGGAGAGACCGACAAGAAGGATGACTCCGGTAATGAGACCGGCGCTGGTGAGCACGAGCCCGAGGAGGATGACGTTGCTGTGTGCTACGACAAGACCAAATCGTTCTTCGACAGCATCTCTTGCGAGGCTGCTCAAGATCGCAGCAAGAACAAGAAGAATGATTGGCGCCAGGAGCGCAAGTTAAACACGGAGACCTTTGGAGTTTCCTCCACCCGTCGTGGAAGGTGAGTTAAGCAATAAATCATCTGTATTAGCGACTTATAACAGGGGGAATATTAATTTCAACAGCTACCGAGGACGCAACCATTACTACAACAACAACGGCAACATGGGCGGAGCGGGCAACGGCGGCATGAACTCTGGATACGGAGGCGCGCCCGGCTACAACCGCAACAACTATCGCATGGGAGGCGGTGGCAACTTCCGCAACAGGAGCAACAATCGCAACAACGGCGGCGGCAATCGTGGCGGCAACGGCATGCCAAACATCACCAACGGCAACACCGCCGCAGCACTGAAGGCGGCCAACAATGTGGGATCGGGAGCCAATGCCACGGAATCAAATGCACCGAACGCCACAACTACGACGACAAAGTCGACGTCCCTCTTGCCAGAGCAGACGCAACAGGTGGCGGCAGTTTGTGAGTATTATTCAACCAGCTGTTATAATTTTGAAACGTTTTAACAAACCGTGTTTATCTTTTCAGCTCAATAATGATGTCGCCCAGCCAGTGGAAAACCACTTTAAATAAAACAACAACAAAATTGATAGAAACGAATTAAGAAGAAAGTAAAAATATCCTATTCTTTGCAAAGCTAATTATTCGAAGCAACCCAATCAACCGACCGACCGAACGATCGACGACACACAGGCTCTTATTATCAGGAATTTCGAGTTATGGATCTAACGGCATAATATATTTGTATAATTAAACTTAGTGTTACAATTCTCACGACGTCCTGGGGCGCACTCTGCTGCCCGCCCACCACCGTGTGCTTGGCGAAGATTAGAGCGATTTACGACTAGCGACTAGCGACTGTGAATGTGAACGTGAACCGGCCATCTGTTAGGTTTTGTGTAAATGGCTGGTTCCAACGCCTTTCGCTGAGCAGAGAACACGGTATTGATAACGAGGAGATAATGGCTCGCCTGCGCATACATACATATATTTAGTAATAGATGTGAAGAACATAGTAAGCATAAGTATATGAAAAGCTACAAAAAACAAAACAACAAAAAACTTACCAGAAACACGGAGAATAAGCGGAGGAGTCGATAACAATAATGAAATTAATGGAGCAAAACAATTAAATCCATGGAATTCCCAAAACTAAAATAAAAGCTAATTAACACGTTTTTATTTGAATGAAAGAAAAAAACAAAATTGTAATACTGTATTTCTTGTGGGCGTAAAACATCGACCAACACTCGAATCGTTTTACTAGCATTTAAAAATATTGTTTAAGAGCATTTTAAATATGAACATGAAAATAAAATCGGCAGCTATGCTTGTTGGAAAAGCACAATTGTAAAAAGTCAATCCAGCCCAGCTGAAGAGTGAAGAGAGTCTCCAAATGAAAATGTGAAAAAATAACCAGTAGCAAATTGATCATTATTTTAAAGTCAGCCAGAAAAAGTCCAAAGTAAAGTTTTCTATAGTTTATTATTTTCTGATCTCGGTTGGGCTGCAAAAGTGCACGTTTTTCCGCCACGCCTGCAATGAAATGTATACTTACGATTTGAAACGATACGATTTTCTCGATGTAAATGTTAAGATTGTGTGATTACTGGCTGCTCCGGTTGAAATCGAGGCCTTGAAACCGAGTAAAATTACGTGTGTGCATGCATATGTTTCCAGCTGAAGTCCTTTAGATATTTGTTTGTTATCCTTGTATCCAGATATATATTTGTATTGAATTCAGCACAAACCGCCGCCAAGTGCCGAATAGAGTCCGGTTTGGTTATCGGAGAACAGTAGTTAACAGGCACTTTCTGAAGCGGAAGGGGAGGAGTCACCACACATTTCAATATTATGTAATCATTAATTATGTATCTAATTGTATGTAATATGTATATCTCCATATATGCTCACCCTGATTAGCTCTACATATGTATGTATGTATATAAATACGAAATTACCAAGTTCAACACTGAAAAACACGTTTCGCAAGTAATGGCTAAATTGTAAAGACTACCACGTATTGAAATTAAAACTTAATACCATGTAATAAAAGATAATTGAATTCAACAGTAAGTTAACATTTTCATTATACCATTGGCATACTCGCGAGAGCCTTCGAAATTCCCGACGCAATCTAGAAAGAAAAGCGTATACAAGAGCCTTTGTACAATGTCCTAGGAAATTCGATTCAACTCCCGCCCCTATATTAAAAACAGTTTAATTTTCTAACAGACATTATTAAATGTTTACTAAACCAAACCGAAACAAAGGGAAATCCCAACTTTAAAAAGCATGCTAACAATAAATGTAGGAAATCAAAAGTGAAATAAAAAGTTAAGACAAAATGTAGAGGTTACAAAACATTAAGCGAACTTCGGTTTTTGTTTTTGGAGGGTCTGTTAAATATATGTTTTCCTATAAAAATGATTCTTCTGGCAATAATTAGATGAAAGTTCTGTTTTATTTTTTCCTTAAGTCAGCTTTTTTATCCCGACTAAACGATTAAGACAGGGCGCTTCATTAATACTTTCCAGAAATAGCTTAATCCATATATCAATTTTGTTTACAAGTAATTATCCGCTTTTGTCTTTTGCCGCAGAAAAATCTAAAATAAATAAGAGAAATAACGTTCTCCGTTAGTGTAGATTAAATATTCGTATTTATGCAAGTTTCCTCAGAGTCACTGCATCATTTGTCCCAAAGGCCCAATTCACGCATTTTGGTCTGGAAATAACGCTCCAAGGAGTTGGCACACCGATAATACTCGGTATCTGGGGAGTTATAGAAACGACAGTTGGAAAATATGCGGGCCATGTCCGCCATGAACAGGCGGCGTGTTTGGTAGTATCCCTTCTTCAAGCGTTCCCCCATCGTTTTCAGGTCCATGGGATACTTGATATGATCGTAGTAGTCCGGAACTTCGGCCGCATTCACCGGACGCTGGAAGGGCCAGGCGGTGTTGTGCTGGCGCACGGACTGCAGCACGGATGCAAAGGACGTGGCCAGCTTATCCGGGTCGGAGGACTCTTCCAGGGGTCTCGAAGACCTGGCTGGACGCATTTGCGGCTTCCAACCAATCTCCCGCAGACCGGGAATCGACTCCACGGGTATGGTGGGTACACCCTCCTTGAAGCAGTTCAAACCGGGTCTTACTTTTTGCACCTCATTGTGCCGTTGTGCAATTAGCTCCTTCAGAATCTCGCTCTGATTACGAATAACTGGAATGAATAAACCAGAGTAAAATAGGTCCACGATACTCCCTATATGTGTAATCAACTAACCGGCAATGAATTGCGTGTTTACAATACTCGGATGCAGCTCGCAGTGCATCAAGGTGGCGCTATCGTACTCCTTGATGTAGCCCGCATAAACGGGTCGCGCCAACTTGATGTCCTTGGAAAAACCCTGCTTCTTGAAATACCCGATGGCATCGCAATCGGCAAAAGTGAGCAGGTGTTTGATGCCCCTCTGGATACTGTAGTCTTTCAGGTGATTCATCAAGTGGGTGCCATAGCCCTTAACTTGTTCCGACATAGTGACCGCACAGAAAACGATTTCGGTGAAGCCCTGCGAAGGGAACGGGCGAAAGCATATGCCACCGATGGGCTGGTTCTCCTTGATGAGCGCAAGAGTTTTGTGCTTTGTATCGAAGACCAACTGACTGATGTACTCGCGGGGCATCTCGGGCAGCTGATAGGCAAATACAAGCTGCAGGCCCAGCAGCCACAGAACCGTCTGCTTGTCCACCGGCTTGGTCAGTGAGTTCCCCACCACATGGAACTCGATGGCCCGCTTCTGCTCCTCCGCCTTGACATTCTCATCGCGGGAAACATTTACGGGGAAGAGAATCTCGGCCTTGTTGGTGGTCTTCGACTCCGACACCGATTTCATGGCGCGCATCACCACATCCGTGGGAAGGTCGTCCAAGCTTTCGCTGTTAAATAACTATAAGTAAAAATATTTTATAAAGATGGTGATGACAAACCTGCTGCAGCGATCTGTGGTGGTGGTGGTCTCTTTTTTGATTCTCTTGTGCAGCGGTTCGCCCACACTGGCTCGCTTTCCAGCTCCGATTGTTGCCAAGCCAGCACTTGGAGCAGCGGGCGTCACCTCCTGATGTCGCTTTCTCTGCTGAATGACAAACGAATTGGGTGGCCTGTAGTTGGGATCCCATATGGGGAGTCATCCTTCAGCAATTCGGCGCGAAGGGCCTCCAAAAACTTGGGCATTTGCGTGATGATTGAGCGCTTGTCCTCGGGAAAGCGATCTCGCTCCGAGATGCACTTCTTCTTGAGCTGCTGGGACATGTACTGGAACACAGTACGCAGAAGCGTTCGTCCAAATACCAGGGACGTTTCAAATTGGCGCAGGGAGTTGCAGAAGGCGGGTACGTGGCAAAAGACCAACCAACGCGTGTAGTTGATCTTGTAGTTCGAGGCATCCTCGTGGGTGAGATCTCCCCTTCTAGTCGATGGTGATTCAAAGTTGTAGTGATTCAGAAAGTTCAGGAACGTCTTGGCCACCTCGGTCATGGTTTGGAGTTCAGTCGGGTTAAGGTGGTTGTACTTGTAAAAGACCAGCGATAGCACCGCCTTGGTGATGCACGGTGACTCAAATGGAGGATCTCCCAGGGGACCACGGATCACTGCCTGCTGGCGCGTGAGTACACACTGGCGAAGCAAACGGAAGAGATACAGGTATACCTTCTTGGTGTCCTCGTCTTCGACGCGCTGCATGGACATGAACAGGTTCTCCATGTCTATGATGGCGCCCAACAGCTCGTCCATGCTGGAGCTAGAAATATTGTCCAGATGGGCGATGTGCTGACGCAATGAGTGCCTACAGTTGGCATTTCGACATTCCTCGTTAAACTCCGGGCAATAGGAGGACTCCACATCTCGATGGCGGTTCTCCTGCGGAGTTTTCCATCCCGTGCAGCGGCATCCATCCGACTGGCAGGCGGAGTACATCGAGAGTTTGGCCAGTTTCTGGGGGGCGGGGAGGTTGAAGACCTTCTGCTTTCGCTGCTGGATCCTCTGCAGGCTATTCTGCCTGGTTCCCTCAACAGGAGCATTTCCGCCGCCTACTGCTCCGCCGTTTCCTGGATTTTGGGCCTGCACCGTGGAGCCAGCGGATCCAGATGCACCCGAAGATGCTGCGCCATTCGCACTTTGCTGCTGCTGCTGCGCCGCAGCGTTCCCCGTATTGTTACCATCGATGGGTTGGCTCTTCAGCGTTATGGATGGACCACCAGACATTCCAAGATCACCAGATTATGCGATTTCCTCGGCTAGTTTTGCACAAAGTGTACTTCCTTTTCTTAATTTCACAAGCTACACAAAGGGCTGCCCACTTGCTAAGAGAATGAAAGAACTGCCAACCTGACTTTTTATGCGAGTGCATTACTTGGGGTGGTGAAATACACATCTTAATCATATATATATTTGAATTTTTTCATTTATCTCTATATTTTCAAACACTTTTTATGACCTGATGACGTTTTTTTTTTTTTCAGTTAACATAATTATTACTTACAAACATGGGCGTAGGAAATAATTCTGTTGGGTGTCAAAAGGGGTGAAAGAACAATTGATTTTATGGAGTATGAAAGATTTATTAAAAGTACATCTAAAAATATATAATTTTATAAAATAAATAAAAGTTATATTAATAACAAATGTTTGTAATGAATACAAAATGTATATTTCAAACAGAAATACAAAAATAGAATACAAAAAATTTAATAACTGTCAATCAATTTGTATTAGAAGTTCATTTTAAAATAGATCAACTTAAATTATTATGATAAAAATAAATAAGTTTTTAAAATCTTAAAACTTAAAGTTTTTAGTTATTATAAATATTGTAGAACATTTTAAAAGAACATCTAGCTAATATACTCGATACGACCCCTGAACATCCCATACCCATGAGGGTTATATCGATAATCAGCATATGACCGCCAAGATAGCGTATTGAGAGAGCTGTCATGTTTTGAATTATCAAAATAACCAAATCATCTGATAATATTTGCTTTTATTACAAAGCAATATATTTGAAAAGAAAATAGTATTTTAAAGTTATTCCCCTAAAACCCAGAAATAAATCTGGGCCCGCCCATGTGCACAACTGTTTGTCAGGAGCTGATGTAAAATGCATTGTAACCATACGGTCATTTTGAAATTGCCGCTAACTAATTAAGGAAAATGGCTTCGAACGCCAGTTTTGAGGATCTTGAAGACAAGTTGGATAATTTCATCATTCGCAAAGCTCAGCCAAATCAAAACACTCTCTATTCCGATAAGTCTGGTCCAAAGGTTCATGAGAACGTACCCCTAACTTTATGGCATCTTCAACAAGTAACTCCAGATCCCGACAGGGAAAATGTTTTTTTAATATGTGATACTAACAATGAAAACCCGATATACTTTCGCACCTGTATTGTTTATGGGTTTGTCACTGGAATTGGAACACACAACAATTTCTTCAATAAATACATAATTGATGATAGCACCGGATCTATGGAGGCATGCATTTCTAAAAAACCTAAAATTGTACCACTGATATCCTCGCTGTACAACGAAGCCAGTTCGCTGCTTTTAACAGAATCTTATAAAGCCACGGCCGAAAGACTGATGCGCCTCTTAAAGAGCTCCAGGGAAAATATCGATCCTTCGCCCATAACAAGGGGCAAAAGCTTGATTTTGTGTGGACGACCGAATATCTACAGAGGAAAAATGGGCGTAGATTCCTTTTCTTTTATGATTGACAGCGGTAAATCACGAAAAATTGAAATTGGCTTTGCAGATCACCTAGTCAACTGGCACAAGAACTACAAATCAACTCAGAGTAAAACAAAAAAATAGTATTGGTTACTTTTTGTATTGAAATTTTACTGGTAATAAAAAATCAAATTTTAAATAAAGAGAATTTAGGTTGTTTTTGCTCGAATGGCGGCACGCTTGCCGGTGACAGCCTGGAAACCTGACTTGATGCTGGCCACCGAGCAGCGGGATCCACAGGATTCGCACTGCAGGAAGAACAGGCGGGTGTCCTTTTGCAATATCGTTTCCGGGGAGCGGCAGGTGTGACAGGTGACGTACTCCTTGATGTAGCGACGCAACACGTTCTCGATCTGTTTTGGCTGGAAACGGCCCTTGATGATCAGCTGCTGGTTGCCGTCCATGGAGCCACTGGTACCCAACTCGGCCAGTAGGAAGTCGAGCAGATGCTTGGGCAGGCGATGCAACGTTTTCGCGATGTCCATGAAGTTGGCAAAGGAGGTCTTTTTGGTTCCCACTCGCAGCACTTGTGGCGGACGCATAACGAACTTTGGCTTGCGACCGGCGGCCATGTCCGGATTCTTGTCGAGAATAATTTCGAAGACCCGCTTCAGCAACTCGTCGTATGTGTAATCACGATCAGATCCAAACCAGGTAGAACTGTTGTCCTCGACTAAAATAATATAAGTCATTAAAAAGAATTAGAAAAGAGGAAAGGTTCGTTTAGGTGAATATAAGTTTCTATAAAAAGTTGCACGGAAATCATGTTTTTGTCTTAACACATTTATAAGTATTGTTGTGAAATCGAAACTGGTTAAATGTAGCTAATTTCACAGTTAAATTTATCAAACGTGTTATCTGGAATGCACTTTCTTTTTTTGCTTTTGCAGTATAAGCTATTTGTTCACTTTGCTTTAATTTTTTTAAATCTGTGCTTTTGAATGAAAAATTTAAGTTAATTAAATTGTTTTTAATAAAACAATAAAATTAAAAGACCCAACCCATTAGTCATTACCGTACCATTTTCTTTGTCCTCGCTCTTGTCGTCATCCAGTTTCTCAGCAAACAGCTCGTCCAAGTCCTTCTTCTTGCTCTTCTTCTTCTTTTTGGCCATCGAGAAGTCCATGTCCAAATTGATCTCCTCCTCCTCGGGCTCCTCAGTGGCGGCAGCATCATCGCCACCAAAACTTGGAATTGCCGCCTCAATTTCGTCCATGTTGAAGGGCTTCTTCTTCTTTTTTTCTTCTTGCCGAAGCTTTCCAAGTCGAGATTGTCTTCCTCGGCAGCGGCTCCACCCTCAGCTGACGCCTCGTCCTGTGGATCCTCCTTCTTGCTGTCGTCCTCCAGGCCCAATGCTGCGTCCAGGTCGAAGGTGGTCTTCTTCTTCTTCTTCTTTTTTAACAAAGTGGGATCGAAACCCTGCGAAATTCATTGAAAACTCGGTATAATTAAATCCGGATCGGAAAAACATAACCTCATTGTTCGCACTATCCCCGTACACAAATATTTAAATACACATACAAACACACCCACAAGGGCGCACATGTACGCACATATGCTTACTTATAAGCCTTCATTTAATAACTTTAAAACATTCACCCAGTTGTATTTCTAACTTACGTCTTCCGCGTCCATTCTGTTTATGCTTTTTATATACTAGTTGACTGGAAATTAATTTGGTTTTAACGAAAAAAACTGCAATTGCATCAGCCAAAGTGACAGCACGGCAATCAAATTAGAGCTGGATTGAAAGCGATACTATTATCGATTACAAAATCGAATAGAGATGGAATTATCGGCTTTTCTCAGACTTAAGATTTACGTCGTACGATTACGTTTACTATAACGTAATGATTTAAAATTTAAGTTTTATCTTCTCAACATTAAAAAATAAAAATAACGGTTTTACATATTTTCATAAAATTAACTTTCCCTCCAAAAAAAAAAAACCAAGAAATGAATTTGAAAATAATTTATTTTATAGAAAATGGCCATACAAAATTTATTGAGGTCTTTAATCTCTATCATCAGCGTTATTATTTTTAATTTCAATAGTTACCACTAGAAGCTCAACAAATAAATTTAACGGAGCGAATGCATATTCTTAAAGCTTTTCAATCATGCATAAACACTCACAATAACTTCCACAAAGTACAAATAAATATAACTTTATATTTAGTGGTAAAAAAACATCTCAATCTTTAGAACATACAGGACAATGAACAGTTACAGTATAAATGCGTTTGAGAGTTAGGACTTTTAAGTTATTGAGCACCTTAACGTTAAGAGATTTATTGCTCAAGCTAGGACCTGTGTCGATGATCGTTTGAGGTTGGTTTGTTTTTTATTTAAAGATGGGCACTATTGGGTTTCGTCAATTCCGGGCCAACGCCCCCGGCAAGTTTTTGCACCAAAAGTCCCACTTCGTAGGCAAGATTTTCGGTGTCCTGCGGAGAAATTAGATGTTATTATAATTATATTTACGGGGTTGCCAAGAATTACCTCTTTGGTGGCCGCTTCGGCATAAACTCGCACTACATCCTCAGTTCCGGATGGACGTACAAAGGAGCGACCCCTTTTATAGTTGGCCACCACCTTGTTGATTTCCGTTTGGAGACCCTCCGGCTTCACACACACTCGTTCCGCATCCGTTGTCTCGATTACATTGCGATCCTGCACCTTAACCTTCAGCTGGCGGTTGGGCAGGTCATTATACGATGAGATCCAGTCCTGCACATCCCAGCCCTTGTGGTTGAGGATAGTTTCCACGACTAGCATATCCGAAATCGCATCTCCGACGGTTTCGTTGATAAGATCGATAAGAAGCAGCAAAGTCTTCGCACTCTCCTTCGTTTCGGCAGCCTGGGCAATGGTGGCCTTTGCATTGTCACTGAACACAATAGTGCCATGGCCATTTGCCTCGAAGTACACGCCGATGTCGTACTCTAAAGCCTTGTGGTGCAGGTGCTTCACACCCGTGGGGACACAGGAAACGGGGAACTTTAACTCGTTGACTATATAGTCCGTGGATGCACCATTAGCGTATGCTGTCTGCACCAAACCTAGCCTCAAACTTATTTCGGCTTTAGTGACCAGTTCCATGAGGTATCCGGCGACCAAAGTGGCTATGCGATCGCCATCCAACAGGTGGAACTCGCCCTTGTCGTCGCTAAAGAAGTAAACTACTCGATCGGCATCTCCATCCACGCTAACACATCTCGTAAATGGCTCCACAATGGGCATGGATTTCGGCGGCCTCTGTTGGACCTTCACGTAGTCTGCGCCGCAGTCCTCGTTGATCTTGCCCTCGCCAATGCCTTGGTTAATGACCGTCACGTCCAAGGAACCCTTCATTCGCTTGATAAACTGCAGCATTTTGCGGGCACCCACTCCATTAGCACCATCGTAAATGATTTTGTTTTTATAGTTCCCGTTCTCCAGGCGTCCGTTTCGCAGGAGCTCGAAGGCCTTGATAAGTTTCTCGTAGTACCCCTCCTCGGTGGGTTTGCCATAAACTTCCTTCGTATTCGCCGCCACCACAAAGTAGTGCAACATAGGCGTGGTCACAATGCCGTACTCCTTGACATTACCCTTCAGGGCAATCACGCCATCGGCCACCGCTTTAAGTAATCTCGGACTGTGGTACCGGTTGTCCATGCCCACAAACACCTGTGAACTTGTCGTGACATCGATGTTGTTGTCCTTGATAATCTTGGCTACATGCTGCTCCAGTTCCTGGTCGCTGACATTGACCAGATCGGTGGCTATCGCCTCCCAGCTGGTCTCCAACATCTCGCCCTTGGGGTCGACGAGCTTTACTCCGTTGTCCGGCTCCGGATTGTGCGATGCCGTTATCATCACACCAATAACGGAACCTCCACGAAACCGGGATCGCAAGGTGGCAAGAACTCCCATGCGGAACATCACGCTGTCCAGGAACTCGGCTCTGAAATAAATGAAAGGTTATTACTGTTTGGTGAACAATTTATATTCATTGCTTTTAAAGAACTTTAAATTATGCTAGTCATTGTTTTAGATGTTTCGTGTTTTCAGTATTTGATAAAACTGTATAGCTTAGGATTGAAAAAGATTATTTTGGATACTTTAGGTGAATTCGGGAAACAACTCTTATTTCGGAATCTTTTTAGATTTATAAAATGTGTACATATATACATCGGTTATTAATTGGGAGGGTTAAAAGTCTTAAAAGACGTGACGAATCCAAATGTTATCATTGTAATTATCTATTTCATCGCCTTATCTTTATTAGTTAGTAAACACAAAATACAATGATGCCCAAATTAATAGAAATTCAGGAAAAATAAAGCATTATTGTAGTTATTCGAAAGTTTTTTAAGTATTAAAAAACCGTTAAAAAAACTACAAGCTTCAGAAGCAGAGGTTTGAATAAATAGTGCACTTTTGCAACTTGCAGTTGCAGCACAACTGTGTCTACACCCGACTGTGTCTACATACCCCGACTGTGTCTACATATGTATGCGCCCATGCACATGCACGCCCCTACATAAGTAAGTACATACATAGGGGGAAGAAGGGCATGTCCATTGATAAAAGGTGAACAATATCTAAAAATAAACCCAAATTCCACCAACAATACAGGTCATGCAATCGCCGCACTTATCTTAAAACAAACAAGCACCATTTGCTAATCAAACACGGCCAACGTATGCAACGTGTGGGTGTTAACACAATAATGATTAACCCGAAGATCGTTAATTAAGACAACTTACTTGCCGCGAAAGCCAGCTGTTCCGTATTGAATGGTCTCCTTCGAGGTTTTCGGGTACATTTCCCTTGCGAATGCGTAGACGGTGCGCAGATTAATAGACATCTTGCGATTTAAAGGTGGAGCAACTGGTCCTAAAACAAGGTGAAAGGTTCCGTCCGGTTTTCCGGAGCAGCTTTCGAAATTTACGAAATTCACAGATGTGTGGAATTTGCAGGCGGGTGTGACCGTCAAGTGTAATTAGCGCTACACCCAAATATTGCATTTCAGATCTACGGTCACACTTGGTATAAATTTTAATTGTTTTCAAACGTATTCTAACTGTTGTACAAGCTTACAAGGAACAAAACGATTTTAAAAAAGTGGGAAAGAAATTGTTCTTTCATTTAAATCCCACTTTATCCTATAAAAAATGTAGTTTTTTCTCAAAGAAAGAGAACCACTTTTGGCGCCAAAGTTTGACTGCAACTGCCGCGTTGCCAACTATTTAAGTTTAGGCACATGATAATGACGTCACTATTGACACTTTGTTTAAATTAAGCGGGTATAGTTGGGTGGAGATTATAAAACCTTAATAACTTCACATAAGAAGCTGGTGGTTATTCTTTTCGTTATTTTATTTGTATACTTATATAAGCTTTGTAAAAAGAGTCAGCTTACACATTCTAGGTACACTTTTTTTTGGACGGACTTAGTTGGTATGTACACAAACAAATACTATATTAAGGCACAGGAGCTATATAAATAAAATTATAGCCTTCTTTAAATATGATTCGGTTTGTAGTAATGTGATTTTTACGGACTGAAATAATTTCTCTCTTATACTTACAAATAATTGGAATGTAAAACGTTGATATGTTTCCCTTTGTGCTAGAGATTCTTGTACAATTCTGAATTATTAGAGAGTCTATAGTATTAGAGCATTGCAACTAACGAGGACACGAGGAGTAGTCCTAAAGATAATGCCACCTGGGAGGCACCGGCATAGCAATCAGTGATGCGACGGGCACGCATAAAATCACTGCCCAAATAGGAGTCATATCGTCGCTTGTTTGGCGGAATGACTTGCAACTGGCGCGTGGCATCCTGGAAGATCAGGTCGTAGTGTCCAATCGGCGAGGAAAACATGCTGAAACTAAAAGCGTCCACTTCCTTTCGTCCATAAAGTTGTTGGGCGTAGGTCAGCAGGTTAATGTAGGCATTGATCTGCGTCTCGTTGTAGTTGACTCCTCCGCGGGTGACGACCGCATTGGCCTTCACCTTGCCCAGATTGCAGCGCTTGTAGTCCTGAATTTCGGCACGGGTGCCATCCGTGCACAGCAGTTCAAAGTCATCGTTGAGAGCATTACGTGCCCACCACTCCTTGCGCTTGCCGCCAGTGCTCTCCATTACGGTGGTGTGCTTCATGAAGGCCACATGACCGCCGCCTTCCACCAAACAGCGGAATGCACCCGTATGACCGTAGTAATCCTCCGAAGCATCACGACGACAGTATCTGTAGCTGGTTCCATGGCACAGATCGCACATACTGTCGTAGGGCACTCCCGTGTTGTATTCACTGCTAATTGCTCCGGGAACACAAGACTTGGTGAAGTACTCAGCGGCAGCTCGAATCGAATCGCATCCGTACGGGCGAATCCAGCCGTTGGCGATGAAATGGGCCATTGGATAAGTCCAACCAGCAGCGGTGTTAATGCCCGTGTGACAGGTATTCTTTCCCTTCAGGTAGGTCAGTTCTGTGTCAGGATCCTCCTCCTTGGCCACAGCCACAACATAATACTCCGGCTCGCCCAGATTGTACACCTCCGACATGAAGGGAACCAGGTCGTAGTTCAGACCGCCAGTGTAAACATCCCCGGCATCAAAAACGGAGATGTCAGCCTTTCCGGCTTCGATGAACTGCATGCAGTTTATGTGGGAATGCATCTTTTTGCAGATGAGCTCGGGTTTAAGAAGATGCGCTTTCAGGGCAGTCTGAAAAGATTTGTGAAGGATATTTCTTTTGTTACTAATTTCATTTCATGTTAACTCACCCTCATCTTGATACACTTCTCGAGTTCGTTCTCTGAAGTCACACAAAGTGTTATCGCTGGGACAGGACACTCTCGAATTCCATAAATAAAGTTGATGGCAGGACCCAAATACTTAGTAAAGGACTGATCATCTTCAGGAAGGACAGTAAGAGCCCGGCTCGAGTCCTGCAATTGCAAAGTTTAATTAAAATATTCTCAGTTAAGATCAGAAGGTATTAACAACAAACCTGGAACAGCAAATTTGGCTTGCCATATCGTTTTGATTCGAATATGCGGAACTTCTCATAGAGAATGGAAGTGTTGGTGCCGTCCTGCGGGTTTCCATCTGCAGAAAAACTGCTGTCCAAGCGTTCACTGCGGTACTGTTCGTATGGATTTTGATTTCTGTATGGGTCATTGTTCTCGTACCGATTGTTGTTGAACTGATCGTAGGGCCCGTTTTGACCCTGTTCGTTGAAATTGTTGCGGTTGTTATATCCCTGTCCACCTTGCCTGTTCTGATCATCATGGACTCCATCGGAGTACAATTCCGCAATGCGTTTCAAAAACTGCTGATATTGCTTTCGATCATTGAAGCTGCGCGCTGAAGAGGTAACAATGGCATCAGCGGGAACTTGTCCCCAATTACACTGCCGATAATCGTTAATAGGAACACGACGTCCATCGCGACAAAGTAGCTCAAAAGAGTCGGGTGATAAGTTTTCTAAAATATATCGTTATAAATCAGTAATGAGTTCTTGTTAGCTGACTTTGAATACTCACTGAATTCTGTGCTCTGTAGCATTTCATTTACTGTTGAGTGGCGCAAGAAGGCAACGTCTCCCTTTTCTAGCAGACACTTGAAGGCGCCTTCGTAGCCAAAATAGGGATCTTGTGCCGAGCAACGTCCGCCAGGGATTTTTCCAGTACAAAGCGTACAAAGTCTGATGGTAGAAAATATAACTGGTTAGTTAAAGTTTATGTTATAATGCCGACTTTATGCCTTACTTATCGGAGTTGTCGCCAATGGGATTGTATTTGTCGGACAGAGAGTAACCAGCACACGAATTGTTAAAATAGTTGGCCGCTGTTTTCACCTGATTGTTGCAATCGACCACTTCCATGCCGCCTTCTCTCTGGAGCTGTAAGTAATTAGATTTAAAAAAAAAAAAATATATATTAAACAATTTTTATGTATATTTATTTATGACTTTTTAAAGAAATTCTTACCGTGTGTATGGGCACTATCCAACCTGCCAGACTGCCCACCCAAGGGAAGCAGACCTTTTTATTCCTCAGGCCATGGAGGCTGGTCAAATCCGGGAGGCTTCCCTTCTTAATAACGGCCACCGATTGATAGTCCGCAAAACCTCCTTCCAATTTTTCCTGCATGATGGGAATCAAGGAGTTGTAACGCCCCGCCGTGAAAACATCTCCGGCATCTAGCGACGTAATGTGGGCCTTTTCGCGATCGATGTGATGGATGCACTCATCCGCACTGAAGGCCTTAAAGCATGTGAGATTCAGGAACACTTCATCGAATAAAGCCCGATCGCGTTCGATGGCCACCGTGAGATTCTGGCATTTGTACTGCTCCTCCTGGCTCTTGGTGCACCAAATGATATGGCTAGTTTTGTGTTCATCGTAGTGATGTTGGGCTAAAATCAACAAGATAAAAAGTTTTAAAGAAAATATTCGGTAGTCATGCCAACGCCCTAGAAATTGTAGAAAAGCGCATTCTGCTATCCACTTACCGTTAGCGAGGGTAAAACAAAAAGCGCCGACTAGAGCCACAAAAACGAGGCTCCTAGCCATTTTTGGGACCTAAGTAATTTTACTTAAACGCAGATATTAAAAACAATTACTCAAACAATACACCACACCCAAGCCCAGCTCAAGATAGCCAGTGTGACCAGAAAAAGAATTTTGAACATACCAAATATTGTTGATAAAAATACCAACAGGTTTGTACAGTGAAAATCAGTTATCTGCGATTTGAAAAAGGAAGTGTGTTCAACAATTGCAACATTTTTGTGTCAACAATTTATGTTAACTTGATCTTAAGCATTTGTACTAATAAAGTAGTTTATTACTATGAAGGAAATGATGTCGGAGTAGTATTCGTTTACTTAAAATACGACGGTCTGCTCGAATTTGTCTTTACTGTATCATACCAAAAAACACACCAGTGTGGTGTGACCATTCCTACTGCGTTTTTTAGCCTCTTACGACCAATCAGGTGTGTTGTGTTTTATAATAACAACCCGAGAAATTGTATTAATTTATTAATTGTACCAGCTAAATGGCAGTTCTACGTGGATGGAGATTCGTGGGCTTTGTTTCCTGCATCTTCGGCGCAGTGGGCCTAACGCTGTATCCCGTGATTGTGGACCCAATGCTTAACACCGAAAAATACAAAACACTGCAGGAATACAGCAAGATAAAGAGAGATGAACTGGAATATATTAAAAGGAAGTAAAAAACCCCTTTTAGAATACTTAGGAATCCAAATAAATTTATTTTCATTAACATGATAACACTACACAATGTAATAATGTAATAATTTTAAGTTTTGTTGACATGCGAAAATAGACTGTTTAAAGTTAAAAGCATAAATTAAGGAAGAATAAGCTTTATTTATTTAATAACACTATTTGAAACGCACCAAGATTTAAAATTTACAAAAACCCACTTTAAAAGTTTTTGAAATGCTTTGTTATCACTATTAATAGCTTAAACCATAAATTATGAGTGCAATATGTTTTCGGAACTGGTTCTTAGCCGGTGCAGCGAAAGCTTTAGGGTATTTCTCACCAACTCGTTGCCGCTTACAAGGTTCTTTATCTCAAAACAATACGTGGACATAAATACCTGGATAATAAATAGCTGGGGTTTCAATAACAAGTCTTATGTATAATGGCTACCGCAACGCTGAAACGTGACGAAATTCTCCTGCTCTTTGATGTGGACGGGACTCTGACGATGCCCCGATCCGTGGTTACCCCGGAATTCGAGGAGTTCTTCTACTCGAAGGTGAAACCCAGGGCAACCATTGGAATCGTCGGAGGATCCGATCTGGAAAAGATGTTCGAGCAACTGAATGGCCAGAAGATCCTGAACGAGTTCGACTTTGTCTTCCCGGAGAACGGCTTGGTCCAGATTGAAAAAGGCAAGGAGGTGGGAAAGCAGAACATCATCAAACATCTAGGAGAAAACACCCTGAAGCGCTTCATTAACTTTGTATTGCGCTACCTCTCCGAACTGGATGTGCCTATCAAGAGGGGAACCTTTATTGAGTTCCGGAATGGCATGATGAACGTGTGTCCCATTGGAAGGCAGTGCACCCGGGAGGAGCGGAATATGTTCGCTGCCTACGACATTGAACACAAGGTGCGGGAGCAAATGATCAAGGACCTGAAGAAGGAGTTTGCTGACGTGGACCTTACTTATTCCATTGGTGGCCAAATAAGTTTCGATGTGTTTCCGAAAGGTTGGGATAAAACCTACTGCCTTCGACACATCGAAGCGTTTTACAAATTCAAGGAAATCCACTTTTTCGGAGATAAAACTGATCCGGGCGGCAATGATCACGAGATCTACAGCGATCCCCGAACTGTCGGCCATAGGGTATACACCCCCAAGGATACGCAACGTATCGTTACTGAGATTCTCGAACTGTGAGATAATTGAGCTTACTCTGCCTTCTAAAATATTCCATTTTGTTAATGTATATGTTTACAATTGTTAACCAAATTTTAATATATAGTCATTTGAAATAACTTTAGATTTTATCAATCCGTATCCATGTCCGAGCTGTTGGAGCTGTCCTCGTCTGCGCTGCTGCACTCCTCGTCGGAACTGCTGCTATCGCTATCCTCCCACTCGTGGGCCTTCAAGCTATTGGGGATTATAACCTTCCACTCCAGCTTGTGCAAGTCCAGGGAGTAGAAATCGTTGTAGGTCAGCTGTTTGGCGTCTTCCTCGAAGATTCCACCAAAGATGTACAGTGTTCCCTTGCAAACACAGAGCCCGGGATTCATGCGCGGAGATGGTACATTCGTTGGCTTCGGTTTGGGAAAAAGACTGGGTATGTGGGACACATAAGGAGTACTGGTACTGGGTCCTCCAACGGTCACCGTGAAAATGCCATCTGTGGTCGTAGTTACAGGTTTTTCTGGGGCGGACATTTCAACATCCTTGATCTCGTCCGTTTCTTTTTTCTCGGGTTGGCTGCTTTTCGCTTGGGTCTCCTGCAATCTCCAGGTTTGAGAGGTCAAATCGAATGCGAGAAGATCATCGCCAAATTGTCCGTGGACGTCTTCGTCGTCCTCATCAACGTCCATAACGCCACCGAAGGTATAGGCCTTGCCATTTGCAGCCACAGTGCAACCAACACTGCTACGTGGTTTGGGTTTGTATCCTCCGGGCTTAACAAGGGCCCACTTGTATTTGTTGTCAGCATCGCCGGCGTTTTCTAAAATTTAAATAAATAAATTAATAATCAATAAGGTACTGGAATTTTTAACTTACTGTCTTGACTCAAAACGAACATATCCGTGTGCGTTACTCCACGATCAGCTTCCTTTTTCATAGATGCCCTTGAATACCCTCCCCAAACGTAGATTTTACCCTCGGGAGAAGCTGCTATGCAGCATCCAGATCTAGGTGATGGTACAACAGTTCCACCGATCTCTGCTTTCAGCCATTGATAAGACTCCAACGAGAAGATGTGCAGATCGTTGAAGTAATGATAGGATTGATTGTTATCGTGAAAGCCGCCAAAGATGAACAGACGCTTCTTGGAGACGGTCATTCGGTGGCCACTTCTGGGACTTGGTCCATTGGGGGCAACCAACTTTTCCCATTTGCGGGATTTCAGGGAAAACTTCCACAGGTCCTTGTAGTGATGGAACTGAAGTTGGGACGGACTGGCATGCTCTCCTCCAAACATCTGAAAAATAAATAATATAATGTGTTTAGTGCTTCTAGATTAATTTAATAATTACGTACCCAGAGTTCTCCTCCATTACTTGCCACAGCCACCATTTGGTGTCCACTTCTTGGAGTGGGTCCTGAAGGTGATTTCAGTTGCCTCCACTCGCCAGTTTTAATGTTATAAAAAAATAAATCGTTATAAACTGTGGTCTTGGCTCCTGTGTAAAGTTCTCCGCCAAACATGATGAGCTCTTCCTTTTCCGGGTGGGCAACCAAAGTGAAATTGGATCGAGGTGTGGGCGGTGGACAAACGGCTTCACTGATGGTTTCAATCTTTCCCTCCTTGGCCTCCAAAAGTTGGATTATATCCGCTATATTGGCCTATAGAAAGTATTGCCGGTTTAGTAAAAATGTTATGATAACGAATATTTGATATTACTTCTCCTAGCTTTTCCAGCATTTTCTTTTGTCGGGCCGCCTGTTTTTTGTCCGTTTTCATGGCAGTTTTATCGGCCCCTTTGCCCTTCTTCTTGTTTTTGTCCTTCTTTCCCATTTTTGTGGGTTTAACTGGGTTTAATTTTAAAAATCAACAAACAATTTAAGCCGCACGTGTGCTCGTATGAAGAGGAAGAGATGGTTTTTATATTACCAGATACTTGTTGACAACTATCGACGAAATTTTGAGAAATACCCTAACGGGTTTTTTATTTCAAATTGTGCGCGGGAAAATTTAAAATACACCTTATTGATTTGTGAAGGTTATAAAAATCTTATTTTAAAATAAATTTATTTTTTCAGCCACAAAAACAATACTGTTATTATAAATGCATAATCTTTATTTTTTAATCAACTTTAAATTTTTTAATGGTTATGTTGTAAGTCAGTGATAGAGCACAATAAACAGGACATCAAAACTGAAAAAATAAGTTCATTCAATATTGAATTTTTACAAACACAAAATTAAGGATTATAAAAAACAAGTTTCAATTTAAATATAAGTTAGTAGTTTGAAAACAAATACTTTTATGTGATCAATGTTATAAGTAGTAGTCATGTGGCTTAGCACATTTATTCAGGTAATTAGGATTGTGATGGATTGCTGCTCGAAGATCCGCGACAGTTGACGGACCAACTGGAGTCAAATCCACAAGCGGAATCCGAATCGGAATCCACGGCAAAGGATTGAACAATCCCCTTGGGAGCCCTCAACTGATTCGGGGTTGTGGGCATACTGCTATATCCACCATTTAAATTCGAACTGGAGTGCGAGGAGCAGATGGAATCACGTGGCGAATCGGTGTTATTAGAGGCGTAAGATGACCGCTTCGAGGACTTATTCCGCTTGCTGATATAATCCACCGTCTTTGGCGGCGGCATTAGTTCCTCCGATCTCTGGGTTATATTGTCCGCCGATCCCCACGATTTGTGGACTCCATCGTAGATGTTCCGATTATTGGGAACACTCGCCCTCGACGGCAGGCCGTTCGTCCCGTAGGGTGTGCTCATCGCTGCCCTCTGATTCGGATGGCGACTCCGTGTCGTACCAACGTGGTGATGATGACGCTGATGAGGGGCTCGGTGAGACCGATGGTGAGGGCGACTTGCTGCTCCCGCCGCTCCACCACTGCCGTAGCCCGTCGGTGCCACCCCACTGCCGTTGCCCACTCCCAAGAAATTGCTGAACGCCTCGGTGGTCTTCTTTACCCGGACATTCAGCGAACCAATCCGCAGGAAGCCCAAGTCTTTTTCGACTGAAATCCAAAAAGTCGTATGTTAGTTTTATATTAAAAAAAAAAAATTAATAGGGTAAATCAATAAGTTGTTATTTAAGAATTATAATCATTAGGAAAATTTTGATTTGAAAACAATTTTTGATTCCCTGATGGTAGATTTTAATAGTAGATTAAATAAAAATGTTTTCATAAAAATGAATTTCAATTTATATCAGAAAAAAACATTACAAATTTCTGTGCCTTATTTTAAAAGTAGAGTTTTATAAAAAAAGGTTTTAAGGTTTTTGTAACTTACTTGCATGCTTTTTGCGAGCCTTTATTTCTGTAAAAGTGACAAAAAAAAAGATAATTCTTATTAATATTAATTCATAGTCAATAATGGCCATATAATATGAACGTGCATAAACTTAAAAAAATGCCTTAAGTTAGCGGACTTTTGGAAACAAGTACAAAGTAATGCAGGCGATGAGGTAAAACATTGGAAAAACAGAAATAAAACTTACCAACAGCAACGCAAACGGGCTTTGCAACTCAAATGCTTGCGTAAATAAAACTAAAATAAAGATTTTTAGCTACCAGAGAACAAAAAGCATATATTTACAGGCTAAAAAAAAATGAAAAGTTACATTTTAAAGCTAAGGCTGCAACTCAATGTTAAATTAGCAAAGTAAATTGAACAGGGTTTTAATCAACACTAATGGTTTCGAAATACTCAAGATCGTTAAATCTCAACCTGCCTCCAGGTTCCGTTGAGTCCGCCGCTGAATCGCATCGCTTGAATCTCTGCATGCAGCAAAATTGAAAATAGATAGAGGTTCCCATTTTAAATTAATTACCAGCTCAGTTTAAAGTTCGTATACTCTACATTTCATTTAGTTGGTTGATAATGGGCAAAAATGTTTGCAAAAGAGGTAAATAATATTATTTTCGGAAGCGCATTCTCTTGATGAACTTAGGATGGTGAATATTATTTTTCACGGAATTTAGTTTCATATTGCAATTATTTTATTGAAGTTTCTTTTCCAATAAACATGCGATTATAATTATGTACATAAAAGGCTGTTTACTTATATTAAGCTAAGGCCATGCTTTAAAACTTATAAATTAGTAAAGTGTTGTTTTTCAAGGAGTTTATATAATATTTGATAGGTGATTATTTAATTGTTTTGGCTGTAAAAGTGTATAAAACGTATTTTTAGTTAAGCCCCAACCAATAATTTTTTTTAATTTGTTACCCATATATAATACATTAGCACAATTTTGAAAGGGTAAGTACAGGTGAAAGATTATACAAGGAGCGAGTGTACCAATTAACCATGCTCTGGTGGGTTAGTAACAACATCTTTGGTGGACGGACGTCGGCTGCCACCCGCGGTGGATCGAAAGGTTTTGCGGAGAAAGCTCTCTTTGCGTTTGGTGGTGGCACCGCGAAAGGGAACCGGATGTCCCTCCATTTCGCAGGCCAGCAGATCACTGTCCTCGGTGCTGGGCTTGAACAGACTCGACAGCGATTGCCCTGGTGGCTTTTTGGTCGCACCACGGCGCACCATCATCGACTGGGAACGACCCACGGCACCACCACCGCCTCCACTCGAACCACCGCTGACGGTGGCAAACCGATTCTGAGCCCGTTTCTTGCCGCGGGTTAGTGCACTGCCCAGTGTCCCGCCGGTAATCTGTCTACTCTCTAAGAGTTCCAGGTGGTGGTAGTTGTTGTTCACCTCCGCACCGGCGAAATACTTTTGATACTCACTGCTGCACGTCGAGGCGGAGACACTCGACCGCTGGCGGCTGTAGTCCAGCGGCTTGTTGCCACTCCAGTCCATGATGTCCCGATTGGCCTCTAGAAATTGCAACAGAAAAAGGGTTAAAAAACTTGAACTTTTGTACTTTTTCTTTTAGTACAAAAATATATTTGAAGAAAAATTAATTAATTTATATAGCAAATTTTTGTTAAAGGTGTTCTTCAATAATGTTAAGATCTTTTAAGGGCACTCTTTATTTAAATTCCTTTTTTGTCCGAATATACTTCAATAAAATACAGTGAAGAAATATTCGATTAACATAATTTTATTTATAAAAACATAATAAATAAATAATCAATACTTACTGTAGACATTCCAAAGTAGTTCAAATATATTATCTCTGCCAAATTGGGTAGCCAAGTGCAGTGGGGTGTATCCCTAATAAAACAAATATATATTATTAAAAAACATATAAAAATAAGAAAGTAGTAACCTATACCAACAAAACTATTTTTTATATAATCCTTTTTTTAATTTTCCATGCCTATTGCAGTTTTTAACTTTTCTTTACATCAAAGGTTTTTGGAAAATAATTTTTTAATTTTCTATACTTCTAATCTGTAAAAAAAAGGGTTGTAATTTATTTTAAATTTCCCATATAAGCCCATGTTTTCCCATTTGCGGCATGTTTTGTAAGAAGCGTATCAAATCGTGCGGATTGTGATTGACAATTCACTTTGTTTCAAATGTGGATGTGACACTTTACTACATTCGAGTGAATTTAATTTCGCTGGAACAAAGCGCCGTTCAATTTAAAATTTTGTAAACTTGAATGAGCGCCAGGCAAAGGATTGAAATAAATTGGAGGTGACAGGCTGGTGATGCCCAATTGGATGTGCTCGTCATGATTTGTCACAGCCTGCTCTCCACTTTTGGTTCACTTTCAGTCGAAAAAGAACCCCCGGGAAAGGATTATGTTCCGCGATTCGGTGACATGTGACGCGCATTTACGCGCGGGTGGGACAAGCCAATAAGTCGGTTCATATATATTATTAAAATTGCCTCAATAGATTTACATATCACTCACCCCGTTCTAAGGCGTCAACAGTTGGCGGAGGCGATCACATGGAAATGGCGGTATATTAAAAATCTTCAAGTTAACACATTGCATCTGAGATAATCGCTTACCGTTCTGGCATTTACATCGGCCTTATAGGTGCCGGCAATTAGTTTAACCACGTCTTCGTTGCCGTGCTTGGCTGCCCAGTGCAAAGCGGTCTGAAAAGAATTAGTATGGGATTAGTACGTCTTCTCAGCGTGAAAGTCGGGAAGGCGGTCGTTAAATAAGAATAAATTATTTAATAACTCTGAAAATCGTAAGATAGCCGACTATACCAAAGTATGCTCTTTTATTATCAGAATAAAATGATTATCATTCAGGGTATTTGAAATGTTTTTTACTGCCTAACAAAATTGCTCAAAAATCTGATTTAAACTTATAACAGTGTATTAATAATTCATAAGTTTAATACTTTAAAAAATAAATTAATTTTCTGTTTTAATATTTTTCTAATAAATCAAAAGAAGGGAATAAAATAAAATTGTTTGTATAATCTACATTTCTAATTACTAGTTAAATAAATGTTATTGCACAGATTACCATTTAACAATGTTTGCTGTTTTATATTTAATAATTTTAAATTTTTGCTTAGACTTTTTGAACTTACTAGTTTATCATAATCTTTTCCCAATTTATATTTTGTTTTTCACCAAGAGTTGACTAATTCTGTGACATGTTTTAAATATGTACATAATAATTTAATTTATTATTATAAAATCATGTAACTAATTTTGTTTTTTCTCTACTGCTGTAGTTAAGTATTCACAGATATTTGTTGAGGGACTAATTTTAAACACGCTATCTGAACAGTAGTCCGGCTAACAGTCGTTGTCCCAATCGCGTCGCAGATGCCCCAGTTCTGGAACCATTTGTTCCGCCATCAATTGGCCTCTGGACCGCCGAACTCGACGAAGCCCGAGGAGAAGGACGAGGACGAGGAGTCAGCTCCGAGACTCAGCTGCCGTATCCGAGATTTAGCGATATAAATAAATTGGCCAGCCACCGCCGAATGCCTGTTGCCTCAATTATTTTCATGTTAACATAATAATTTAGTATGGCAAAACGATTCGCCCGGCTGCGATAAGCTTGGTCTGGATGGTCTGGCCTGGACGGAACTGGAGCTGGAGCTGGAGGATCGCCGGCAGATCTCGGCCAGATCGCCACCAGTGCATTTTCATCGGCGGTGCATGTCTGATTTTCTATAGAATTGTTTGCCGCCGCACTGCAGCCCACGTACATATACGTACTATATGTATGTAGGAATATCTCCCATGTGTTGACAATGAAGACGGTCACTTTTCTGACTTTCTGGCCAACGACGACAACAACGGCGGCGACAAAAGCGGCCCAAGATCGGTTCCGAACAAATAGAGTTTCAGCTTTAACCTCCAGCTTCAGCTTCAGCTTCAGATTCAGTCAATTCCCATAGTCTGGCCGATCCGGCGATCGGTATGTAATTCTTTTCAAGGGAAATTTGTTTCGTGTCTCCCGTTTAAGAACCTCCAACTCCAACTCCAACTTCAGCTCCAGCTTCAGCTCCTGCTGCTGACGTAGTTATTGCTGTCGATGCATCTTAATCTGCCCAGCCTGGCATTTAATCTCCTCCATTGTCTTTGGGCCAAACCAATGATCACGGAGCTCAGGGAGCTGCAAGTTGCGAATTGCGAGCTGCTGCCTGAAGGCAAAAGCGGTCTAAATCCGCGGCAACAGCGAGGTGAGCGGTGAAATGTGGGTATAATTTGGTTACAGTGATACCCGCGACTCGTCTCTATTCAATTAGCGCATTTCTTTGCGAATTAGATAAGGGAAATTAAATTCTCAGCAGATACGACATGGTGGCAGAAGTTAAGTCAGCCCAGGAAAAACAATAAAGCAATCAAGGGAATTGTACTTCATTTGTTGTTTGCATAAATTGGTTTTATCCGTTTCTGATTTTTTAAAGAAATGTTTTGTTAATACAAAAGTTCATAAAATCGAATATTGAATCTATCTATTCAAAGAATTATGACTGGTAGTTGGTTTAATACAATCTTTAAGATAATAACTATGTAATTAGCTATTTCATTTGTCACCCATGACGAAAAGCTTCTTTTCCTCAGTCAATAGAAGTTAGAATTTATAACCAAACTGGATTATATCATTCTCTCCATACGCTTAATTATAAAAGGGCCAAGATTCGCATCGAAGCCGGCATTGTCCGTGGATTATCGCCTTGTTAGCTGGCCAACTGGCAGATGCTGAAAGGCAGCGACCGGTTTCGGTTTCGGGCTTACAAATCGTCTCACGCGCAGTTTCCTTCGAGCTTCAGTGCTTCAGAGCCTCGGAGATTCGGAGGAGATTCGAAGCGGAGCGGAGTGGAGCGATTTTAGCCATTTGGGGAAGTTGCCGCTACAGTGTCTGAGCCTTTTTACATATGGCACGTTGTCCGTCTGCACGTTTAAATTTATTGTCCATTCCATTAATGGTGGCAAGGGACAGGAATTTTGTGTCTTTGAAAGTGAAATGCCATAAATTCTTGTGTCTCGTTCCGCTGTGGCATTGTATTGGCACACCGCAAGCAAACAGAGCGATTTGCCTCTCCTCCGGATCTGCAATCCTCCGGTCCACCACTCCACTTCACTCCATCGTGGAATCCTTCCAACGTGGCAACGCATCGCATTGCTCTGAAGAACCCAAGGGCCCAGAAATTCCAGGAGCAGAGATTCCAATACCTAGGTCGTGCGACATTTAACCGTGTTGCTGATCCGTTATTGCCTCATGATCATAAAAGGATGTTGCGAATATTTCACACAATCCATAGTTAAGTATTGAACGCTCAAAGTGTTTTAGGAGACAACTTAAGGTGGTGGATATCCAATATATTATTCTAAAGGTAAGGCATGCTGTATCCCATGAATATTTGAATTTTGCAACATCACAAACATATCTCGAGTAATCAATCTTATTAAAACTTTAACTATAAGGTAAACTAAAACCTAATTATTTTTTTTTTTAACAGACTAATCAACTTTGTTTACTATTTATGCCTATTTATTAATAACTCAGATTAGGTTTATGTAATAATTATACTTACATACTGAGCTCCCCATTGAATCCATCATCCATTGAACATGCAAAATAAAAACCGAAATAATTAATAAATTAGGGCTCAAGATAAGGTGCAAAAACCACTCAGAAAAGCAGACACAAATTTAAGGCAAAAAAAAGGAAAAAAAAGGGGATCCTGTGGATCCTGTGGCAGGATTTGGATAAGAGCGGCAAGTGCATGTTACTTGTGCCATTTTCGCTTAACAAGTTAATAACACATCCAGGCAGCTTCAACGGCAATTACAGCCCTTCATTTCATTTTTCTGGCAGATGGATATCGCCGATGTCCTGCAACGTAACTGCAGCTAGTCAGACCAGCTCTCGAGTGTCCTTGCCAAGGACCTAATGGTGCCAACTATGTATGATAATGAGGGTCGGTCCAACTGGAATGCGGGCTGTGAGCTGCGATCAAGTAGAGTGCTTCCGATGTGCGGATGTTCGTTTAGCGCCAAAAGTCGAGCGCCTGTGTTTTACCGACGTGCCGTCACCCGGAGGCGTTTTGATCGAAATTCGATATTGCGCTGATAAGACGAGGATCGGGAATGGCTATGGAAACGGGGAATGGGAATGGGGAATGGGTATGGAATCGCTTGACGGACCCCGCAAAACGAGACCGCTGCAGAACCCAGAAGCTGTCATTTTGATGAATCGCCAGGACACGAAAACTGTCATGTTTAACATGGCTGCTCTGGTTATAATTAAGACTCCCCGTTCTTTTCCGTAATTGCACTTTTGGATCAGAGTCACCGATCGGTGGGCAGCACACACTGCTCTGCTCTGCAGATTACTCGCAAATTAATTTATCATTAAAGGTGCACTCGGAACCACTTTCGTCTGTCAAGAGCTCACCAATCTCCAAAATAATGACTAACAAAGCCATGTTCCTCTAGCCTGTCGACCAAGTCATTAATGCGAGTTTAATTTGTGTTTGTTTTTCCGAGTTAGTTACATATTTCAGTGGTCATGTTCATACTTACGCCCTGTTTGCGTTTCCGATCGGCGAATGTTGGTACATGGTTGTAAATTACCGAAAAAGAAAGCATTAGAATGGAAATAGCAATTAAAAATGTATGTTAAGTGGCATTTGAGTTGTAAAGAAACATAAATTTATATCATGATCTTAGCATCAATTATAGGCTTGCTTTTAATAGAAGGCAAATGCCCCATAACACAAATTTATTATTGTTAGATTATAAATTTAGTACTCATTTTTGAAGAAAATTTAATCATTTTTTTGTCAACTATTTCGAATAGAAAATAAACTTCTTGTGGCAAATCCCGGTTTTTCTTTGTTTTAATTCTACAACCTAAATGTTAATTTATAGAATTAATGCCTTATAAAAAACAATAATATCAAAACCGTTTGGCCTATTCACTGATTTTAATCAGCAAATAAAATAATTTCACCCTTGCTATTTAAGACTCCAATTATGATATCTTGTTAGGTTATCTTTTTGAAAAGGTGTTCGAGTTCCCAGAGTGATCAGAAACAAGCCAACAATCTCTTGGGACATAATTGTGAAATAGAAACAATTATTTTCTATTTATGCCACTCCAGTCATGATACATATGTGGAAAAAAAGTAATGGTCGACCAAATCAATACCGAGCTGACCAAATCGACAACTAGGTCTAATTGCCACGCCATTCCGAATAGAATAGCCAACAATCTTTACAAGCAAACAACAATAATCACCCGGCACGATACAATAAAACAGAGAATTATAATGACAGCCAAAGTCTTCACAGCGTTTTTATCGGAGGCAAACAATCTAAATGATATATTAAGCGCAAAGCAAATAACGCTCTTTTTGTCGTCACCATGTCCTTTCTCTTTCGCTCGCAAGTTAAGTTCTCCAATTATGCGGATTATTAATTTAACTGGGTCGCTGCCTCGCGAGACCCTCGACCGACCACTCCCCTGAATACCCGAATCCCCGGATCCCATTTTACTTTTTTTTTGGTCCCTGGTCAGTGGTCCGTGGGCCGATCGCTGACCACTTGTCGTTTCACAAGTTGTCAAAACTTGTCATTTAACCGACAATGAGCCTTGTTTGCTTTAATCGTGGTTATTATGCGTGCGGCTGACTTAGCCGCTCCCTCGGAATTATTAATGATGCGTCGACCGCTTTGGCAGGTGCTCTTTCCTGCCGACTGCCGATTGTCGCTGCTGCTGCTGCCTTTGCCTCGGCGACTGCTTATTGGCCTTTCCGAGAGTGTCTCTAATTAGTACACTCGCCGAAAATAAGCCACAATTTAAAACCATACACGACTCTAATCTTGGGTCATAGTGGATAAGGTACACAGTACACAGGATCCCATTCCTTTTAATTATTGATATGTCTACGGTTTCATAAAATATTTACTTTTGAAAAGGTAAGGTTATATTGTGAATACATTTATAGATAAATTTAATTTAAAAATAAATCTTGCACTTAAGGTACATATAGTCTGGCAGATAATTATAGGGCTGTGGTTTTATATTTTAAATAAATTTGACTGATGTGACCCCTGCCTAATTCTAGCTCTTAATGATATCCGATTTTGGATTGTCAAACCTTAAAAAGCTTGTGACATAGTTCCCTTAGATATCCTTAGATCCTTAGTTTGGTTTCGACTTTTAGATCTATTTTCTTCATGATGTACCCCCTTGCCAAATATCCGAAAAATGGCTATAAGATATAAATGAAATCAAAGTAGTAGCAGTATGGTTATATTCTTTTATATAAGACACCTTAAAACAATAATAAATCTATTAACCCGCAAATTTCCTATTCAAAATATTTCTCTCTGTGTAATCAGGATTCTGACGCATTTTGACCACTGCGGACGCACTTTGGTTCGCTAAGCCAAATTAATTCGAAGTTGGATAATCCTGTTACTGCCGCATAGCTGCCATGATTTATATATCACACCGAGTGTCCGGTGGCTCGACTGTCCAATTAATTCTCACCAGACCTAATTTATTCGTAATATCCCATTGAGCCAGGCATGCAAACCTGGACCCTTCCTTTAATTGGTTTTATAACAGCAGGGTGGCTCATTTGTCAATGTGGCAATCAATAAATTCGCGAACAGGTGGAAACTCATAACTGCGACCGGGCTTAGGTTCTCTTTTCTTTTATTTTTTATTCTTTTTGTTTTTTTGTTTTTTGGTTTTTAATTTTTTATCAACCATTCGCACAGTAGTCGTGGCGATGAGGGTTCGCTCCTGTCCGCGAAATGACGATCCTCGTCGCCTGGCGATGCGAACAGGTGATCGTCAGCAGCAGAGCGCTGTTTTGTTATTAAGTTGTTAAGCTAAATTATTGTTTTTTTCCCGTATTTTTTTTTATGTATTTATTGTGTTCACCTCCTCGCCATTGGCGACATTTAACAGCTCGTGCATTTATATTGTCCGACACACAAGGCCTATTAACAACATATCAAGCACGCGTGTACAATACTATCTAAATGTTAACACAAACGACTACATTGTTGTAGCTCATTCACTTGATGGTTTTGGTTGTTACTCGCCCCGTTCAGATTTTATTCTAGATGAAATAATAATAGTATTGTTTGCCAAATGTTCTGCAGCAATAATTAAATAGTTTAATTCGTATACTTCTCTTGAATTTTTCTGTTATATTTAAAAACTTATGCATATTTAGCATGTAAATTCTTTGGGTTAAGCATGTTGCATTTACACGAAAAAGGAAAGATAATTGCAAAAATGTACCCCTATATTAAGTGGCAATGAGAGCACACCCTTGTGCTAAAAACAAAAGTTTCTGCAGATAATGAATTTCGATTAAAACAGGTTTATTTCTGTCCAAAGTTATAGTCCTTGACGATCAAAATATGGTTAAAAAGTAACGTGTCAATTGTTTTGTTTTATAACGTGAAAACGGTTTGCATGTGCAATCATTTGCATTAAATTGGTAGATGGAATTATTGCATTTCGAATGGTGGTTAAATTTTTGGCACAAGTTAAGTATGTAACATTTAATAAAATGGTGTAAAATTATCATGAACTTACCGTTGCTGGACACTGAAAATAAAGAAAGGAAAAATGCATTAATATATTATAGTGTTTTTAATTAAATAAAAGTAGTAAGTTGCATTACAGTTAATAAATAATATTAAAATTGGTTTAAAGAAAATGTAAAGATTATATAGATAAAGCCAAAGAATTTAAGAATCTAATAATCATTCTAGGTATATTTTTTTTTTTTTTTCTGATCTATAAACATGGACAATTAAGATGTGCTGCGAGTAAGTCAATCGATCTTATTTTTTTCTCTGACCAGCAGAGCCTGTGAAGCGAAGTACATAATTAAATACGTAATGTCCGTATGGAATCAGTTCAAGTTCGGATCGATAGCTGATTTAATTGTTTGACTAATTGAGAGATTTTTTTGCTGGCGGCGGCCTGCGAACCCCCAAGACGACGACTCGCATCCGAACTACGAGTTGGCTGCTGCGGCATTATTTGCTCCATTTGGCACTCGGTTAACTTAATGACTTGATTTGCCAGACTGATGAGGTGCGGCTGATTAGCAAGCACTGGGGGACACAAAACAGGACAGGAGCTGGGAGCTGGGAAGCAGAATCCACCGATCCACCGATCCACAGACAGCAGTACGTGCAGCAACGTGGCCAACATCCTGGCCCAACCATACCATCGTCAGATCGGCGACAATGACTCGCCATATACGTATGCACCATACTATACTATATAGCCAATCGGGCAGCAAAAAAAAAAAAAACCTTAAATTTCATGCAGAATTAATTAACCGCGGTGGCTACTGCTGGCGCTCATTTCGTGTCGCCGCCGCCCAAGTAGCGCACTGCTTTTTGTGGCTCCATCTTCGACTCTTTGACTCTGCAGCTCTGCAACTGCGACTCCAACTCCCTGCTACCAGCTTTCAGCTCTTGACTCCAAGTTGGACTTCCCAGTCCGATATTTGATGACCGGGCAGACAACGCTGGAACACACAGGAAAGCTCTCGACGAGAGCGGTCTGGAATTTCATTGAGAAACGTGCCCTGTACGCTGAGGTCGTGTCCCCGCCGCTTTGTCATGACCATCTCCACTGGCCGATGTTTGGGAGGTGCACTCAGAAATTAATTGGAGGCCTAAATCAACTTTGAGCTAACTAAAAAACTTATTGAAGAAAACCAAACCACTTAACCCCCAACACAATTTTAATTAACTAAAAAGGTATATTCTGTGCAAATCGATCATTCTAATCACTATGTTGCGGTATAATGCTAGTATCTAAACATTAAAAGTTAAGAAACAATGTTGAGAACAAAAGCAATTAGACTTTTTTGTATGCTTGATTAATTAACCATCATAAAACTATTTTACCAAATTTTTTACAAATATTATTCAGGATAATAAAACAAGTTGTTACTGCAAGAAAATTCTTTGCTATGACCCTTGTATTTATATTCATGTTTAATATTTTTAATATCTTTATGAATATTCTTCGCGAATAATTATTTCCAAATACTGATTATTATTCAAGTATCTAAATATTTAAATTATTTTTTTTCGAGTGCATGTCTGTATGCATATGCCGGTTGCTTGTTCGCCTGCGAATCTATGTTGTGGCGCCATTAGCTGCCCCGTGTCGCAATTTAATTACAAGCCCCGTCCATCCGGGGACATCGGTGAGATTTATGCAAAGAATATGGACTAAGCAGGCGCATACGCAACGCGAATATCGCCATCGGGAGTAGGTATTATAACTCGAGCAGGAGCAAAATCGCAAACTTGGCTGACATCACGATGCAGTTGCAGTTGCATTTCCCCGGGGACCCGTCGCTTTTTTTTTTTTTTTGATACACAACTCAATTTGGCCGACGGATCGGTGGATCGATGACGTGCGCAGTTAGGCCTTAATGCAGGCTCTGTTGGCCAAAAGGGCCAACGCCGAGTGGCCTATTCAAAGATATTAAGACGAAAGCACTTGTTGCCATCAGAGCAGGGAGCTTCTTTAAAATCGAATCACGTCCGCCCAATTTTTGTGAGCGACTGAAAAAACCCGAGGAGAGAGAGACCGGCAGACACTCGATACTGGAAAATTTTAACTCCCTTGTAGGCGATTAAGTTAAATGCCACTAAACTAATTTAATAGCGATTCTGAGTGCATTCGGGAGAGCCCCAGCCCCAGCTATCCAGGACAGAGAACCCTTTCGCCTTTTGACTTTCAGGAAACTTGCACCACATTTTCGCTGTTAAACATCTTGTAGCGCTCCTCTTGTCACGTACGCGATCTTTGTAAAATAAATACACTCGACGCCGGCCTGATTGCTTTTCTATATGGAATTTAATTTGCGCTGACCCAAACATGTAATAACAATGCAATTTCCAGCGCAATTTTCCATCGCCCAGCCCCAGTAAATCAAAAGTAAGTATTTAATAAAGCGCTGACCATTTTCTCAGGCATTTCATTTTTCCTTTGGCGACGACAGACCTGCCATTTGGCTATCCAGATGCAGATGTAGAGATGCAGATACAACTTGAAGATGCAGATGCAGATACAGATACAGATGGAGATACAGATGGAGATGGAGATACAGATACTGGTAACCGGACATGCACGTCTCGTTATGCAAAATGCCAGCAATCCGGGGCAGTTAAATGTTGAAGTTTTATGGTGCCTATGATCGGGATGGATGGCGCTTAGCGGGGGCAACCTGTTGCGACTTTCGGGGGCGCCCCGTCGATCCTGGGGCATCGTAAACCCGAGACACACATTCGGTATGATTAATTTAAGCACTTTTACGAGGCCGCCGCTTCATGGCGCTCCTTCCTGATTTATTGGCGGCCACTTGGAGCGACGACGCTGCTTTACGATTGGCCTCAAATGGTCTCGAATAAAATCACGGGACGCTAAATACTCCCATTCCCGGGGTAATCGCTGGAGCTATCCCTTTCTGCCTATTGGCTCGATTCTGCAAACTGCAACTTGGCGACTTCTATTTCCCAACTGTGCAACTTATTCCAATTCGATTGCAAGTCGATCGCGATGGCTGTTCGAGTGAACATGGCCAATGAGGAGTTAGTTGGCTGGCTGGCTGGCTGGGCAGAGATTTCGTGTCTGGCAGCTGGCGCATGTTGCCATCAGACGCATTTACTATTTTGCATAAATCATAATGTAATCTGCATCTGGAAATGAAAACAAACCGATGCGAGGCGAAGCGAAGCCAAGTCAAGCGAAAATGTCCAAGCGTTTATAATTAACTGCGCGGCCAGAAACCGAAGACATTTGCAGGCGACATGCCGGGCCCAGTTGCCCAGAGTTGTCCAGTTGCCCAGTCCAGGATGCTCCGTTCTGATCCAAAGGCCAAATACTCGAACAACCAGCATAAGCATAAGCTCGAGCATAATCGCGAGTTCCTCAATGAAGCAGCCTCCAGCTCCCCAGCATTCGACAACGCCGGCAACAACCGCAGATACTCCTACAGCCTCATTGGCAATGTGGCTTGCACTTGGAAAAATAGGATATTCTCGAAGGGTTCTTTTATTTTAAAAAATAACAAAGCTAATATATTTTGAAAAACTTGCAGTTAACTCAGCTGCACAACTTTGTTGATCTTAATTAATTAACCAATTGAATCTCCAAAAGAATATAGGATGATTTCTATTTGATCACCACACGGTTTGTTGAAAGAAGAATTAATGATTTTTCGATTCCAAGGAATTGGAAAATAGTAAAATTAATGAAAAAGGTAATTAATTTCATGAAAACCTTCCAGGTTTTTTCAGGTTTTAAGTTAGTGATTTTGTAAAATAGGAAGATATTGTTTTTATTGAGCTTTAAGATTAAGAATTCAATAAATTGATGAAATAATAAGAATTTCATTTTGAATATTTATGAAGGTATAACAACAACACATTGTGTTTTTTTTAAAATACTACGATTTAATAGTTTGCTAATTAGTACTCCTTTGATCCTACTTTAGTATTGTTTAATTTGAAAATTTTTTCAAGTGCTTATGTTTCGGCACAGGCGGTCAGGGATTCGCGCCGCTGAGGAGCAGAGCGGCCCTGGAGATGGGGGCGAAGATGAAGATGGGGATGCGAATGGGGTTTGGGTTGAGGAGAGGATGAGGAAGAGGGAGGGAGGAGAGGGAGAAGTACGGAGCTGTAGTCGACTACGCAGGCAAATGAATAACCCTCACCTCATGCGCAATCGCAAAATCGCGAAATCTACGCAGCGGTCATCGGGCGCCTGCCAAAACTACGGAAAATAATTTATGCCCCAGTCGACGGACCGCGCAACACATTGGCGCAACATGCTCCATGCGGCAAGAGAAGAGGCAGCAAGAAAAAAAGGCACCACCAGGCGGCAAACAGCGAACCGAGATCAGCGGGTCGGATGTTAGCCGCGCAGCCAGCGGACGGCCAAAATTATAAATTAATGAAATTTATGCACAATAAAATTGCAAGCGAAATTATTGATGCAGTCGTTCACGCTTTAAATGCTCCCTAAATCAAAAAACGCCTCGAAAATTATTAATATGGCCGGTGAACATGCAGCCAGACAATCAGATGGCGCTAGGCAGCCACAAAAACAACATAAAAACACAAAACAACACAACATAAAAAAAACATTGAAAACAAATGAAACAAAACTGAATGTTTGTGGCTATGTACAATCCGTAGAGGCAGAAATGTACACAGGTATAAGCGCCGGATATGTTAATCGGTAGAACATGCACCTCCTCCTCCCCCTCCTCCTCCTCCCTTTGGATGCCACCATTACTTGGCCATTTAGCCGATTTGTGGCGGGGTCTATCTTGTTTTTCCCTATCGAGAACACGGCGATAGTAGGGCTCTAAAGTGGAGGTGCACTTATGCTCCAAAGATTACATTGGATAAATGGGTTTTGCAAGATGTAAGGTGCAGGAAACACAACAAGAGTCATTTATAATTGAAAGTTGTGTTACAAATCTCATAATTTTAAAAGTATATATTAAGAAAAACTGCATTCTAAAGGGTAAAAATCTGACTTAAATCGTAAGAGAAGTTCTGTAA